AGAAGAATTGACGTCGAATTCAAACTCTCGAAAGATGTTTGAAGTATTTCGAACCAGCTTGGTTCGCGATTCCGTATTGCCCAGATCTTTGGTTCAGCCGGAAGGACGTCAAATCGGCCGACACCGCTATTACAGCAATGGACAGCGCAGTCATAGCAGTAAGAGTGGTGTTTCCGGTGAAGTTTTAGCAAGAGATGTGGTCCGTCCCTCCTCTATCCGCGTCTATGCAAACTCGCAAGTCAGTATCAGCGTACTGGGAACAAGTGTCTGCTTGCCAGTCCGTTGATGCTGCCAGTTCGGCTCCGGGGCTCTTACTCTATGCAATAGTGAGCACAATCTTGGGAGTTCCAGCTTTCATCTATACAAGATCCTCTGACGGTATTTCCATCTAGCCCTCGACATAAACTTTTGGACAGACATGCCGATCCTAGAGTACCAATACAACACAAACTGTCATTGGCATCTTGGTCGCACGAAAGGTCACCCGAGACGTAGTTTCCGTTAGGAAAATAGCATCGAGTGACAACTATGACGATCTGCAACGAGCAAGAAAATTGGGAAGACAAAGAAAGGCCCTTCATTGTGCGCACACAACTGTTACCGTCTGAGAAGCTGGGAGCTAATCTCACAGTTTTGCAAATAGAGGCAAGCTGACATGAAGAAACCACTCCGCGCGGTTTGGACGGAACTCCACGATACAAACCCTTCTTTCTGCATGCTAGCCTGATAGAATACGACACGACTGTTAGTGATATCTTGTTGGTGACTTCAAACTCCGCTTCCTGTATTATTCTTTGTAGCGCGTCTAAACATAGTGGAAGCAACCCCCCCTCCCTTGTATCCTAAACGCTATCGCTTAATGTTTTGCCATGATTATTTCGCCGGTTAGCGTTTTAGTATACGCATTGGCCCTATTATATGATGCAGTAGTAGCACAAATACTTTTTTGAACACCCCTAATACCTTTACATTAAAAAATAATTTAAGAGTAACGTTAACCTCAATACTAATGACCTTTTACTTTAACGTAGTTATCTTTTATTTAGTAATCTTAATCGTTTTTACATAAGTATAAAAGCCTATAGTTATTAAAACTACGTGGGATGAAGGAAGCCAGCGAGTAGGCGGTTAGCATATAAACCACACTAAATACTATGGTCCCAGTATCGTCACGAGTGAACCTGAAGTGACCGATTACCAAAGGTGACTAACACGGGGTCTAGAAAGCAAGAAGATGCCCTTTCTAGACGCGCCTTGGCCTTATCAGGGTCACGGGCAAGCTTAGATGAGGCTTCTTCACGCTTCTAGCTAGGGCTAAGAATCCCCAACCCATGGGGACCCAGATAAATGGGTTGGGTCAACGGGTCAACCCATGAAATGGGTTTTTTGGGATTTGGGTATTTGGGTATTCCTTTTTTTGGGTATGGGTATAAAAAATCCCCATACCCAAATGGTAAGATAAGGATGGGTTTATGGGTTAAGAATATTTGCTGGGTTTTCTGCTTATTACGTGATAGATACCCATAATACCCATATCCAGCGAACAGAAATCCCCATTTGGGTGTAACCCAAAAACCCATACCCATAATCTCAAGAAAACCCCATAACCCATTTCAACCCATAACCCATATGGGTACCCATGGGGATTTTTAACCCTACTTCTAGCAGGCTAGCCAGAGTTGCCCTTGTTGCTAAGTGGTATGCATATGTGTACCGTTATCTTAAGAAGAGGAAGATACCTTCCTAGACCCTCAAGGTCTACTTAGGCCTAAGGGACAAAAGCAACAGTCACTTATACACGTCTTATTTGGATATCAAAGTGATAAACTCGTCCGTGTCTATCTAAGTACCTGTCTAAAGATATCAAGCTCGTCCGCTTGCTTAATGATCGGGCCCCCCTCTCTGACTTCCTTAACGGTATCTAACTAAAGTGCCCGTTTATACTTAGAGGGGTCCTGCTGATTTATGCCTGATCAGGCCTATGGATGCATCTGCAGACTGATAAAAGGAAAAAGGAAAACTCAAAACCATGCCCCTTTCCTTAAATATATACCTATAATATACTGCTTACTACTTTACCGACAATACTACTACTAAACTCGCTAGCGCTTACACTATGCGCATAGTACTTGGTCTTAGAGACAACAAAGAGCAGCACTGTGCCCTTGGTCAAAACCTTGATCCAGGCCCACGGAATCAGACCCTGGTAGACTGGACGGATTTTTAGTTCAGCAGGCGGCGATGTGGGAGAGAAGACACGTACAGCCCAGGACACCACCACAGCTCCAAATACGTCCCAAGGCGTTCCCGAACCCGTTACCGCGATTGGCGACCATGGTGGTCTTGAAGACCTCTAAGGGCTGTCCGAGGGTAGTGACCTCGAACAGGTTGAGGCCCGCGCCGAGAAGCAGGTTGGAGAACTTAATGGGCTTATGCTCCAGCTTCTGCGGCTGCGTCAGGACTGGGGTGGTACTGGCGAACATGACTTGGCGGATGTTGCACAAAAAGGGGCTCTGACTGAGGAAAGAAAGAGAATGCTTCTTTGCAGGTCAAAAGGGATTCGGGATGTGTTTGTGGCGATGCTTCAGTGAGTCAACTGGAGACTCCGATTTGCTCTGGACAAGCTGAGGTTCGACGATCGAGCAGGAGGCAAGGTTGTTTGGGATGTGATTGCTACCAAGACGGATAAAGGCGGATTCCCGGTCGGCTCGACGAAAGCTATCCCGTTATTTAAATGAACATATCAGCAACCAAACAGAGCTTCTCAACCGACACCTAACTGGATTCAAACCGACAAAAGTCGCGTCTTTGGCGATGAAGTTGGGTCGTCCGCGGCGCCTCTGCACCACTAATTCACAGGGGTGTAGTCAATCTATAGGCAGGGTTACTGGGTTTGCTGCTGATCCCCGACATCTTATCAGCCAGCCAGCGAATCCCACTTGCCCATCCTCCCCAATACTGCCCTTCTTGGCTGCTCAGCGCAATTTTATCAGATATGATTTCAGAGAGCTTAGCCGGCCTTATCAGCAACTTACTGCCTACGGTTCCACCGAATCCACGCAACCTCGTCAGTGCGCTAGATCTTCGTCTTCGATGTCTCTTGGATGCGAGAGAAAAGCATTAATTGCCAAAAGGTTTGATCGACTGTGCTGCCATAGAGACTTGTTGTTAGCGGGAGAAGTAATGCAATGCTACTGTCTTGGCTGGTAGCGAGGCGTCTGAAGTAGATAAACTTCAAAGCCTTGAGCCCCCTTTGGACATGTTTGAATAGGTTGGTGAATGAGTTGGTGAGCAGAAATTTCTGAAATTACCGCAACGAAGCAGTCAGTAAAACTGGTTAGCACCATGGCTATTACGTAGCGCCGCACAAACAACAAGGTTATGATTCTGGCTGATTGCACCCGCGAGCTTTGAACCTTGCTGAGAAGCAGCTCGGACTGTTGGAGCAGATTCCTGGCACATGTGATGTCCTCGAATAGGTATCCATTTTTGTGTTTAATGCGCCTCGGGGAGAACAAGAAGCTTGAAACCATTATCCCGGGTCAGGCACGCCGGTGAGAAGAGTAAGAAGCGGGTCCGTCGGTTGGTCACGAAAGCTAATGAGCCGATGGGCTAGGCAAATGTTCATGATGTTGAGGCGCTGGTCGAGAACATTGTTCGCAAGGTTTATGTGCAGCAACGCGGGCTTAGAAACTCAATAAATTCGACATTTTGTCAATCACCAGGCGGCCTGTCGATTTTTCCTCCAGTACATGCCGAGACAGGAGAAAAGGCCCGATGATGACGGTGAAGATCAAGGTATAAGATTATGGCGATATATACAGAACAGACATAAATCCGCTTCCTGCTTTCCTTCCTAAGTGAACTGGTATTCAGCACATTTATATTCAGTTTGTTGAGGAGGACCCTTCATGGAATCACAAGCCGCAAATTTTGGTCTATAAATTGCTCAGCATAAGCGTCGTTGGGTTTCTCTAGTCTATCAACTGTTCGGTTTTCTGAAACTTCCGAAGAGCCTTGTACTTTCGAGATGAGACGCGCATTTTTCAGAGAGACGCCAACTTTTTCTTCCAGGGCCTTATAATAACAGCAACAAAACGAAAGCTTCCACCACCACCCAAATTGAGTTCATTAGTGATAGACTCCAGCATCAAATAGCATGAAATCACATGAGAAATAATCGAAACCCTTTGGGATGTTTCATTTCAAACTTGCAATTTGAGATGTAAAAACAATAAAATTACAGAATTGACTTCAAAGACGCGCCGATGTATGCATCCAACCCATTTTCAGAGAACCATGCTTTATGCCCTACTGATAAGATTTGTATAGTCAATTTCGCCTTGCATCTGCATGTATCTGATCGCATCGGAACCTTAACTTACTATTGGTCGAATACTCTACCTTCTAGACGTGTCACGCACACGGTCGTCTAAACGTGAATTAGACCTTCCCGATATGCCTTTCACATGTGTCTTCACATGAGAGCAGCTCCAGATGCCGAACTTCTTGTCGATAAATAGCTGTGTGCAAACCCTCTTTACGCCATGCCATTGACAGGAAATTCCTCATTGACTTTAGCTTTCACTTAGAATCATTCTCCTGTTGTACCAACACTCCCCGCGTTTCCAGAGGCCAATTATCCCCCCCACAATGGCAATATCAGGCCCATCAGACCCAAGGCCCCAACTTTGGGCCTGCTTTGTCAAAGATCAACACACCGCCTCAATCAGATTGAAAAGATCCGAGCCAATGGCATTGGCGATCTAGTCGAACTTCCTCAGCTAGTTGTGTGCGGCGATCAGTCTGCCGGCAAGAGCTCCGTTCTCGAGGGCATCACCGGTATACCGTTTCCTCGACATGAGGGACTTTGCACTCGGTTTCCTACAGAGATTATCTTGCGCCACTCTACTGAACCGTTGAGAACCAAGGCCTCTATTCGTCCTCACCCTGGTCGTTCTCCTGAGGTGGCACATACCCTTCGCAGCTATAAGCGTGAGATGCAAGAAGACCTCTCGGATCTCCCAGCTGCCATCGAGGAGGTCTCCAAGCTTATGGGGATTCGAGGCTTCACCGGTTCCTTGAGCGATGCAGCCTTTGCTTCAGATGCGCTCCGTATCGAGGTCACCGGTCCTACCGGACTGCAGCTCAGTGTTGTCGATCTTCCTGGCCTAATCTCCGTCTCCAACGAGGAACAGTCCGAAGCAGGTGTTGAAGCTGTTCACGCCATGGTCAGGAGTTATTTGCAAAGCACCAGGGCCATTATCCTTGGTGTCGTTCAGGCTAGTAACGATGTTGCGAACCAAGGCATCATCAAAATCGCCCGCGAGTACGACCAAGACGGCCAGCGTACTATCGGAATCATCACCAAGCCCGACCTCATCAACACGGGCACCGAAGATAGGCTCGCTAAAATTGCGAAGAATCAAGACTCGATTAAGTTGAAACTTGGTTTCTTCTTACTCAAGAATCCAAGCCCTGCTGAGATAAAAGGCCTGGGAGCGAAGCTGAGCCGCGCTGAGCTGGAGATGAACTTTTTCTCGTCGCCTGCTTGGAAAGCCCAAGACCTTGACACGACCCGTGTCGGTATTGAGAACCTCAAGGTCTTTCTGCGGGAAGTCTTGGATGAGCATCTCGAGAGAGAGTTGCCCAAGGTTACGGTTGAGATCAGACGTCTTCTAGCCTTGAAAGAAGAGGAGCTCGAAGCGATAGGACCTGAACGCCGGTCCCTCGGGGACATCCGTTCGTTTATGACCAACTTGAGCATGCGCTACTACACGCTCGCTCAAGCCGCCCTCGAAGTGAATTATCACAGTTCAGATGTACAATTTTTTGAAAAGAAGAACGGCACTCGTCTCCGTTCCTTGGTTCATCAACAAAACGGTCAGTTCGCCGAAGTGATGCGTAGCCGTGGCCACAAACGGAAGGTGGTGGATGATCCGCATTCAGAGACCAACGGCACCAGTAACGATATGAATGCACAGCTCATGGTCACAAAAGACGAGATGATTACGTGGATTCAGCATGTAGGTCCTTCTATATTCTCTATGATATTGTAAGAAGACTAAAATTTGCAGACTTATTTGCAGATAAGGGGTCGCGAGCTCCCTGGCAACTACAACCATGTTTTACTTACTGAGCTCTTCTATGAGCAGTCCAGCCCGTGGCGCAAGATTGCAGAGGACCACGTCTCAAAAGTTATAGACTGCGTCTGCAAATGGGTTCTTCAGGCTTTTTTCCGACTCTTCTCGAAAGATCGCTTGCGACGAGATCTCACCATGCTTTGTCAGGAGCGGTTGGATAAATGCAGAGTCCACGCTTTTGAAGAACTACACAAGATCCTGCTCGCTGAGAAGAGACATCCCATTACTTACAATCATTGCTACTCGACAACGTTCAGAAAGCCCGCAATGACTCCCAAAAATTGGTTCTAAGGGCCGCTATTGATCCTCTGTTTTCCACAAGATTGGACTTCACGTCCTGCCCAGAGAACCGAGACCGACTTGTTGACGCGTTGCAGCCTAAAATTTGTGTCAATATGGACCAGCAAGCTTGTGAAGAAGCTCTGGCTGGTTTGAACGCATATTATAAGGTAATTGCTCTAGCACTCTTCGAATTGCGTCTCTGACATTTTCAATAGGTTGCAATGAAGACTTTCGTAGACAACGTCTGCAGGCAGGTTGTCGAGCGACACATCTTGGCGCCGTTGCCAGAGGGTTTCTACCCTACCACAGTCTCTCAGTTTTCTGATGAAGACTTACTTCGCATTGGTTCTGAGCCGGAAACAGAGATTGTCCGGCGCCAGAAGCTTGCTGTTGCAGCTCAGGGACTTCGTGACAGTCTTCGTGGCCTACAGAGTTTCTCAGCTTAGCTTAATCCGGCATGTTTTGCTAAGAGGGTTCCTAGAAGAACCTAACAGTGCTCTCATTATTGCAGCTGCTTGCTCTTCTGTGGGACTTTTAACCCAGCTTGTACGAACTAGAAATTGCTGGCGCAGTGTTGGTTTATGTTTTGCCTCTGAGGTTGCTTGTTCTTAGACGTAACCGCGGTACTGAGTTTTCTAGTGCATTTCACGCAATACAGGATAGACGAATAGATTGGACCTTGGCTCTTCTGGTAATCCTTTACGAAGAATAGAAGGAAGAGAGACTTCTAGAATCATGCAAGAAGCTGTTGGTTCAAATGCCATGGCTAAAGATTAGCGATCAACCACCTCCATTTACAGTACCGGCCTTGGTGCCCATCTTGGCACTATGGCAGTTCCGCTCAGTGTCTTTGCCTGCATCATCCGGACGTTCGCGATCGACATGCTACGTTGTGTTTCAAAAAAGGAAGCATGACTTGAATTCCAGAATCACGGTCAAAACCGCCGAATATCCATGACAAGCGCCTTGTCCTCGACCTTCTGCAGTGTCCTTAGGCCAGGATAAACATCCGTGGACTCCACAATGAGCGGTGCATCACGTATCAATACGAATCGTCGCCCCCCCAGCCTGCCTTACTCCAGTCGGGACGAAGTCTATCTAGTAGTGAAGGATTCTTTTAAGGTCGTTGATTATCTGGTAGTGGGCCCATTCCACTTACCTTCCGAGGATGTCACCGCTTCCAGGCATCCGAATTACGAAACCTGCCTGCAATTTCACCTTTGTTCTGTGGAGTCCGCGGAGCGAGAGGCAAAGCGTCGACTCTTCGAGACCACCAGAACAGAAGACTGAGCAACGTGGAGGCGGCCTCCCTGCAGCGCAGACAAGTCATAGGAGACCAAAGGAAGGGCTGGCCACAAAGTCCACTCCCCAGATTTGCTCTCCCAGCAAAAAAGCTGCATACACTAGAATCAGGGTCTGTTCACAGCTTCATTTACAGAATGATTAATGACACATAGACTTTTGTGCCGTAAAAATTAATCAAAAACAGGCAATAGAAATCCCAAGAAAATATCTTATTTGCTAGGATCCCCAGAAAACATGACGACTAAGGTTAACGGACTCGGACGTCCTCAATCCCTTGGCCACACCCAAGTTAGCATATACCATGACTTCCTGGACCCTGGCAGCTCTCGGCGCTCGGTTATCCACACAAGTCCCCTGCACCATATTGAACTGTACGTAATAATCGAGGAATGTTGACCGGGGTGGGTGTGCCTTACCAGGCCGGCGACGGGCCGTGGAACGGTCAACATCCGGCGCCCTGTGGCAGGAAAGAGCATTTGACAGTTTGTTAGTCGACCACCTGACCACCGGTGCGAGATGCAACGCTTTCCCGCGGCTATGAATGGCTGCAAGCGGAACTTCTAGCGTCTTGGGCGGAGCGACGGGTGGAAAGTCGAAAGCATGGAACGCTCTTGGCCGTGGCGGCCAAGACTTTTTCTCCTAATTTTTCTCCCTCTTCCACTCCACCCCCATGTTCAAAATTCGGAGCCCATCCCCGACCCTCGTCTTCGTAGCTCCCGCCGAGCCTCTCGGCAATTCTCGGCGCGGCGCGGCATCTGCCGTGGCGGACCAATGGGCGGCTGGCGAGGTCGCGCCAACGTCGTCCGAGAGTCATGTCTGACGCTGCCAAATGGGCATCTCATCCTCTGGCTTCTTGGTAACGAGCCTTGGTAGGTCTTGGGACCTCAAATCCTTTCACCGATGGGTCTTCTGGCTGGCTGACAATACGATCAAGAATTGAGCTTTGAACAGCCATTGTCTTGTCATTTTCTTCTGTCACCATAAGGAGACGACGAAATGCACGGGTGTCTTGCGCGCGAGGGGTTGGACCTAGGCAGCGAAGTTTCTTCGACAGACAACTCTTTCGGAATCGCCTGACCAACCGAGACTGTTGTCGATGTCGTTGTCGACAACATGAGAAGTGCTCTGTCAAGACTGCAGCGTTGTGAAGCCAGAGATGAGGCTCTTCGCGCTTATCCCACAACACCATGCAATTTCCCGATGATGGCGGCGGGCGGACGGCGGCGGTATGCCATTAGGAAACAACTTTTATCGCCCGTTAGTGGCATTCCGCTATCATAGCCTCGTCGTCACCGCCAAGTTGTAATTCAAGCCAAGACCAATACCCAGGCGAACATCCTGACGCATTAAACCGACTCGGCCAGTCAGTGTCCATCGTCCTATCTTTGTCTTATGGTGTTGAGGTGTGCGTGGGTGTGTGCCCCCTCCCATTCCCTTCCAGACTCCTCAGGTTCAGTGAAGACTCCGGTCAAAGTTCACTCTTTCTTCAGACTTGTCTTTATCAATGTCACCTTGGAATTGCACCCCTGTCGCGCACGCACGCCCGCGTCCACGCCGTCTGACTTTGTTTCTCGTCTCTCGAGCCCCACGCCGGTTTGCGGCCCTCCCAGTGTCTCGCTCTCTCGCATGAATGCATGCATGCATCCAAGGCAGACCAGGCAGGCCAGGCATTGCCAATCCAGAACCGCGGATCGACCAAGTCAATCCAAGTCGCCCGGTTCTAATCGAACGCGACTGGTGGGTAACGCGGGGATGGAATGAATCCTCTTACACCTTCCTTTCGCGTGAAAGATGCCAACTGCTGTACCCTCTCCCAGCTCCGATTCTCTCCTTGGCGAGGGAGATATGCGTGCCGTGCCCTATCTCGGTGAAATATCCCTAGGTGGCATGTCCCAGCCGAACCGGTAAATCGCCCACGCGAGCAGCCTCCGGTTCGCCCCCTTCACCTCCAAGATGGAGCTGAATCTGGTCTTTACACCGCAGACAGCCGGTCCCGGGTCGCCACAGGCTGATAGATAGACAAGAAATCCCGGTGGAAGCCATGGAATTAGCCTAACCCACGAGTCCGACAGACTTCACGTATATATCCCTCTCTCAAAGACGTCGATCCAGGTCAAACTTTCCTCCCCCTTCTCCCTTTCCTTCTCAGCGTGGCAGCGATCTTGTTGCGGGCTCATATAACCACCTCTTCTCAACCCTCATCTCCAGACGCTTTTTCCAGTTCCGCCAACGTTGTGTTTGCTTCGGCTCGATAAACCAGCATACAATGGAGAAGTCGGAATACGGTACCGCTGACAAGGCCGTTCAGGAGAACTCCTCAATGGAGCAGGTCCAGCAGCAGCCATCCGTCACCTCTGGGGAGTCTGTCCACGAGAAGAAGCCGTGGTGGCACCCAGTCATCGAGCCCGGTTCCGCCGTGCAGATCATCATCGCCGCCGCTATCGCGGTTGCCATCGGTCTGGGGGTCAAGAGCGTCCACCCAGATATCCCCGATGCAGCGACGACCATCCTCATCATCCCCGGCAATCTTTGGCTGCGGTCCCTCAAGGCTGTCGGTATGTTTTTCTTCTCTACGTTTCCGCAGAGATCGTCGTCAGGGTATACCCTCCAAAGAATCAGAAACTGACGCGACATCTAGTTTTGCCCCTCATCGTGACGGCTATGGTTCTCGCTGTTCAGAAGCTCAAGGAAATCTCCAATGGCGGCGCCAAACTCGCCAAATGGACCATCGGCTATTATGTCATTACCACCATTGTAGCCATTGTCCATTCCATCATCATGACATCCCAAGTATGGGCCCGTCTCATGACCGTCGCCTCTGCTGAGTCCATCGCCACGGACAGCATGTCCGAGAAGGACCAAGAGTCGTACGAGGAGCGCAAGGACCAAGACATCCCGGCCACCGTCACTGAGCTCTTCAACTCCTTGATCCCAGCCAACGTCGTCGATGCTCTCGCCTCGGACCACCTCCTCGCCGTTCTCGTCACTGCTGTCGTGGTGGGCTACCTCATCGATGACCGCGGCGGTCGCTCCTCTCTGATCAAGGCGGCGCGTGAGATCGAGACCCTCATCATGATCATCATCACCTTTCTCATCAAGCTTGCCCCCATCGGCGTTTTCTTCCTCATCCTGCCGAACATGTTCAAGCTGGACATCAACGACATTGGTGTCAACCTAGGCATCCTGATGGGTGGCGCCATCAGCTCAATGTTCTTGCACCTTTTCGTCATCCTGCCCCTCATCTTCTTCGCCTTCACTCGCCAAAACCCTTACACTTTGTGGTTCAGCTGCTCACCCGCCTGGCTGACGGCTTGGGGTACTGCTTCATCAGCCGCTACTCTCTCCGTCACCATGCGCTGCTGCCGTGAGACACTCAAGATCCCCGAGACCGTCAACAAGTTCGCCGTCCCCCTGGGTTGTCTGGTGAACATGGACGGAACCGCCATTTACTTCCCCATTGTTGTCGTGTTTCTCGCTCAGACGCAGGGCCATGTCCTCAACGCGGCGGACTACATCATCATTTTGTTGCTGTCAACCCTGGCTTCTATCGGAACTACGCCCATCCCGAGTTCCTCTCTTGTTTTGACCGTCATGATTTCATCGAGCGTCGGCATTCCGCCCAGTGGAATGTACGGCGTCGTCGTTGCTATCGATTGGTTCATTGACCGGTTCCGTACTGCTACCAACGTCAGTGGTGATCTTTTCGCCGCCGTCATCGTCACCAAGATGACCGGCATTACTGACCCTGATGATGGCTCGGAGGAGGTCGTTCGGGAATTCAGCCAGAACCAAAATGACGAGCGTGTCTAAATCTTTGGATAAGGATATATTGGGTAATGATGAAAGTTGCAGGATATGATGTAGTGTAGAAGCGAATATCACATTGATTCAATCTTATGAAAGGACCAACTCTCTTGCCTACCAATCTCTCCTAGTAGCATGCGTACTTTAGCCAGGGCTCTCTCATCTTATAACCTTGGTCTTTCCATCCTACTCATGACGCATCTAAGCTCCGGTGTCGCACGGTAAAACGTTGACGTTGCCGCGCCAGATCAAAAATGTCTAGCTGGTCCCGCCTTTTGCTCGTTCGATACCTGAAGAGCGAACACCCCTTTTGGCTTTGCTCGGCTCCCAACCAATAGTTGTTTGTCGGTAACCAGGGGCTAAGAGGTTTCAACCAACTTCAAAATGGCCATTCGGAATATCTGAGGTGGTCACCTTTCATTTTGGAGCTTTAGATAGCATATTGCCATTATGCCGATGCCGATGCCGATATGCTCCTTGAGATACGGCCAAATCCCGTTTTCCCGCTGAATCATGTGGTTCACAAACATGATCCACCGCAGTACATGCTGCTTTATGCAGTTTACTGTCGATTGGGTTTTATCGTACTGTAACGGGACTCTATTAGTAAAATGTATCACACAACCCGTAGCTTGGCCGAGAACCGGTTTTGGTTCGGTTGTGCTGCTTGTCCAACCTTACATCCAGGCTCTGTATGAAGTGACTGTGCGCAACACACATACATAGACTTATCACATCTGTGCCATCATGTATCCATGAAACATCACATAAGTCTCTTGATGAAGATGCATGCATGTTTTCTGTTCTCTTCTGGTTCCTTGAGTCAGCTATGTGGCACCCGCCACCCTCCTCCTCTTCTTGTTTTCATGCCAATCTGGACGTTTGTTCTCCACCTCCGTTGCCTCTAACCTTAACCATCCGCAGCTCTCCCGGCGTCCGATACAGTCCTGGTGCAGGTAGTTCTGAACTCCGCTCGTCATTGCACTCCACTGTCTTTTTGACGAGAAGCGGGGAGAAAGCCGGGCAGATCCTATTCGAGCATCGAAGTCCCAGACGACCGGCGGAGGATCCAGCGGCTGGCCAACTCCGGGCTTCGAAGCAGTACACGTGAGCCGAGATTGTCTACTCCACCTCAGCAGCGCCTTCCTGTCCGAGTCTGCGTCGCCGACGTACGATGCCCTCAGATCGTACACTGCTTTGAGGGCGGGAGTCACTTGGCTCGTCTCATCCTTGAAACAAGGCCCCATCAGTTGGCTGTTGTTCACTGAGTGCATGATCAGACCAGTCGTAACGTCGTTCGGCTTCATTCCCAGCTTCTGATGCACAGAAATGGCACTGCGCAGGTTGTCGTCCTCCCAGTCTCCCATCCACTGGCTGTTCGGTGCGTCCCAACGGAACCCGGGCCACCACGGCATCGGCGTATGGCGGTCCCACACCTCGAAGGTCACGGTACTGATGTAATGCCCATGGGTCGACCTGTCGCCAGCTTCATAACGGGGCAGCTCGGGATTCACGCGAGCGACGGGCTGGAAGTACCGTAGCTCAGGGGCTGTCACGAGAAGTATTTGTTTTCGGTCCTGGAATCTCCACAACCGGTAGTTCTTCTGAGACGATTGTTTTCCGTACACCCTCATGTCGTACGGGTTCGTTTGCAGCCATTGTTTCATATCCTGGTTGTTAGCATTGTATGCACCTGGATATCGGGGGCGGGTGAATGTGATGACTTCTGTATCAAAAAAGTCCGCCACGAGATGGAGCATCTCGTGAAACCCGGCTTCCCTTGGCATCCCTGCCATCACGTCGTTCCTGCTCAAACACCGGAGGAGATCCAGCGCGCCCCAGTCTTGTACGTGGTCCGGGTCCACACAGTCGCCAGACTCTGCGAGTAAATGATGATACATTCGAAATCGGTCTGACGCTGTGTCTCTTAGATTCTTGTAAAACCACTCTGCTACTTGGCCCTTGATCCATTTCGCATCCGTAGGATCGTTCTCGACGAGAATTCTAGGCAAACCCGATCAGTCTAGTTTATGCAGAGGGGGCGGGAAAATGCTTACGCAAGAGAGTACCACAAGCTATTCTCGTCTTTTGGGACCGGACTAGCGAAGAACGTGTGTTCGATGACCTTTTTCTGACTAGCCAGCTTGTCTTGAGGGAATCTGAAGAAAGGTTTGGCGCAGAAGCCATAACAAGAGAAAACTTCTTTTAGTTCATCCAGCTCTCGGACTTCTGCATCGTGGATAATATGCGGCGTGGCCAGCCATGCTCTTCGTTCTTTTCCCTCGTCTCGCGCCATCTGTTCTCTTTTCGTTACTTTAATGGATCCGTAGGTCCGCTGGAAATCAACGTACGGTAGCGGCACCACAACCATCTGATCCCAATTGGTCGCTTCCATATCGACCGGGGCATTATTGCATCTGCCAGTGATGCTCCAAGGGGCAATCTGGATTCTCCTGTCCGGTCTCCAGTCCTCATGTTCAGGCCGCCGTATGCCCGCAAGACTGTGGATCGCCGACAGAAACCTTCTGTTCGCCTCGAGGAAGCATCGGTACTGCACGGAACCCGGTTTTGAGACCTGAGCCGAGTCGTATATCGACTGAGCCACCGTATTACACCATGTTGTAAAGTCCGTTGGATCTGGTCTGTGAGCTGTAGGTATGTGTTGCGTTGAATGCAAACCTAGGATCTTATATGCCAGCTGGGGGTCTCCATAGTTCGGGCAACACCCGAGAATTTCGGGGATTGATGGTACGGCTTAAGGCTGGACCCAATGGCGGGAGGATTTTGGTGTTTGTTAACCAGGTTATTGGCCCTTCTGGTTTGCTTCCAGTAGGCGGTGGTGGGAGGTTTGGGATAGAACACCCAGAATTGTCGCGGCGGGTTTGGTTCGGGATTGACGTGCTGGATTTGGCACACATGTACATGCCAGTTTGTATTATATCCACTCGTGTATATTTGATAGCAGCAGTCTGAACGTACGATGTCGCTTAGAAATATTGCAACCCCTTTTTATTGATCTCTTTGGTGAGACAAAACCTCAACGCAAGTGGAGGAGAAAGTAAGGAAAGACAGCAACAAGAATAGAGTAGTAAGATGAACGAGAAAGCCATTGTGAAGTGCTTCAATCTCTCTTGGGCCGTCAGCTGGTTACTACGTTGTTGCAAAGATTGAAGTGACACCAACGATTTTCGGGTTCTCGATTAAGCTCAATAGAAATGAGCCTGTGTCGAAGGGCCAGCCCAGCTGATAGAGCTGAACGAAATATCTACAGTTCACACGTTAAAACAGCCGTTCAAGGACAAAGGGAAAGAGAAGAATGCCGAAGTGGTAGGCATTATTTGGCTTGAACAAGGAGCCTTTCACAACAACTTTTGCAACAAACGCAATGCAACGCTCCTACTTCACAAAACTCACAGGAAAACCCGTGTCACTCCATCGGATTCACCAAACCAGCGAATATCCACGTTGAGCCTACCGACCCATGTCACTAAGTCGTCGAGACACCTTGCTACCTTAATCACTGAGCAAACGCACCATACTGATTCAATTCAAAGGGATACCTCTAAGGTCATCTATCTAAGCACATGCCATGTAATCTCCCCCACGCACATCCATTTCCTCCTTTCGTAACATTCCAATAAATGACCGAAAAAATCGCATTCTGCTCGCTTTCCTGTTCCTCCAACAGACCCATCACCCCAAATACTCCGTAATTCTGTGTCCCAATAGAGCCCACCCGCTGCCGCTGCCGTTACCAGACCTCGTCAAAGTAGATAGCTCATGTACCGAGAGATGCTACAGCCGCAGGGATGAACCGGTTAACCCCTACAGGCTTTGCCCAAAATAGCTCAAAATACCAATACAAACGTCGTACAACAACAACATTACGCAAGCTCAAGCCTCCCAGGAGCTTTCGGCTTGGGGCTGGTAATGATTCCAGCATGCTTAAAGCAGAGAAAGCATAAAAACTCCAAGCTATCCTTGTTCAACGGGCTTCGGATGTTATGTGTAATGCGCATAATATGCAGGGCACCTATACCTCACAGGGTCTCACTTCCTCTCATGCCCCTCCCACTTTCTCTTCGCCCCGCCACCGCCGCTGCTCTCGAAGCTCAAGTCAACGCTCCACAGAGAGTCCCACACGACGCTCTTCTTTGTCGGACTCTCGACGCTGGCCCCGCTCTTCTGACGCTGTAGTCTTAAGGGCGATCGAGCTTTCTGATCGGAATCAGTGAGTGTAGCTCAGGAGAGAGAACACAGAAGTAGGAGAGTCTAGGGACCGATTAGGGAATCGATCGTGCTTCGTACCTCGGGCGATCTGGACCTCTCATCACCCGCCTGCGCGGGATGACCCTCTTCCGCAAGCGGGCTCGAAGCCTGCCCAGGCTGTCCCGAATGCTCGTGTCCATTGGCCGATGATCCAGGCGCTCCTTCTTCAGGCGGGCTAGTTTCCGTCGGGGTGTCCGGCGCAGCTGCGCGAAGTGAATTGGTTTCGCTGCCCAACGCGTTGCCCTTGAGCAGTGCCGCACCTCCACCGACGGCGAAGGGGAGAGCCTTCTTCGAGTTGGAGCTGCTCCGGCGGCTCTCGAGACTCTTGCTCAGAGCTTTGCTGACACCTTCGATGCTATGAGGGTTCGCCCGCTGCTTGTCCTTGCCGTTTGCCTGCGCATGGGTGTGCATATCCGCCATGGCCTCGACAGTGTTTGCTGCGATCGTTGACTTGCCCAGTCCAGGTGTGGCGGGGGCGCCCGGCTTATCTTCGTGTGCATCAATGAGGTACCATCGCAGGCCATCAGAAAGCTGGAACGGATTATCATCCTCCTCGCCATTGACAGAGTCGTTGTCGGGTAGTTGCTTGTGCAAGCTCTTCGAGAGGTCCACCACTCGCTCTTGTATCCGAGTGATGCGAGCGACAAGCCATTCACGAGAGCGAAGACGGTGAGCGTCAGTCTCTCGCAGAAAGTAGTGAGGAAAGCCTACGTTGAACGCAGCCCAGGCACCGGCTGTTTGGTTTCTTGTGGGGAGGAATAGAGCAAGATCTCCTTCCTTGAAATGCTTGAAGGCAATCTTCTCATGCGAGTCCCTCTGCAGCGTATGCGCCTTCTCCCTATAAGCGCGCGCATCCCGCTGAAGTTTCCGAGCAAGATGCTCTACATCCTTGACACGCCTGTAGACCGTCTCGGCAAACAGGTCCATGTCGAAGCTGCCCAAACGTGTCATGAAGGCTTCGTACTTGTCCGTCTCCGCGTCAGTGTCTTCAGTGCCATTCATCCAGTACAACAGCTCCAGGTCGGTGCTGTCGGCCAAGGTGCGACTAGTGAGCATGCCGGAGCGACGGATCATGGACTGGCCAGGGTCCGAAGAGTCGTTAGCATTGTGGATCTGGCTCATGGTGCCTCTCTCAGACCTCGGGACCTTCTGTATCATCATCGTCGAGTCTTGGCGGGTAACCGCGAAGCCCAATCGTTCCAAAAGTCGGCAAAGTCTGTCATTCTGAGAGTAGAGACGCTGCGTCAAGTCCTTCGTCTTCTCAGATCTAGATTCAAAGTGGCCAAGGACAGCCGTGAGCTTGACTTGGGACTTCTCCATCTTCTCCTTGTAAAGCCGAAGCTCCTCTTCCAGACTACCGACTTGGGATTGTCGGGATGCGAGTTGCTCGGTGATGGAGCTGATCCGCTCTTCTCCCTCGTCTAACTTCTTTCGAAGGCTTTCCGAGCCCGTTTCGCCATCGGCAATCTTGGCGCGGAGTTGATCCAGCTGCTCTCGATTTTCGGCGGCTTCTTGCTCAAGGACAGCAACCTTGGCCTTCTCTTCATCCAAGTTCTCTCTTAAATGTCTGGAGCTATCCTCCTCGGAGACAAGCCTGCCCTTCGTTTCAAAGATCTCAGCCTTCAACGTCTTGATGTGCTCCTCGGCTTGCTCAAGATTGGTCTTGAGTATTGATCTGTCGCTCTCCAGAGTCTTCAACTTGGCTGCGACATCTGTAGCTCGGTAGACAAGTGCATCGATGAGATCGTTGAGGTCTTCGGTTGTATCGTCGTTCGGAGACAGCTGGTCATGAACGTCGCGGAGTGCCTTCAATTGTGCATCGGCGGTCTCCTGAGTAGAACTCAAAGTCTTGGCTAGCTTCTTCGCCTCGTCATTCGCCGTCTGGAGCTGTCTATCGAGCGACTCGTTTTGCTCTCTCTGGAGACGTGACTCGTTGCGTAAGAATTCAACTTGGCCTTGGGTCTTGAGCGCCTCATCCTTCTGCTCCTTCTGCATCCTATCGATCTCTGCCTCCAGGTCATGCATCCTCTCGATGTAGGTAGCCTTTTCGTTCTCTCTCGATTCGCCAAAGTTTTCGATCTCATCTTCGGTGTCCTCGATACGGGCCTTGAGTCCTTTGATTTCGTTCTCGAGTGACTTGCGTTCTTCGACAAATTCCCTTTGCAAGGCCTCCATATTCTCGAGGAGTTCCTTCTTGGTAGAGTTGGCCTCCTCCATCCGCCCCTTGACATCGTCGTGGGCAGTGGCCCGGACGTTAAGGTCTCTTTCGAAAGCTGCGCATTTTTCCTTCTCCGCATTGAGTTCACTTTCAAGCTGTTGTATTCTTTGCAACTGAGCCTCCGATTTATCAGATGTCGGACGATTACTGAGTTCAGACTCGAGCTGCTGTATTCTCTGGGTCAAGGCTTCCGAGTTATCGGATGATCGACGGCTGCTCAATTCACTTTCCAGCTGTTGGATCCTCTGCAGCAAGGCCTCCGAATTGCCTGTCGAACGACGAGTATCCTCCGAGGGTGCCGTCGACTTGATCGAGTTCGTCGAATCGTTTCTTTCGTGACCAAACAGACCACCGATGCCGGGTCGAGACGCCGCGCTTTGCCTGTGGAGCAAGTCTTCCAACCTCCGCACCCGGCTCTCTGCGGTCTTTAGCTTGTTTTCGAGCTTCGACTTGTCGTCTTGAAGACTGCGGAGCAGATCGTCATCGCCGCGGATCATCAAGCCACTTCGGCCAAGGGCTGCCTCATGGACACTGCCATTCTTGAAGGCCTTCAACCTCTTCGACTGCTGTTTCGTGGGGCTGCTCAACTCGTTGACCAGCTTTGTCACGTCGTCAATGATGTCGACTTCGGCCTGTTGTCTTTGAAGATGCTCCAAAAACTCCTCCAAGTCACGCTTGGCCATGCTTGGCCATGCCTCCTCTTCGCCAAGCAAGTTGACCTCGAGACCCAGAATATTGGCTTCAACCTTGTCGGGGCCATACATGCTGCCGACCATCTTGTGCCATTTCCTCCGCCTCTTCGACTCCTCATCTTGGAACAACGCCATCTCGTTGGCCAGCGTTGACGAATCCGTCTTGATCTTGTCGGACCACTCACGGCGGCGTACTGCTTCGGAAACGAAGGAGGCGTACATGTACGGGAGCTGGTGAATAAGGCGCAAATAGTCAAACGTCGTCATGTCGTCTTCAGCCTGGTTCAGGACGCTGATCTGGTTCCTAACGCTGCTGTGTAACGTGGTAATCTCAGTAATGTTGCGCATAAAATCGATGCAATCAGAGGCAATCGCATTTCGCGCCTGCGTGACGTAGTGCAGCATCTCGTCCATCTCCGCGGCACGTTTCTTCAAGCTGGGTATCAAACGCGACGTGTGGTTCTCTGCCGTCCGCGATGCCTGGAGGACATTAGGTTGCGTGTCAGTGTACTCCAATACGATGTGGTAGTCTGTCTCAATCTTTTTGGCCACGGCTTCGAGGTCCAGGAGTAACTGGGCCGCCTCGCCACTATGTGATAGAGCAGATCGACCAACAAGGTTGTCAAAGTCCCCGATCAACTGCTCCAGCGCACCGTACATCTTGTCCGCAGCCTTGTCTAGATCCGCAGCCTTGGTGCTAAACTTTTTCAACGACGTCGGTGCCAAACGTCCTGATTTCTTTGCCGTGTCCTGCTCTATCAGGTCTTCGAGCGTCGTCTGCTTCTTTTTGAGGTCCCGGGAGGTCATGAAGCGCACCATGGCGGCAGAAATCGGCACACTGCGCGCAACGGTGAGGTAGTGCTCCCAGTTCTCGGCGAGCTGCTCGTACTCGTCCAGCGCAGGCTGCACCCACTTCTTCAGCTCGGCATACTTGGGCTCAATCTGCTTCACACTAATCTCCAGATTGGCCACCGCCGCATCGAGGCACTTAATGATGACGTCCATCTCGCCGTATCGCTCCTGGATCTCGGTCGCCATACGCGCCGAGTCCTCGACGATGCCGAGGGCCCATACCTGGCGCTCTTTGTAAAGAGCTTGCCATTCTGACAGCACGCGGATATTTCCGATGTAGTTGGGGGCGTTCGGGACGGAGTACCGCTTGGGGAGGGGCAGTTCGGACTTGGGAGACGAGGCGGCGCCGGGGGAGCTGGGTTGCGATAACCGGATGTCATAGATGTAAATCTCTGTCTGCACAGCAGTCAGCAAGGCCCTCATACTCTTAAAAAGACGTGACATACTTCCTGGTGAAGAGTCTGCAGTTTGACGCTTCGTCCCTGGGCAGTCAAAGCGACAACCTGATGCGCCGGAATCGACGTCTGCCTTGCGATCCAGGTCTTGAAATCATCGAGCCTACAACGAAAAGTCAGCCTCTCCTGACACCCCGTCTCGAAACTGGAGGCAACAGTAGCATACGCTGAGAACTGCGTCGTGTCCACCTGCAGGCGCTGGCCCGTATGGGCTATCAACACCTGCGTTGCCATCACCGGAACATCTCCAAGCGGAAGCTGCGATAGCTAGCCCGCCGTTCGGCCTTTGCAGCAAGATTACTGAGGGTTGTCGTAGCTATGCGATAATGTTGATCACGTCGTGCAGGTAGAGGCGAGAGTGGGCGAGAAATGTCCGCCTCGTTCGTTTTTTCGTCGTCGCTGTTGTCTTCGCCAGGCGCCGGACGAATAAACGCATGCAGGAACGGCTGTTGTTGCAAGGCGCGAACGAGGGTTCGTTCGCCGGTTTCCAAAGATGACCGCTGAGGCGCCTCCGGGAGCTCGTGCAGGCTGTAAACCCGCTAAAACCTTGGGAAGGCATAGCGTGATGTCTCCTCGTGATCCCTGCTGTCATCTGATTGGGTCGAATGTCGGTTATAAGCCACAGATAAGATAATGTCATCGGAAAAGAGGCTGACAATGAGGTCACTAGCCACAGCTCAAACTTGCCTTCCGGCTCTACGTCCGGAACCGAAACCAGCGCCGCCGGATCCCACAACTCGGGCGGGAAACTCTGCTTTGAGTCGTGCATCGTGTTCCGAAGGCGGGGCGTTGAGAGTCGGGCACCGGACTCAGTCAATTTAACTCTGCCATCTGATTCTGAACCCCGATCTCGGCCATGGATGAACCGCAAGACTACAGCACGGCCGAGCATGCCACCAACGCGCCCATTTTACTACTGTCGAAGGATGAACATCGCGTCCTGGCGCTCTACGATGAACTCCGCGACCTCGAGGTGAAGGTTGCACTCATCAAAGCACAGCAGAGGCACACACCAGGTGGTTTACCACGTGAGAAACCTCATCTCTCGGTATATTCTGACCATTTTCAATAGATTCTTCAATACAAAACAACGAAAAGAACGTGCGACAGGCACAACAAGACGCGGCAAAGGCGCGTGCTGGATGGCTGTTGAGGAACGACATCACGGATAGCGTCATCACGGCCAACCCAATCCTCAAAGCCATCCATAGCAGCACGCAATCCACGCCCATAGAAACGTTGGTTCTGTCCTCCACATCTCACTTGCGGATCTGCAAGCACACTCAAGGCGACGGCTAATACCACTTAGTGACCTCCTTCCGCACGTTCGCGCCCGCGACACCGCTTCAGTCGCGCTCTCGGAAATCTCCTCTGACATTCGTGCCGCTGTCAACGAGCTTACAGACATTGAAGCCGAGAACCTGCGGGTGGGCCGGCGGAACATTGGGCTCACGGCCCAGATCCTCCGACTGACCGAGGAGGCAGAGACGAGGCGGGCGGGGGAGACGGACGACGCCGCCGTCCAGGCGGATATGGCTAGGCTGCAGACCGAGGTTAAAGCCAGCAGGCAGCGGTGGAAGGTCATGAAAGGCACAGCCAGCGCCGTAATCGTCGGCAGCGGCATCGATTGGACCAAAGATGAGGCGCTGTCGGACATCGTATTGGATCCCGAGGATGAATGGTGACGATGACCTTGAGTCGAAATGACATTCGGACATATTCCGGATCGAGTTTACTAGGGCGAGGGCATGAGATCGGTGAGTACAAGTCGAAAGGGCATGGTTTTGCCGTCGACACGTTGTCGACGAACAACTTCACCTTGCATCAAATCGAGAACCTAGGCTGCCCAGAACGGCAAACGACAGTGGTAACCACACACACAGCTTGAACGGTTCGTCAGAATGAGTGGACCGTGGTTGAGCCATCAGTACTTGTCAACAGGGAGCAGCATTCACCTCAGCCCACGATGCACAGTACGTATGCAGGTACGGCTCCTCTCCGGCATGCGGTGACCGCGTTACGGGCCGGCCGGCAGGGCCAGGCGTGAATCACTAGATCACGGTGCTTGCTCTGCCCTGCGCACGATCGATCAATCATCGCCTTTTGCACAGCACACAGGCACTGCACCGGCACTGGAAGGGTCACGTCTGGTCACCAAGCTCGCGGTGCCTTCGGCCCCTGCCGTTCTCCACAAGATCCTCGCCACTCAAAAGCTCTCATGAAGCTTGACAGGGCTTAGTGCGACCCGGGCGCTATGGCCACCGCGATGCCGAACAGCAATCACGTGGAGGAACTTTGGCTCCGAGATCTGCTTCTGCGGGCAATGCTTGAGCTCTGTAATCGTCTGCCGGCACTAGGTGATATCTGTAGAAACTCTGAAATGCAGAAAGGGTATTTTGTTTGATGAAACGCGTTTCAATCCCCTGGTGAGAGGTGATATGGGGCATGGAGCACTCACAGAGAGAGAAGAGCTTTCGAGGTTCATTTACCGATTTTGTGAGTTCCCATAATATGAGCCATCTCACGCGTCAAAGTGGTCAGGCAATACGCGTGTCCAAGCCATTCGCGCAACGACGGAAGAAACACGCTCTTCTGGATTAGATAATCAGCATCGGTCTGGGTCTGTCAAGAAGAGGAGAGGAGGAGGGAAAATGGGACTGAAAGTTGGGGGAGTGCAAAGCTCCCCGACAGTCGAGCTCTGTGTCTGCTGCACCGGATCAGCCAGGAGACCCAGGAGGGAGTGGAGCTGGCTGGCTGGCTGGCGCTGAGCTACACTCTCCATGTACATTCGCGTGCAGGTCGTCTGGTGTGAGCGACTTGAATGTTTGGCTTGGGAGGGGGTGTGTGTGAGTGAGAGTGCGAGAGGCTGCGGTCAGGGAGGGCCAGAATTGCCGGGGGAGCATCAGGTACAGCACAGTATCAGCAAGACAAAGGCGACTTGACCGGCCAAATTGCCAGGCTCCGTGTATCCGCCGCAAGTCGTGGGTACTTTGCGCACTTTCTTCGCCGGTCCGTTACCACTGCCTTCCCAGCGCAAGCCCAGCCAAACAGGGAACAAGCGGGCAAAAGCAAAATGGCTGGGCCCGGTGGCCTGTCTGGAATGGTGCGGAAACGCCCTCCTGCTGGCACAAGCTGGCAGACACCGTGTGGTCTGGTCGTCTGGCCCATGGCAAAAAGCTGTGACGGCTCGTGAATGTGAGAAGGAGACCTGCATTGGTTGTCTTGGGTGCGCATTGGGTGCATTGGTGCGGGGGGCCGTCTCCGACTGTCTTGCAGGCATCACCTAGTCTGACGTCTCAAGGTACAGGACACACGCGCACATTTTGTGCGCGTGACGAAGTATTCCCACTCTTCCTCGATGCCGAGAGCGTTGCACTGCCTGAATGCCGTTGCACGTACTAGACGATGGATATTGTACTGCGTACGGTATTATGTAGGAAGAACGATTCAAGAGCGCCTGCCATCAGCTGTTAGTTGCTGACGCAGTCACCCATCAGGGCCCTCAGAGAAGCTCTACTTAGGCAAGTCGCGATCATGCTGATGCTGGCATCTTCAGTAGCTACCAACCGAAATTCGACCGCCAGTGCTTCGGCTCCCACTCAATGAATAAGAGGCTTTGTCGAAGCAGAAAATCTGTATCATCTATTGTGAGTAAGTGATTCGAAGCAGTCCCGCACGTGCTACTTCTCTCTGATGAGAGCGAGAAGGGACGAGAGGATGAAGAAGTCGATCTGTGAAGGGAGGTTGGGGAGTCCAGAGTGTACCGTAAGCTGCGCGTGGGAGTGATTGGGCGCACACGCCCAAGCTGATTCCGGGTATGTGTGGACCAAATTGGCGGTACATCGGGCCAAGTAGCGATACATGGCAATCTCGTATGACGGTACATGGGGCGTATGCATGAATCAAGTACCTAGGATCCGTTTGGGCCAGCGGCCACTTTGAATGCTATCCCGAATCCCCATCAGTCGTCGTGACTGCCGGCTGTCGTTCCATTGTTGCATCTCCCTGAGCAACGAATGCTGCCCGCTCGCCCGGTAGCTTGCTGCCTTGAGTACTGCTCGTCAAACAGCCGACGGAACTTGGGTGCCACTAGACGGCGGATGTGTCCATTCCCCTATGGAATTGAAGTCGTGCAGTACACTCTGTACCAAGCGTCGTGGTCCTGATGAGCTGGTCCCTCGACGCATGAGTCCACAAATGGGGTTGCACGATGATGCTGCTGCTGCGGCTGCTCTCGGAAGCTTTCAAGAAGCTGTCCAAGCCGTGTCGGAGCTGGTGGGTGGGCTTCGCGCCGGAACTCAGCTACCTAATGGTGTTGCAATCTAGGCCGCATTGGAAAGCCAACATTGGCTTAGCCGTGTGTATCCCGTCTAACCGCGTGGACTGGCAACCCAGGGCGAGCCAGACATGGTGCGTTTGTCGAGAACGAACTCTGTGCGGATGGTACATGTCGGCTTGGTGTGCTTGGGAGGCAATCCCTTTGGGTGTAATGATGATGGACAAGCCACTTCTGAAGAGGGGGAATGCCGCAAAGTGTGTCGAGTAGTGTTTTAGTGTGGGCGAAACTGCGTAGCGACGTCCAGGAAGCGTGGGCACTCGCTCGCACAGTGTGCTGGGGCGTAAGAGATGTTGTGCATTACATCCCTCATCGACTCCTCAGCTGCCCACTGGTGCCCCATTGATCTCTCATGTCCAACCGGCCCCGAGCCTGGTTGTTTCGTGGGCATACTCAAAATATTGAGAAGCTTGTCAGTACGATGCACTAGGAGGGCGACATCTTCCACATGAGGTCACCAACACCCACAGCCCCAGCAAAGCGCAAGTGATGAGCGTCTTAGTGTGTACAGAGTACAGGCTGGTGTCTGCCACAGAGAAAGTTTACTCTGGGTGGTGTAGGCAATGATGCCGTTCCAAGAATTCAATTCAGGAGTTGCAGATATCGCGCAGGCAATGGACGCTAGCTCAGGACACAGCTCTGATCAGCCATTGTATCTGCCGCAGTAAGATGAGATGACTACCTTGGATAAAGGGTAGCCGAGCGAACGGTATCCAGATGCGAGAGGCTGAGGCGAAGCTGGCGGCCAGGACGGGTTCCGTTGACCCCGTGCGCCGCGGAGCTTTCTTTGAGGACGAGGGTGAGGTACGCAAGTAGGTACACTACCCGAGGTTGAGGTATGTCGACTGGTAGGTTGGGGCCTTGCCAGACGGCCTACAGACGGTAGGGGATCCCTTAGCGCCGGTGAGTGTGATGAAGGAATTGCCTGGGTCAGACCAAGTCCAGCCGGTCGCAGCAGGCTTGTCACTTTGCGTCCTTTCCGTGACCTGGATGTATCCGCACTCCATATTCATGCTGCCAATGTTTGATGGCATTGCATCAAGGACGATGAGCAGAGGAGGGTGTGGGTAATGTAGGGTGGCTGCAATACACGAACAATTGCTCACGGTGAAGTCTGAAATGGTGGTGCTGTGGGAAATAGATGAAGTGACAAGATATGTATAGATAGACAGCTCTCAGTCGGTGTAAGTGGACGGCCGGCAACGCTCGACGTCGAAGGTGGAAATGGCGAAAACACCAGGCAGTGCCGAATCATTGACATTCAGCAGCGGCTGCAGTAGACCACTTGGGGTCCGGGGATGGCACGACTTGGAAAAAATGGCGCGAAGGGTGGTCCGTGTGAGCAGTGGCAGTGACAGAAACAAGAGGACAACTTGGACAAGAGGCAGAGTAAAGAAGGTGGGGTCGGCGGAAGACGCAAGATGCTTCCAAGAGCAAACCACACCTCTCATCTCGAACGGGCGAAAACGACCGGCACGTACGCAGCAAACGGAGTGGAAGAGAGATGCACCAAAGTACACAGTGCGAAATGCGGATATAAAACAGAAGTACGAAGGGTATGTACAGTACTTCTGTGCGGAGTTTTGCGCGCGGTATGTACCTGTACAGTACCACACAATATCGACAGCGGCAAACCATATAGAGTGAAGCAAGGTAGCAAGGACCGAGGAAGATGTGGTGCTGCCCAGTGGCAGGAGGAAGTGTGAAGGAAGAGAAATGGGCAAGACACCGAACAGAGGGAAGGAAGGAAGACGGATGGAGAAGGCACGGAGGGTAGCAGGGCTCCTTTCTCTCTGCTTCCTCTTGCCGCTCCCGCGATTGTTGTTGGAGTCGCTACTGCTGCTCCTACCCTCACACTTCCGCTTCGTGTCCGCACATTGCCCACGCCTGACCCGGACTGGTTATGGTCGACCGTGGTCTGGCGCAGGAGGAGGAGCTTGGTAGTATGTAAGGTGTAAGGATTGGTTGCGTACGAGCAAACGCTGCGGACTAGGCAAGTACCACTTCGCCCTAGCCAAGGTACTGAGGTACTTGGGCCGAAGTATTCCCCCTGGGAAAAAGAACAGACGGCAAGAAGGGGGGGTATGGTGAAGGAAGGAAAAGGCAAGGTATTTTCCCTGGTTGTGTTCCTAGCGAGGTACCTTTACTTTGAGGGTGGGCGCGGACGTAGACTTGGACTTGGAGGGTGATGGGAGGATTAGGATGGGGAAAGGGAAGGGACGCTGGAGCAGAGGGAAGGGGGCGGCACTCCTCGACAGTCAGGGAGGGGAGGCGCGCCCACCTTCCTCTTCCCCCTTCCAGTTGCGCCTTCCCCTCTCCTTGCCTCTCCTCTTTTTTTTTTTTTGATTCGCGTGCGTGTGCCCAGTGTTGCCGGTGCCAGTACGAGTGCCAGTGCGCAGACCAATTTTTGGTACGGATACCTACCCAGACACCCACAGCCATTCAGCAGCCAGCTGGAGCACCAGCGGGCAGCAGCCAGCCAGCACGCCCGCACTCCAGACAGACACCCAGACAAGAAGTGACAAGGCCGGCCAGAGTGGGAGGTGATCCAAGGCGAAAGAGGAGGAAGGACCAAGGTGACCCCCCTCCCACCTAGACGCCCCCCCCAGTCTCCTTGCCAGTCTTTGCCAGTCCCAGACTTCCCAGCAAAAACAAGTGCACCCAGGCGCGTTGCTCCCGCACAATCACTCCCCCATAGTAAAAAGGCTGCTTGGCCCTCCCCCCATACATTCTCCCTCCCTCTTCTTCTCCCATACAAATCTCCCACCCAAATCCTCCTCTCATACAATCCGCACTCTCACAATACCACACATTGCAGCCTACGCGCACTCAACCTGTGAGTACCGTTCTCCCATATCGCCCAACCCCATCAACACCGCAAACACCTGCGCAACACTTGACTTTCTTTTTCTCAACGCCGCTGCTATTTTGGACTCGTCGCTTCGACTCTCAACACTCGGAAACTGCTTTTTTTTACAAAGTCGGTATCGTGAGTGCAGTCGAGCGAGGAGCTTCTAACCTGGCGTGCACCTCTTGAGCTCTTCATCTTATCGAGCACCCATCATCTACAGCAAGCATCGTCCAAACAGCTTCCCAGCTAACAAGAGCTTGACGCGTCCAGAACACCCCAACCACAACACCCTCTTTACCTTACAAAAACCACCTTCAGGTATGCTTTACGATCCCTCTTCGACGACTTTGAGCTTCAAAACGCAATTACTTCGCGTTGCGGAGTCCAATTGCGTTTGCGCCTCAACACCACACACATTGGGTCCCGCTCCGTAGCGGCCCATTTACATCATCGCCCGTACCCTCGCGCCACGACACTGCGACCATGTCCAGTCGTCGAGACGCAAGAGACCAACCCCATTCCCGTCCTCTTCCTCCAATCATTTCGCTTCATCTACACCATGGAGCAGAGTGATTAACCCTTCGTCTTCCAGGTACTCAAAATGCCCAAGGCTGCTACTAAGCGAGGCGCGGCCGGCAAGGTCGACAAGAAGCGCGCCAAGAAGGGTAAGTTGTCACCGTTCCTGTCTAGAAGCGAGCGACACGGGCGGTATATCGGATGCTCGGTTGTCCAGATGTCAATCAGGTTGAGCATGGGTTAATCATAATCCATGCGTCACTATCTGCGTTTGACCCTGGGCTGCATGCTGGCCTGTCTACACCGTGTCGCGCGTTCCGACGCCAAACTATTTACATACCCAGTTGGCTAACACTCGTCTAGACCCCAACGCCCCTAAGCGTGGTCTGTCTGCGTACATGTTCTTCGCCAACGAGCAGCGCGAGAACGTTCGTGAGGAGAACCCCGGCATCTCGTTCGGCCAGGTCGGCAAGATCCTCGGTGAGCGCTGGAAGGCCCTCAACGACAAGCAGCGTGCCCCCTATGAGGCTAAGGCTGCCACCGACAAGAAGCGCTACGAGGACGAGAAGCAGGCCTACAACGTAAGATGCCCTCGCCCCCTTGTAACCATGGTTGTGTAGTGCTGAAGCTAATTAGTCCATCTGAAGGCCGAACAAGAGGAGGATGAGTCCTCTTGATTGCTGTATTTCTGTTGCTTCTCTGTCCGAATGGGTGGCGTTGAGTTACTTTCCCGCACATCTCTCGGACTTTCCTTGTAACTTTGGGCTCGGCGGTGTATGATGGGATTGAAATGGGTTGCTTTTCTCGTTATTCAGGATCGGCAGGATGGGCGATACGAGGTAGGCGACGCTTCTAAGCCGCCCCGCATCCATAGGAGAGCTGGTCATGCCGCCAGTCGCGGAACGGAACTGTCCACGATTGGGACTAAATGACATTTGACGGCTCACGTTGACAAACTTGTATGACTATTCCCTTATGCTCTATCCAAGTGTGTACCTGCATTCGTGGAGCAAAGTGACCGTGACGCGTCAATCCCAATGCTATGCGTGATCTATGCCCTTGTCATAAGGGTCCTTGATCCGGGTCCAGGGATCTGGGTACCAAGGACCTTATTTTCATCTGCCATATAAGGGTCCCTATGGTTGGCTCATTCGTCATGTGATGGATTGGCTCAGAGACATGGTGTTCATTTGAAACGGAACTACTCAACAAATGAAAAGTGTCTGCAGGCCAGTCGAGGGTGGTGCCGAAGCGACGGCCGGAGATGGATGGACTGGTTTGCGTGGCCTGTGTTTGGTTATCTTGAGCGTTCCCCTTCCCGCCGTTCCGCGATTGGATTTGCGATGTGAGCCAGCCAAGGTGAGCCTCCTCGGTCACCAGTTCGCTAGCCGGCGAAGAGGGTGGGGACGTTTGTGGCTGATCTCCATCTGGGGCCGCCTCCGGGCCGTTTGGTGGGGGGAGCACCTGCTGCGGCGTGGTTGGTGGCTGTAGCTTCCGATATAATCCATGCTCCTGAATGACATGGTTCTTGTGAGGCAGGAATCGAGCGAAATGAGGCTGCCTGCCTTGCCTTCTAGGTATCCCATGGGCAGACATGGCATGCAGGCGATGCAGGCGATGCAAGATGGGGGGATGTGGATGCCTTAGTTGAAACAGGTTGCCTCTGTGGCCTCAAACCGGTCCGATGGCTCGACTCTGGCCTTCAGGTTCATAAAGAGCCCGTTGTTGCAGCGGTCCTTCCCCAAACGCTATTTCTCTGGTGTTGCTCTCTTCGCTTATTAATTTCCATCCGTCGACTCGCCCAGTCTGCTGACATGCAGTCACAGAGCTTATGACCATTCCCATCACTTCCACCTTATATTCAAAACTCGACTATGCTCGAGAGTGCGACTTGCGACGGTGTATTTCGACCATCGCACGATACGTACGCAGTGAGTGGGTGCCGTACAACAACCGTAGTTGCCTCCAAGAATCCCTGGATGAGTCGGCCGGTCCGCTAACAATTGACGTCAATGACTGATCGCATTCCGGTCTAGTGGACCCTTTCCCTCTGTCGGATGGGTAGGTGAATGATCTGTTGAAGGCTAGGCTAGGTATGTCTGTAGACTTGATACTTCATCTTGCTGGGAGGCTCTGCGATGTGCATCATTGGCCAACAGAGCATGACAATCTGGAGACGGTCGACATCTCACTTGCGTTGCGAAGACGAGACGATTATTCAAGTTGCATCATCTGCTCAACCAATACGAGAGCACCCAGCATCAAAACATCGTATTTCATCACACCATATCGCATATCGATATGCGTCAGCCACTGTTCGATTCTCAGTACACAATCTACCCATCCTCACTCCATGCCCGCCAAGATCTGCCCCTCAATCGGCTTCGACACTAACTCTATACCCCAAGCCACCTGTTGCATTCTCGATCCGTGCAGCTAGTCGGTGCACTGGACCGTTTTCTGAGTCAAGGAGGAGTGCTGCTTTACCTCCTCACACGACTTTATCTATTCTCGCAGAGATAGCCAGCCAGTTTTATCCACCTGTAACCAGACACCGATGTTCCCTTGGGTTGCCCCGGAGGTCGCTGCTAGAAGTAGGTGTTTGACTGCATTGTTTATGCAGGTGCTAACTACCCAGGCGTTACGTTACCCCCGCCGGCTCCGGCCCGGCCTCATTCGTCCACCGTTCCAACTTAAACGTTCCTAATGCATGCAGATGAGGAACCGTACAGGCCCATGGGGCCATCCCCAGCAGTCGTGGCATGCTCTGGCTAGTCGGTTGTCGGATCAATCTGTCTTGAGCCCACACATCTTGCTTCGCCAGTAGTCCGGCCTACATGCGCTGCTCCTCTTTTCCAGACTTCCCTAGACAACCTTGCGAGTACTTGTTGGCGGCCTTTGGATATGCACAGCTTGCGCTATTCGGCCTGATCTTAACGACACATGCGCCGGTCACTCAGACGGATGGCGCGAACTGTTCCCTCTAAGTATCCGGCGAGCGCGCTCGAGTTCCGCTGAAAGCGAACCATGAAATTGAACTTCGACTTCTTCCAGGGCTACACTCTCAGTCACATCAGCCCGAAGAAGCAAAGGGGGAAGTTACCCAACAACGCACAACAAAATGCAGACTCTCGGTGCATCAGACAAATACCAGTAGCCACTGTACAAAGACCACGGGACGCTGTACACGTCAGACGTGGACAACCGTAATTTGGGTCCGTATGGCCAGCACAGAGAGTTATATCTGAGGTTTGACGTCGTGGTGGTGTGAACTCCCTAGCTGGCCGTCAAAATCGAGACCTGCAGCTCCGAATCGCAGTTGCAGCTGCTTCCCGCCCATCAAAGGCGGCCACAACTAGGGTCGCTGCGTTATTACTGCATACAAGACCAGATCGAGCACAGAAGGAGGGCTTTCTCTCTTCCTTTCCCTTCTTCCTCCAGCCGGCATTTCTCCTCCCACTGGAGCCGGTCAGTATACCGCCACAACTGTGTGAGCCACCAACGGCGTTATTCAACTACTTTTTTTTAAGGACACTGCTCTGATCAGGCGGTGATATCGAAATCATACGCGAAACCCACGGTGAGGTCCCGCACGAAACAGCGGGGGTTGCAGCCACAAGACCGTCACACTGGCTTGCTTGGTTCGTGAGACGATGAAACCGTGAGAGGAGAGCGTCGCCATTTAGGCCTTGTCCTGAACTGCACGTCAATATGGAACAGAGTCTTCAAAAGATTGACTACCGCCTGCTTCAGGGCTGTTGTCTCGAGGCCGAGCGGGCAAAAATCGCGTCGGTGAGCCTGGAAGGGCTTCGAATGACCCTCGCCGAGTCCTACGGCGGCCCCATCAACGCCCTGGTTACGGAGATGCGGAGGTGTGCAAGTTTACTGAGGGATTTGACCGATCTATCGCAAATGCATTTCAACCGGGTGCCTGTTCTGCTCAACTACCTTCAGATCATTCTCCCTTGCCTGTCCAGGACACTCCGCGACATCAACGACTACTACGAGGATCGTACCGTGAGCAAGGATATCCGATGGCGGAGGATGTATCACAAGATGTCGCAGGAGGTTGGAGGTCTGCCGCTTCCACAGCGTTTCACGCTCTACAACCACTTTCTGGACTGTTTGAGACTGCTCCTAACCATGTAGGTTGCATTTCACTCCGTGAACCGAGAGACGTAGGGTGCTAGCAACCATATAGGTCGCCCCAGTTCGACCTCAATGGCTTGGAGTCATTACGAGCAAGGATACTCGAGATGCGAGAAGCAAGAGGACTGCGTAAGGTGCCTCAGACCTCTGAGTGAATCTACTATTGACACGCCACTCAGCCACGCCCACCCAAGTTGGACCTGTTCTCCGGCCAGAGACTATGTTGATGCCGATGATTCAAGATCCCGTACGTGCCTTGAGCCAAGACGAAGAGGTTGTACTAACATGGACTGTCTAGACGGTCCACTGGGCAGAGCAGATATTCTCTCTGCCATTGCCCTCTCGAACGGCCCTCAAGCACAACAAAACATCGAGAGCCTATGGCCCTTTCCAAGCATGGGGCCAACTCAACATCCCAAAGGAAACCAAGATGCTCTTTAGAAGGCATGGGTGATGGTCTTTCCACTCGGTAACGCGCCCGCTAACATTGATACCAGGCCCTTTGACGAAGATCGCCTTGCACTGATGATGTATCTCAACTTGGTCAACCACACGCCTTATATCTTGCTCAGAACATATCACCTGGGGGCTCCGTGGTTTTCTCTTCGCGGAACCCACGAGCTCGTCATCCAACGCGAAGACAGCTGCCTGCAGCTCAAACGTTGGAGTGTTTCCGAGAGGAAGCCGAAGATTTGGGCGTCTCTCTACTTCAAGACATGGGAGGGTACGCCACATTCGGGGCAGCTGGATAGCCACGTTCATTGCCACTGACACGCACGCAGAATTGACCTTATTCCACTGCACCTTCGTCTCCTTGAAAGCCCGAAACATTATGACTATCAACATGAACGCCAAGGAGTTTAGACTCGCTGGGGAAAAGAAGACCTTTCAAGCGTAGGCGCCTCCTCAGACGGGTTCCTACCGGCGGCCGTCGCTCGCTAACCCGTAAGATAATAGACAAATCATTGACGACGGTTTCAAGCACTCTCTCATGGTTTACCAAGACGTCGCGACGCAAGGCTTCCGCCTCCACGCCGCGGTATGGGACGGCGAACTCCGTCTATGTCCCGTCTGGACTGCCTTCGGTACGTCTTTGCTTCCCAATCCCGAGCCCGCTCCCCGCCGTGTCCACCATCATCATCATCACCACTAACAAGGTGCACTTCGCAGTCACGCACCAGTCCGCCTCGCCGACCTGGCTCCGACGCAAAAGCCGCCACCGCGTCTGGCTCACGGATATCCAGCTCTACGTTTTCTGCAAGAGGTACCGCCAGCAGAACCAGCGAAAGGGCGAAGCCGGCGCCTTCGAGATCAACTTCGTCTCGGAGGGCGGCGCGGCGCACTTCCACGAGGCGTTTTGCTCCACGCCCTCGGAACCGTCCACCGGTTCGCCGGAGGCCATCGAGGATGCCAAGTAGTGCGCATCCCCTCCTTTCGCACACGGACGATCCGCCGGAGGACCTGGGGTTTACCCATCCCCACTCTACCTCCGGCTGTGGTCCCAGCTTTCGCCGTCCTTTGCCCGGCTTCACCGCCCGTTCCTGTGGAGAGTCTCGGTTGTGGTCCGAATATCGACGTGCTGGGATGAACCCACCTCGTTCCCGCCCTTCTCTTTCACTCGCCGACTCCACGCTCCCCCCTCCCTCACCCAGGACCTCGTAACGAATCCACGCCAGCAACAGGCAGCTTCTTTGTATTTCTACGTCCATCCGCGCTCTTCCTATTCCAGCGTTACGACGGCAACTTGCTCCAGGAGGGTGCTTCCGAGGATCATGTCCTTGCACGAGTGGGGTCCAAAAGAGTAGTTGAGGAGGGTTTCGTAGCGAGCAGAATGCACTGGCAGCATTGTAGTCAGTTTGCAGTGTCCTTTCTCCTTTCAATTTTTTTCCTGTTCTTTTCTTTTTTTCACAGCGTCTTCACAGCGTCTCCTTGGCTTGAGGCTGCCCTTTGTTTTGTTTTCTCACATCACGCACCCTCCTGCTTTAACGATTTACGACTTGATGACGTTTACGAAGTGTTAAAAGTAGTTTTTAGTCTCAGGGTGGATAATGAGAGATGGCGACCGTTTCACGAACACCACCAATGCAGCGGATGGCACGACTTAGCCGTGGCTAACTACAATTGGCTTAACACACAGCCGGAATGGGACGTTTTGCACATTGCCCGTTGGGTTGATTAGGTGAATTGATTCAATTTATGCAATCGTGTACCATCGTAACATCGTCCACGGCAACCCTAATGCCGGGCTTCTCTATACTGAAGCGTACCGTTTTAAACACCCCTCTCCTCTCGTGTCATACAGGAATGCGCTTAGGTCTTGACGTCGGGCTCGTCGCGACCGATGAACTCCTTGAACTTGAGCAGCTCGGTTGCCATCTGGATCTCGGGCTTGAGGAAGTCCTGGGCATCCTGGTCGTACGTCTTGGGGTCGCTGCTGTGCTGCTCGAGGTAGAGACGGATCGTGGCGCCGGAGGAGCCTGTGCCGGACAGACGGACGATGATGCGGCTGCCAGAAGAGAAGGTGGCGTACAGGCCCTGGTTGGACGAGACGGAGCCGTCAAGGTCGGTGTAAGAGAAGTTGCCGGCGCCGGTGACGGTGCGGTCTATGCAAGTTAGTTTTTGGTCCGAAGACTGCGAGTTGAGAGACAGCTTACCTCCGACCTTGCTGCCGATGAAGTTGGGGTCGGCGACGAGGTCCTTGAGAACACCGACTACCTTGTTGGCGCCCTCGCTGTCGACATCCTCGTAGTCGTAGCGAGTGAAGAAAGTGCGGCCGTACTCGTTCCAGAAGTCGTGCTGGATCTTCTTGATGGAGGGGGTGACGTCGGGGTTCTGCACACCGATACCGGCGATGATGTTCAACCAGGCGATGACCGCCCACAGACCATCCTTCTCACGGATGTGGTTGCTGCCGGTGCCGAAAGACTCTTCACCACAAATGGAGAGCTTGTCGGCGTCGAAGAGGGCGCAGAAGAACTTCCAGCCGGTGGGGACCTCGTAGCAGTTCAGGCCCTGCTTCTTGGCGACCAGGTCGACGGCGCCGGAGGTGGGCATGGAGCGGGCCAGTCCGTAGACGCCCTGCTTCTTGAAGTAGGGGATCAGGTTGGCGTGGTGAGCGATGATGGCAAGGGAGTCACCGGGGGAGACGAAGGCGTTGGCGCCGTAAATCATGTTACGGTCGCCGTCGCCGTCAGAGGCGGCACCAAAGGGGATGTTGTTCTTGTCAACAACCTCGACGAGGGAGTGGGCGTAGGTGAGGTTGGGGTCGGGGTGGCCGCCATTGAAGTCGGGGCTGGGCACGCAGTTCTGGGTGGCGCCCTTGAGGCCAAGCTCCTTCTCGAAGATGGCGGTTCCGTAGGGGCCAGTGACGCCGTGCAGACCGTCGAAGAGAACCTTGAAGTCGGGGTGGGACTGGAAGAACTTCTTGATGAGGTCGAAGTCGAAGATGTCCTTGAGCATGTCGACGTAGTCGGTGGTGCTGTCGACGACCTCGACCTCGAGGGAGCCGTAGGTCTTGGTGCCGATGGTGGAGATGTCGACATCGGGGATGTCGGCGATCTTGTAGGAGGTAAGGGTCTTGGAGGCCTCGTAGATCTTGTTGGTGACGGACTCAGGGGCAGGGCCACCGTTGGCAAGGTTGTACTTGATGCCGAAATCGTTCTTGGGACCTGTTGGGAAATGATCATTAGCTTGCGCAAGGCTTAGCGGGGGGTAACAAGGGTGCTTACCGCCGGGGTTGTGGCTGGCAGTCAGGAGAATACCACCAGTGGCCTTGCGCTTGCGGATCACATGGCTGGCAGCGGGCGTGGACAGGATGCCGTTCTGGCCGATGAGCAGCTTCTTGACGCCGTAGGCGGCACCAATCTTGGCAATCAATTGGACAACCTCGGGGTTCCAGTAGCGACCATCACCACCAATGACGAGGAAAGAACCTGCAGAGACGGGCGGTCAGTTTTGGGAGCCGATGACAAAGTTTGGGGCTTTGTGTGATGGTGGATCCGGGATTGTTACCCTCAACGCCCTCGGGGATGGACAGGAGAATGCTCGTGACGAAGGACTCGCTGTAGTGAGGCTGCTGGAAGACGGTGACCTTCTTGCGAAGACCAGAACTGCAGAGTTGTTAGCGATGCGCGGTCGATGGAGCGGGTGTGTTGTGGTACAGGACAGAGAGGGAGCTATGGCGGGGTCGCGAAAAGTCGGGGGAGACGGAATTGGCAGGAATTGGGAATAGCATCAGAGAGAGGGATTTTTGAAAGGGGCATAGCTTACGTTCCGGGCTTCTGGTCCTGGAAAGGCTTGAATTCAACAGTCTTGACGTCCATGATGCCGTGCAATGCGGAGTTGTGATGGTATCAAAAGGGAGGATCTAAGGATGCAAGAGGGAAAAGGAGAATATTCGATGGGAGCTGTTGACTATTAGTGTCTCCCGTCTCCTCATGCGAGCTGGCGTAGGTGCGGCAACAGGACTGGCGGGGGGGAGAACAAGGAGGGGCAGTTGGACCAGGGAAAGCTTGGTGCGGTGAGAGCACATCCTAGAATACTGTAGCAGCTGTGGGCAGAACACGACGGCGTGGGACGCCTCAGTGAATCAACGAGGCGATACGATAGGCCACTTCACTGAGCAGAGCTCGCCATGGTGGGGGTTGCTTGACGGTGTCTGGACCAGTGATATCATCCTGAGGCTGGACGTGGGCGGGGTCACCTTACAGCAAAGGAGGGGCAGCTTCGATAGAACCCCTCACTCGCCAGGGGGATGTTGCAGGGGAGCAGTCTTCGCCATTCGCACAGTGAGTCGACGTATTGTTACCGTCTTTCTAGAGCGTGTGCATCTTTCAGCGCACCGTACAGAGTACCTCGTGAATGGTCAACTTCTGACACCCGACTCGGTAGTCAGCACTTCATCAATCCCCAATCATCTCACTGGGTATTTTTCCCATGTCAACTGCTCTAGGAGGGTTTGGCCAAAGACTTTGATGCTTGTTCGGCTCCGTCTACAGCAAGTTGTCCGCCCACGCTTCCTCCTCATCCCGCTCGCTGACGGGCGTCTCCTGCACGCTGGCATCTCCCCGTCTCCATGTTAATCCGAAAATGGCCTCTCTGTAGTACTTGGCCTCGTCGATACTCTCGAGAATGTCCTCCTTGGCCTGGTGGAGCCCCTGCTTGACAGGAGCGCCATCCACAACCTGTGATGGGCACCACCGTCTCGCCGCCTCCTTGAGCGAGCTGACATCGAGAATGCGGTGATGGAGATGGTCAATCACCTTGCGGTACGGCGGTTTGTTGAGGAACGACCGGTCCGCGTGCACGCTGTTGCCTGCCAGCAGTGCCGTCTTCTGCTCCGGGACATACTTCTTAATATAGGCGAGCAGCTCATCCGCCGCCTGCTCCGGCGTTGTCGTCGACTTGATGACCGCCGCTGTTAGGCCGCTGTCCCGGTGCGTTCGGGTGCACCAGGCGTCCATCTGTGCCATGCGCTCTTCGGTCTGGTGCACTACGCATCCCCAACCCTCTGGGTCAATGACTTCCAGGTTTCCGGTGGTGATTATGCAAAAAATCTCTATGATTTCTTCCTTGTCCGGATCCAATCCCGTCATCTATGAATGCGTTAGTCGAGGCTACTCCTTGAGACGACGGGATTTCTTGAAACAAGAGGCATACCTCACAGTCAATCCACACAAGAGGGCCGTCCGACGCAGACTGCATCTTGGGCGCAGACGTCGTGGGTTTGAGAGGGGTAAGAAAGTCCATGGTGACCGGTGTGTCCTAGTTCTCGACAATTTGATCCGGCTTTGGGCGTTGTCGTGTTTGCGAACTAATGGAATGAAGGCATTCGCAACATGCAGATTCTGTCCCGTTTCTACGTTGGCTTGGCCGAGTCGTCACAAGTATAAGGATGTGGCGGTACCTGGCGTGAAGGTGGGGATTTGATGTGAGCAGCAAAGCCCGACTGTGGCTTGCTCCTTTTGTTACATTAACAGGTACGTGGCGCACGAGGCATCTGGCGATCCGAGCAATAGCTTGCTCCCGCTCATTTTCCATGTTGTCTCACCGCCAAAGGTTCTGTGCCGGAAACCGACCCCCTCGAGTACCTAAGAACAAACAATCGCGCGGTACGTACCTGCCAGCACTGATAAGATAACATAGGTACCGGTAGTACCTACCGCAACTGCGACTACCGTACCACCCCAGACTGGCCTTCAAATAACACCCTTATCATTGGCCGAGACCCCAGAGACCCCTCTTGGCCGACCTCAATGCCGTTGTGATAAGCCACCCAAGCTCCTGCTCATCTTCGTTCCTCAATGCTCCCATCGTGTGTTATCTGTGCCTTGCCTCTACTACATCCTGCTGTTGCAAACGACATTGTTTACTCGCCGTAATCGGAAACTCTCGTCTTTGAGCACCCAACAACGACCGGTGAACGGTCCTGGATTCAGCAGTGGGTGCTTCATCGACAACGACCTCGTCATGTCGTCCGTCAAGAAGTCGGGTTCGCCCGTTGCGGTCTCTCATGATCAGCATTCAACTCCAGTGCCACCGGAGAAACCTGCCATGTCCGCCTCACCACCTCGCATACTGATCATTGGAGCTGGTTCTCGCGGCCAGGCCTACGCTCGCGCGACCGAGACCTCCAGCAACGGTGTCGTGGTCGCTGTAGCTGAACCCATTGCCTACAAGCGACAGACATTCGGCCGAACCTACATCTGGGGCTTGGACACTCCGCAGGAAGGACAGCAGTTCGCCGACTGGACCGAGTTTCTCGCATACGAGACTCGCCGTCGCGAGAGAGAGGCTGCTGGTGAAGATGTGCCCCCTGGCGTCGATGCCGCCTTCATATGTGTTCTTGACGAAATGCACCGCGATGTTGTCGTTAGCCTTGCACCTCTGGGTCTGCACGTTATGTGTGAGAAACCCCTGGCGACATCCCTCGCCGATTGTCTCGACATGTTTGACGCCCTCAAGCCGCCTGCCGGCCAAGAGCCTAGGAACGTCTTCTCGATTGGTCATGTTCTCCGTTATAGTCCACACAATATGCTCCTTCGCAAACTTCTTCTCGAGGATCGTGTCATTGGCGACATTATCAACATTGTGCACACTGAGCCAGTAGGATGGTGGCACTTTACACACTCGTACGTGCGCGGCAACTGGCGAAACGAAAAGACGACAGCACCAAGTCTTCTGACCAAGAGCTGCCACGACATTGATCTGCTTCTCTGGCTTCTCAGTGCTCCCGTCAGAGCCGGACAGGGTAGTCCCCATCTTCCATCCACTGTTTCGTCGACCGGTTCTCTGCAACTGTTCAGGAAAGGCCGCAAGCCCGCCGCGGCAGGCAACGCAACGAACTGTTTGACCTGTCCGCTGGGCGAGGAAGGGTGCAAGTACTCAGCCAGGAATGTTTACCTGGGTCCAGACCTCAAGGGTCTTGGTTCTGGGAATACTGACTGGCCGATCAGCATCGTGCTTCCAGAGATCGAGGATTTTCCCACCACATCCGAACGGAACAAAGTCCTGGCGGCCAAGCTTGCCGAAGACTACGATGAGAAAACCCCCAAGGACGTAGTAGCTTCGCGCAATTGGTTCGGACGCTGTGTGTTCGATGCGGATAATAACGTCTGCGACCATCAAACTGTAACCATCACTTGGGAAGATGCCACGACGGGAACTGCAGAAGCACCCAAGCAATCCAAATCAGCCACACTGCACATGGTCGCGCACACGAAGAAGATATGTGAGAGGTATACGCATATTTATGGCGTCGACGGCGAAGTCTACGCCGACTCTCGTACAATCACCATCGATGACTTCAACACGGGCGCCACTCACTCATATCATCCGACTATTGAAGATGCCGGCCATGGTGGTGGTGACAAGGGCCTTGCGCGGCAGTTCATACTGGCGGTAGACCGAGTCAAGAACCACGGCTGGACAGCAGAGAGAGCTCAAAACGAGTTCATTGGGTGCTCCCTCGAAGAGGTCATTCGCTCGCATGCTATGGTATTCGCGGCGGAAGAGGCGAGAACCGGGAAGAAGGTTGTCGATTGGGAAGAATGGTGGTCGAGGAAGGTTACAAACAACGGCAGTGGGTGAGAGCAACGTACACATCGCCGACGCGTTATCCAGTGATGGGAAGAAGGTCCAAGCCGCAGCGTTCTTGATCGTGGTCTTGAGCAAAGGATTGGACTCCAAAAGATCAAGGTGTAAGACATCAAACCTGGTCACCGGGAAGTCTTCCCGCTCACTCAGACACCTCGCAGGGGGGATGCCAATACCGATATCTCGTCGTCAGCTCGGGGACTCAAACCCGACGGGATCTCCCCGAGCTTACCATGTTCATGAACGTCAGCCAAGTCTGTTGTCAACTATGCATGTTCCTGTCAACGAACGAACGACTTGGCGGGGATGCTAGCCGGCATGGCATGTACCTTGCGGTCCAGTGCTGGTCGACGTTGCCATCAAGTCACATCCGTCTGGTATTCAGAGCGTTGTAGCGTTGATCTTGTATGTCACCTGGTCTTGTAATTTGATTGTGCCCGAGCACCGTTGTCCCCCAGTTTTCAGCGCATTTGATAGACCCCGACCCGTCGTTGGCTAAAGTTTGTTCGTCGACAGAAGCTTGATTCAATGCGATCAAGCCTAGCGGCAAACACACCATCATCGGCAAGCTGGCCCGGCGGCAGGTCCCCGTCTATGATATATTGTTGAAAAGTTACCAAATAGGTCTTATGAAATCTCCCCGGCGGATTCTTCCGCGTCAGGGTTGGTTTTATCCAACACCTCGGGAGTGTTCCAGCTGTCGTGCAGCTCACCTCCGTACAGCTTCACCAATGGTTGGCTTTTCCATAAGCATCTAGACCGGGCAGGCATATCAGCATGTCGCAGATTACGCCCCCTGCTGTCACTCATTGCTGCGTATATGGAAGGAATCCTAGTTCTGCGTCAGCTGAAGACTTCACGAACGTCAATCATACAAGGAGCAGTCCCCGACGGTCCGTCTCCCCGCCAGACTTCGACGTTAGTTGTTTTACAGTTCATTCGGACGTGTTCCCGTTGTTGTGACGGCGTCTTAACCGGCAACTATGCTAGTCATGCCGCCAGTTGTCTACCTTTGGAGAACCGACGAAAATTCCAACTGTGCAATCCTTGGCTATTTCAAGAGACCACCCCCGGCGGTCTTGTCCGCGATGGAAGAACAAAACATTGAGATAGCCTACTGGAACCTCCCCGGACCCGCTGTAAATTAGAGATAAAGCTGACGATGCGATATACGAGGAGCAGCCGCTGCTGAGTGGCCGTTCGGGGACATCACCAGGTTTGAGCTTCGTAGCTTGCGGTGGACCGGCGGATAGCTCTGCCAAAATCCTTCCAGAACCCGAAGCGATAAAGCAGATTCCTCCCCGTTCTTCAGACCGGCGTCAGACCGGCGGCTGGCCGCAAGTCTTGAAACGCCCGCATCAGCGACGCGAAAGAGGAAACGAGACACTGACCAACCTCGGATATTGCGCTTCGATAGACCTGCAGCTTGCTCCAGGGTCGGTAGCGGTCTGAAGATGTAGCGCCAGCAAGCGGGGCCCAGCTTCGGCCTACTGTATTTGACTTTTGACACGCTGCTGCCATGAATCGAACTTTGCTATTGACAATGCGAAATTGGTCGGGCAGAGCAGGCGTTGTACTTGTGTTGCGTCCCCACCGCGAAGCGCAGCCAATATATCCAAACTCAATTCAGAGTGATTCTCAACAAATGCCCATACTACGGGCAGGAAGAGCCAGCGAAGCCGGCGCTGGCGGTTACCCTTTCCCGAGAACTACCGCTGCGCCTTATGATTGATCTTCACCAAGCCCCAAGCTGCCCAGTCAAGATGTCTTATGCCGTTTGAAAGCCAAGCCTTGTTTCACTACGAGCTCCCCCTCATCATTGGCGAGCTCACCCCTGCCCGATGCTCGTGTTGAGATACAGATTCACTACTGCAAAAAGCCGGTATATTGTCGCCCTTTTTCTGACCGGAAGTTGTGTGCGTAATGATTCCTGCACGTCTCGGGGATCCACCTCACGTACGCAAAAGTGTAATAGGATATGCGGGACATGTGGCGTTTGCATTGGCAGGTGAATCTTTCCGGCCTGATCGCCCAGCCACCATCATATCTCCCCGACCACTGGGGATGAAGCGAGGACACGAAATGCGCACAGTCGATGCAGCCGCGCCCGCCTAATGTGGTATCCGCCCGAACTCGCGTCTAACACCCGAGGGAAGCTTTGCCAAAAGCCTTGCCGGACGGATGCATGCACAGACTTTCCCACGTCAGCTGAGGGGGCAACCTGACAACTCGCTCGGGTTCTTAATCCAATGCCAGCTGGCTGGAGAGGTTGGCTTTCTGCTCCTCAAACTCCCAAGAAAGCTCTCTTGGCGAGACATCCCGAAGTCTGTGCGCCGAAGCCTACGGCCGGTTGACAGCACACCTTCATAAAAGGGACCCTTTTGTCCCCTCTTTCGCCCCAATCGCATCTCCTTGAGCTTCTTGGAAGTGAGCAGTGCCTTGACCTGTACAGACACCCCCACTCGGACGAGTCCCCGACGACGAGATTGTGTCAAAGAACCAAGATTAGCCTTTAAAACGGACGCGCATCACTGAGCTTCTCCCACTGCCGCATTTCTCCGCCGTTCAACCTGATCCGTTGACCAGTCTATCCTGTCTGTCCCATCACCAAACCTTGCCAATCACCCGTACACCACACACATTATGCCATCCTCCGGATCTTCACCCGCCGCCGGGGACCTCCCCTTGGGCCCCGTCCGGCGGCACATTACCACCCATGATGCCAACGGCCGCGCCGTATTCTCGGACGCCTTCCCCGTCGAAGTGACGGCGGATGCTCTGCCCAATATGTTCTTCCACACCTGCTACACGACCTCTGAGTCGCCCGTCAGCATGGGGGACGACAAGGATCTGGCCGCCTACGCCCCGCACCACCCGCGCATGCCGACGCTGCACCTGCCCTCGGGTTCCGTGCTGCGCGTTGTAGACTTTGGCCCGAACACGGAGCCCATGATGCACCGCACCGAGTCGTGCGACTACGGCATCGTGCTCAAGGGCGAGGTCGAGTGCCACCTCGACGATGGCAATGTGAGGAAGTTGAGCGAGGGCGAGATCATGATCCAGCGGGGCACGATGCACGGGTGGAAGAACGCGACGGATAAGTGGGCGCGGGTTGTGTTCTGCCTGCAACCGGCGGAGCCGGTCAAGGTTGCCGGCCAGGTTATGGAGGATGACATTCCGTTTATCAAGCTGTCACCGGAAAGGCAGGCGGATTTTGAGAAGTTCAAGGCCGAGCAGGCGATGAAGAAGGCGGCGAAGATGTGAATGAGGGATCCGGGGTTTCCACGGGGATACCATGGGCCCTTCTCCAGACCAGGCACATGACGAGACGCGTATTTGGTGGACGTTGTGAGGTCGTGACTAGAGCAGGCCAGAGGGACAAGTTCTTCAGAGGAAGAACTTTTGTGTCGTCTGCTGAATGAAGTTGTTATAGCCTTTCGCTCGCTCATAGCTAGATACTTCAAAGTTAGTGAGATGTGAACCGTCGCCGGGTCTGTGTTGATTCAGTCGGCCAACTGAGTTCATCTGGGACTGACGACATACATGAGGCCTTGCTGAACCTCAAGAAAACTAAAAATATATATATACACCAAAACCCGTTTGTTCGCCCTTGGCTTGGTTGGAGTGATTGCTGGTTGCTAAATTGTACAACGTGGGGGACAAGCACTCTGTCCATACGGGCCAGGCTAGAATAACGACCCATGAACCATGGCATGCTGCGAGTGTTTCACAGACTCATGATATTTATGTCACGGCCCTATTGCTTGAGAGAGAGAAAGGTATTGATAAAAGCACTCATGCGTACTACTACACAACAGACAAAGAATGCGGGCGCTTTATCTCGACATTGCATATACATCTTCCCGTCATGTCCCAAGGCGCCGAGCGCACAGCGGCGCTATTACTACACAAATAAGCATTCCGGTGTGGCTATGCTCCCTCCCTGGACGATCAGCAACTTACACGGTGGTGAATGTGTTAAAGAGACGCAGAGTCAACATTTTCTCTCTGAACCGACGCTGCCACTGCAAGCACTTTGCTTATCTTTTGCTACTAAGACCTCTGAGCATACTGTACTATTTGGTTCGGCCCCAAAGACATGAACACAACGTAGAGTAAAGCTGCAGAGGAAACGCATCTTTCCTCATTCCCATTTCGGGAATGGGAATTGGATACCCATGGGTACCCATGAAAATGGGCTGGGTATGGGCTGCCATATAGAGACTTCAATTACCCAAAGAGTCCATGCCTAATGAACCAAACCCATGGGTAGATTTCAAAATTTGCTGGGTGTTCTGGGTAGGCCAGACGAAAAGCTGAAGAGCGATAAGGAGGGGCAGAGATAAAGAGGACTTGGTCTCGGGTTTGATTGGTATTTTATGCTGCTCAGTTTAGTAAACATAACAATCTTCATCCTAATACGCTTTCTCTACAATTTATTGCTTTGTAGCGAAACCCCTATGGGTATTATGGGTAGATACATACTGAATATAAACTTGCTCTTGGGTAATATGGGCAAATCCACACTACCCACAGGTTGGCCCCATATTAGATACCCATACCCATCACTTACCCATCTACCCATGGGCTACCCGTGGGCTACCCATATCTGCCCACGGATCTAATGGGTATAAGCCCATTTGGGTACCCATGGGCCTTCCATTCTCCTCGATCATCTGCCACCTCGGTAAGGAGATGGGTCAACACCTCAATCTCAAGAGTGAAACGGAGTTTAAGAGGGTCAGGCCTGTCTGAGATAAACCTCAAAGCTGTTTCCCATGGAAAGTCGGCATCTCCTCAGTTGACATTACTGAAGCTGCCACGGACTTCAGACGCCATAGCTCCCACTGGATGAGTCACGGCATCCCACCGTCATCGCCGGTCAACTCCAGCGCGTGGGTGCCAAAGACCGCGGGGCTCACAGAGTATTTAGACCGAGGATTGGCCCAGACTTTGACGTCGTAACCAGGGACGGGTTCGAACTTTTTGTAGCGGCGTGAGCCGAGGTCAAGGTGCGCTGCAGCTCGGGTTTGGCTTTCGTGTCGTCGAGGTTGTTGGTCCAGACAACTATGTGTTTCCAGTCATGTCTGTGGTTCTTGATCTGACCGAGGTTCTGGTCCTTGGGGATGTACTACGTATACCTGATGGCATAGTCGTCATTCTACCAACGGCCGAGCACATGGGTCTGGCCCGCGCAGTCACAGTATTAGCCGGTCCGAGAATCGCTAGATGCGAAGCCATCGCTGTGGTCGCCATTAGGGTCGACACCAGGGTAAGAATAGCGGCTGGTGTCGGGGGACAGGAGAAGCGGCGGGGAAAGCTTGAAGGCCCGTCCAATGGTATCGTTGGTAGTGACCGTATCGAACCGGCGAACTACATTTTGATTGATTCCTGTTCACTGCGTCGCCCCAGAGTTTTGTCAGTTACAAGCTCTTCAGTAAAGCAGCCAGAGCGCCGATGACGGCAATCACAGATAACCAGAGAGTGGCACGCGTTTTAATGGCTTTATGGAGAAATGAACACAGGTGATAAAGAACAGTGGAGGTTTATAAGTATATTGAAGGTGCTTGAAGGTGCTTGAAGGCTGGCTTGATGATCAGCAACGTCGCCGAGGAATTGAATCAACAGCAAGCGGGAGCATTTGTAGATGATTCCGAATATCTTGATACTCTAATTCAGCTCTTGTCCATGAAGGAACTTTGAACATTGACCTGTTGATTTGTGAGACGCCATTTTCCGGAAAATGTAGGTGCCCAGGGGAGGAAGTGGCCTATAGTTCCCCTCATCGTCCACTCTGACCCATATGATGGCTTGAGTCCACAAGATAAGAGGACTTGAAGCTATCGACGCATAGCAGGTAATATGCTATGAATCGCAACAACTCGTAATAGTGGACTCATACCAGAGCCGAGTATCTGTCGTCGAAGGATAAAGCATTGTTCAAATGAATGGAAATTCCATGTAACATATTGCGAGATCTTTCACACCCTTCTGCTCAAAATGTAGCAACTCCAGGCCGACCGTCGTCTCTCCTATCCTTCGTTCAGAGTCGCTCTGAATTCCACCACATGATCTACTCAAGGGTCAATGAGCTATTTTTAACAGCCTTTGCCCCCCACTTCAAGTCAGTAAGCACTCGACTAAAGTGGTCTGAAGTGGATGCGTAATTCCATTGGATCGCTTTCGACTGAGGCCAAGCTTCTCAAACCAACCTGCCATGAAAGAAAATCAGTGATGAGATTGAAACTCCTGCAGTAAGCAAAGCCAGGCCCGAGTGGGGGTCATGCTGCGGCCATAAAAGAAAAGAGCAAACAGGGAAAAAATGAAGAAGAGAAACATGACACTTTTTGCCTTTCAAACATTCAAGTAGACTTCCGGCACAATCAAGGGTGGGATCTCTTGGGACAGTTGGCCTGCAGGAATCACAAAATTACTCTATTTTCATTGCCGTTCTCTCTTGGAGTTACTATGGCTTGTCATCACATTGTCGCCTAGCGCGCGTTCGAACCAGGAATGTCATGTGATCACGGACTGCACAGCGCGGCATCAAGACCTCAGCCTCCGCCGGCAGTCGTTCCTTATTGACTGGAGGTTCATAAACCACCAGGCGTTGTATCATCTCAGGGGGATCAGGTCAGAAAAGCAATCATTGTGGACTGGACGAGCGGGCAATGGAGCCTGGTGAAGAAGCAAGGTGAATCTGACCCACACCAGTGAGACTAGGTAACTCATTTGTAGTTGCGGGTGGTCACTGATTCGACACCGTTCGTCATGACTATCTACCGACGCTGGCCAAGGATTTCTGCGCGTGTTGAAAACAAAGCATTTTTTTCTCGTGCAATGTCTCACGCATACAGGGAGAAACAGTCGACGAGATGATGACACAGCTGCACCGGGCCTAGAGAAGCTGAATGCAGTCAAAAACGCGCTTTCTAACTGGTGGATGTATAACTAAGAAGAAGGGCAAAACACCCTGTTTCCAACCTTCCTGCTGCCTTGCGAACAAATGGAAGGTGGTCTGATATTAACTTAGTCAAGCAACGCGTCTGGACTCCAAGCAATGGTTGATTTGCTGGAAGAGGCTCAGGATTTATGGGTCCTTCCTTATTGACAGACATTGGGGGGGGGAAGGCTGGCGCGTTGACGCGACGGGGATTAGAGTTATCGCGGGAAGACCGAGATTTGATACGGAGTTTAGCCGAGCATTCCCGAACCGGTCTGAGGCCGCGTCTGACCGCGAAAGTCGAGGGTACACTGGCAGGATCATGTGCTAGGCGAGTGAGGAGAGGTCAGAGTTGTGAAGGACGCTCCAAACCCTACAGAGAACTGCTTTTGACCACGGGTTTATTGCTCAACTTGCTTATTCGCTCGACACCAGACACGACACCACTCTGTGGCCTCCCCAGACAAGCGCGACCCGCCCGAGAGCCCTCGTATCCACTACCCCGAATCCAACACCCCTGATCCACCCCGAGAAAGCGGGTCAGCCACCGGGACCGTGAGAGTGAAAAAAAAAACGAAAATTTGAACTTCCGCTCTCATCCTCTCATCTCCCAAACTCATCTCGCCAGCGTCCTCTTCAAGTCACTCATCCCTCTCTTTCAGCGACACCGCTCTGCCTCTACCCTGTGCCAACACTCCCCTCGCACCGCTCATTCCCACGCCAGCACAGCCCAACATGCCTCGCCGCGCCGCCCTGGAGCCCAAACCCCGCAAGCCGCAGTACTCTCCGGAGAAGCGCGCCCGCATCGCGGTGCTCTCGGAGCTCGGCATGTCCCTGAAGGAGATCTCGCTCAAGGAGGAGGTCCCCGTCTCCTCCATCAAGGGCATCGTCACGCGCTACCGCCTCCAGCAGGCCGGTCGCGACCGCCCGCGCCCGGGCCGCCCCCGCATCCTGTCCGACAGGGACGTCAAGAACCTCCTGCGCGTCCTCAAGGAGAAGCCCGCCGTGTCCTACGCCGAGCTCAAGCGCGAGGCCGGCGTCACCTGCGCGACCAAAACGCTCGTGCGGTATCTCCAGATGGAGGGTATCAAGCCCAACAAGCCGCCCCCAGGCGACTCTGAGGAGGAGGCCTCGCGGATGCGCGTCTTGGCGGACGAGGCTGAGAACGAAGACGAGTGAACGAGAACCCCGCGCGCGACTGCGGAGGAACTCAAGAACGTCGAGCCTGGGATGAGTTGTTCAATGAAACGACCCGTTTGCAGGCTTGCAAACACCATTTATACGTCCCAACAGGACAAATTGCCTGTGAGACCCGCCATCTTTGGGTGAAACCTGGCAAAGAGCTGATCGCAGGCCACAGAAAGCGTGGGCCAAGGATTCGGTTCCCCATTAATAGGATTCGCGGAGGAGAGAATCGCCATTGGGTCGATTGCAGAACCGTTGCGGTTTTGGAGGATGTAACGGTGTCGCGAGGCCGATTGCTACAGTAGTTGTGCATAGCAGTGGAGGCCTCGACAACTTACCATGAACGTCTTTGTGTGCCGCTCTTACAGATTCAAGAGGCGCCACACGAGCTGGATGTCGCCCTCATTCTGTTGCTTTGGGGAGGAGCGCCAGATCAACAGCTACATCGCCGCGAGGCGAATCCTCCTGGCAATGGCATGATCCCTTCGTCGGCGAGGAAGAACGAAAGGGGAAGCGGGTTAGTTCTCGACAGACATGAATAGAATGAGTTGTTCGTCTCCTACGGGAGGATGTCCGATGATCGTCAAATGAGCGGCGCCTTGCCATTAAGATTTGAACCCTAGGTCGACCTCGGAGCCTAGCGGAGTCTTTAAGAAGGCAACTGGATCTACCTGCCTTCACTCAATACATTATCAACGTGCCTCAGATACGTCGCGTTCCCCGACTCCCCGACCACCGCCTCTTCGACGTTAGGCAACAACCTCTCCTTCTGCGCCCTCATCCTCCACCCCTCCCAGTTGATGTCCAACATCCGCTGGTCAATAAACATCAGCTTCCCGCCCTCTCTGACGGCCCCGCAAAACACCTTGACCCAATTCACCCCGCCGTCGGTCTCTTTCTCGTCCGTCTCCCAGTCACACAGCTGCCAGCCGGGGGTCTTACGTACCTGTCTCCGCTCTTCAGCCCGGCGATCACGAGAGACTCGAGGCGGAGACAAGCCATCTCCGCAGCGCCAAGACGGATGCTATCTTCGGTCGCCCGTCCTCGCCTGTAGGCGCGCAGGTCGAGATAGAGGCTTTCGAGCTGCGTCATGGCGCTCCATTCAACTGCGAGTAACTCTGGACCCCGTTTGACAAAGAGCTTCATCTCAAGCCTGAAGCTAGTGAGTGCGTTGCGCCGCAGGCGGAGTTCACGCCAGGAGTCTCTTAGCAGGCCGTTGAGCATCAAGTGTCGTGGTAGCGCCGCCTTTGCCGGGTTTGGTCCAGTGTCAAGACCGTCGGCACTTCCTCCGCGAGTGGTCTCACCACATTCGCGAAACACCAACGACCCGCCAGCCATGCACTTACCTAACTCGTCATCCGGACCCCTCGGCCAGAGCTGCTCGAAACGCTGCAGGACATGCTGTTTGATGTCTCGTAGAGCCCCCTCCATCGCTGCAGGGAACCTTCGTACAAGCTCCTCCATCAGCTCACTCGAGTCGTCCGGCGTCATCTGCTTCATCAGAGGGAAAATCACGTGGCGGCCGTCATCGTGCCTCATCCCGGTCTCGAACTTACCCCTCACGGCGCCGGCGCCTCTGATGTAAACGTCGACCCGTTGCAGGTCGTATATAGCGTTGATAGTGCTCGCGGTATGTTTGCAGACGCCCCAGTCCGGAACGAAGAGCGAGAGGGCACAGGGGCTGCTTACCGTTAGAAACCCGAACAAGACCTGATGTTGAAGCTCGACAGGGAGAGAGGCAAGGCGATCGAGGATGCCTAGGTCCGAAGGGAGTACCGCGGAGGAGCCCATGCCGGGGTGGGGTGTCACGAAGCCTAGGATATGTTAGGGTCTGCTCTGCCAAATAGGTTGCGGTCTGGAGTGTTGAAGCTTGAGACAGATTGATGGAGAGCGACTCTTCCAACGTACGATACCAACCTTTAATAGAGCCTCGGTAATCTTTGGCGGTGGCCCGCAGCCCGGTCTATCTCTTTGTTCAGCAATCCTCAAAAACAATATGTGGTCCAGGCTCGGGCAGCGAACAATGCCATTGAAACCCGGTTCTTAATCCTAGAAGCCTCAAACATTGTGGAAGCGCTTCGAACCAAAGACTTGGAGGAAACATAGAAGATCCCTCCTAAGCGGAAGCACTCGTGCGACATGTCGCCGGTGCCTGTCACCCCCTTCACCACGGATCTGACGATGTTACTGATCTCTGATGATTCGCCATAGTAGGACTTTCCTCCCACACAGCCCTCCCACCACGGGTATAACGGCCTAAAACCACAGAATACGACCTCATGATAGTTTATAACAAGAAAGTTGCTGAAGTACACAATATATCCCGATCTTCTTATCACTTCAGATGCAGAGCCTACACAGGCACATTGATTCTTGATATTGATCTATTTGGTAACGAGGGATCAAATTAGCCTGCCAAGGAAAACCCTCGCGCTCAACCGTCAAGACCAAATTAGCACTCTACCGTGGCCTGTGGCTGTCCCGCCTCGTCTCTGAATCTACATTGAACACCAATAAGCTGGTAGGATATGAGAGTGATCAAGTTTCCACCATTTTCATCTGCATCCCTGGCCGGAAGAGGCCGTGTTGACATGGCTGAACCTTGACAGACCATTTAGTTCCTTGCCATCATCGCATCGAAAGGTACTCCGCACCATTGGCGATGCCGCTTCAAATAGTAAGAAGGAATCATCGGCCCAGGTGGCCCTGCGGCCTTTGATTGACCAACGGCCTACCACAAATCTCAACCTAGCAACCTTGGTTTAAAGGACACCACAGTCGCAGAAACGGTCATTCCTTGCTGCGAAACAGCATCAAGACATGACTTTGAATTCAATATGCCACCCAAACCAGCCATATCTCGTTGACTGCTCAAGACGCACTTATTCCTCAGCATTCACTATCTCGAACCCGTGCTCGTCGGTCACGGCCTGCTTCGCCGGAGGCCCCTGGTCAATCCAATAATACCCTGGTTCCGATTCCAAATCCGATTCCAGCTTCAATCCTGTGTCCCGCCCCTCGACGAAACCTACCTTCCACATCAGTTACACCATTCAATCACTCAATTGTGAACCGCCTCGTCCCCGTCATAAGTGAGGCTCCCGCCGCCGTTGCCGCCGACTCACCTTGCTCCACACGACCGTCACCACCGCGGTTCGCAACAGCTCCACCGGAAGTGATGCTGTCATGTCGGGGGATCTGAGTCTCGAGAGCATCCAGCTCAAAAGGCTCCCGCAGCTTGTGCATGTCGTAAGGGGGCTGCAACTCTTCTTCCTCGTTGTCATCCCACCCCTCGCCGCCCTGATACTCACCTCCAGCAATCCCCTGGTACAGGCCCTGGTTCGATCCACCATCAACGCCAAATGTCTCATTCCCAGTCCATCTGCCTCCCGCAGCACCCTGACACGTACTCCCATTGTGAGCGCGTTCAGACCAAGCCAAGTCATCCTCGTCTTCTGACTCCGGCCACGAGGACCAGTTCTCGCCAGCCCCTTCGGGCCGGCCAAGGTTCAAACATTCCCACCACGCAGCCTCTCCCTTCTGCAGCCTCTCCTCGCAGAATCGCGCCTCCTTCAAAAGCCCCAGGTCAATCAAAAAGTCAACAACGTCGTACTGTGCGCCCTCTTCCTCTTGAGCCCACGCCAACAGACGGATCACACATAGGAACTCCGCCGGCGCCGCGTCCCTGCTCCACTCGAGCAGCCGGCAGCAGATCCGCGCCCACGTCGCGATCCACTCCATGTCGAGCGACCCCGCCGCCTCGCGGAATTCGACCGTGTTCATCTTGGTCGTGTGCCGTTCGTTAGTCCCCTTGGATATATCATCCCTCCTCAGGCCCTGGGCATTGACATTATAGAGACTGTACGCGTCGAACTTGTAGTTGATGTTCTTGGGGAACGACTTGTGCCTCATGAGCTCTCCAACCTGGGCGACAGTCAAGTCGGCGCCCAGAAGGTCTCGGACGCCGGACATCACGTCCCATCGGGCCGGCGGGACCCTACGGCCGGGATCTTCGATGTTGACTCCGGAACTCATAAGATATCCGTCGAGGAAGCTCACATCGTCGCGGATGTCCCTTCGCATCTTGCCAGGAACGCGGGGGTAACGGCGTGCGATGGGTGGAGGGCGGGGCCGGGGAGGGGCGTAGACGTCTGATGTCAGGTTGCGATAACTTTTCGGCATCGGTACCGGGGCTTTGTAGGTAAAAGGGGGGAATCCAAACTGTTCGCTGGCGTCACCGTCGTTGGGTCTAGTGCCTCTGGCCTTGGGTACGTCTTGCTGGTGCTGCCACGGCTCTGCCTGAAGGAGCGCCAGGTCGTCTTCTTGGTCCAGCTCAATCTCGCGCGACATCGCCTCTGGGGTCACATCTACATTCACTGACTCACCAAGCCGACGATCTCTCCCGAGTGTCTTCGCCTTCTTGAACTCTGTCGGATCCATCTCAGCCGTGTTCCTCGTGTATGACAACGTTTCATACCACTCCCCACGTTCAGCGCTGTTGCTGTTCTGGACAGTGAGCTTTTCAACCATGGAATCTGCCGGGCCGTGGCCCTTGCCGAGATTCGTGATCTCGTTTACTCGAGCGGATTGACTGTATGCAGTGGCAGAACGCCAAGGAGGGTGAAGTCTACTGATGACAGGATCAGCCGCCCACAACACCGCAGCAAACTGCCGCAACGTCCTAGCATCGATCCTCTGCGTCGGTCCGGCGCCTACATGGACGTGAAAGCCGCAGCTGGGGTTCACACGGCACCGAAAGCTGGTTGTGACTACACTTACCGCGACCCGAAGTATGTCATAGGACAGTTCCATGTCGTACATGGCCGGGGAAATCAGCTCGACCCGCTGCCAGCGGTACCCGTCGACATGATCTGCTTTGAGAGAAATGTCCTCTACGATCCGGAATGATGACATGGCGTTTTCGCCATGGACGGCTTGGGCGGAACCGAGCTCACCGTACTTTCCTTCGCTGCCCATCACAGGCAGACCCGCATCGACCAGAGCACGTTCAATTTGATCATACACGTACCCCATTTTCGGCTTATATATCCTGGCCGGAACACCACTCCTGCGGCCATATGCTGCAGTTCTTTCCCAATCAACTGGAACCGTGATCAGCGTCTGCAACTGATCCTTGATGTCTGCATCGGGATCGGGCTCCCCTTCAAGGATGAAGGCGACAAAGAATTCGAGTTCAACACCGAAAGACACACGCGGGGGCGTGGTAGGTTTCTTGGGGCCACTCATGACGAATTAGGAGGATGGTTAATGTGGAGGTGATGTTGATCCGAGTGATGTAGTTTTGAGTGTTTGGAACAGTGCAGATCGAATAAGTTACCGAAATATGTGTCAGCAGTCGAGCAGTCAGCTTGTCCGAGATGGGAAGCGATATATGTACTACAACGTCTGTCAGCAATTGCCATGAAGGTATTCTATGCCATTGAGAGACAATGAGCGTTGTCTCCAACGGATCTGTATGTCCCGAAGAACAGTAAAAGCGCGAAACCATGGCGCTAGTGCCATGGTTCTTTGACAATTTTTCTATCTTTCTTTAGCCGTTTGTAATGTTAAAGGCATCTGCCAGTAAAGAACGACCGGATTGAATGCATGTGGCATATCAATATGAAGGTCAAAGAGGCTGTCTCAGCTTATTGTCGGGCAAGCCATGCTGACACAGATCCGATACCCAAAGCAAAGATGGGCAAGGGTTGTTGGGAATCAATTCATTTCTTTTACGTCGTCTTGACTGTCCTCAATCATGCCTAAAGCGCAAAATGCAGAGCAAAAGCAACATGGGGTGACACCACACCCATCCCCTATAACGCACTGACTCCTCCTCGAACTTCAAAATGCCATACGGTTGGGAATATCCATCGTCTCCATCGCGTAATTCCACGTATTCCTCGTCAAAAATTAGGGCCGCGCAGTAGGCATGCGGGATCGGGTAGTAGGGAAGGTGAATACAAAGAAGTGAAAGGCCGCCTCGAGTCGGCCATTGCTATCAATGTCGCCGCATAAAGCAATTACAACTCGAAGTGGCCGCAGCTCAAAGGCGCAGATGTCTAGAGCATGTAGGCGAAGAGACCAATGGCAGCAACGGCAGCAGCGTTTCCGTAGCGGGCAGGGTTCGCAGTCGGAGCGGCCCAGGCAGATGAGCTGGAGCTGCTGGGAGCCGTGGTCGCGGCAGAAGCAGCGCTGCCGGTTCCAGTGGGAGCGGCGGTGGTCGCGGCCGCGGCCGAGGTGGTGGTACCAGAGGCCTCGTTAGCCTGGGCGTCGATAGTACCGCACTGGGACTTGATGCTGGTGGTGCAGTTGTCCTGGCCATTCTTGTCGCCAACATTGGCGGCGATGCAATCCTCGAAGGCTTGGTTGCAAATGAATGTGGGCATGGTCTGCTCGTAGTACTCGAGACCAGGCGCAGAGCCGTTCGAGCAGAGGCAAGAGTACTGAAGGGTGCCCTGTCGGCTAGAGTTAGCACAGCTACAAAAGTCGTGTGGTTTTTTCCCTCCTCTCAATATCTCTTTCATTCTATTTAGTTGGGGGCTTAGGGGAGAGACCGGGTGTGTAGAGCGCGTAAACCATGTTTTGGGGGGCGCTCGTGTCAGGAAAAAAGAGGGTAACTTACCGAGTCGCAGTCGTTGGTTGTGGGGTTAGGCTGGCACAGGACCTTGCAAGTGTTACGCTCGGCGATACACCAGTTGGCTGAGAGTAAATGTCAGCTTGATCCTCCGAGACTCTGGCGTACGGCGAAGCTGGTGGCGCCGGGAGAAGCTGTGCAGCTCCGATTGACTTACCCTTCTGATTGACCGTGAGAGCTGCGACGTTAATGTCGGCAGCAGTGAAGACCTTACGCTGAGCAGAGACAGCAGCGACGGCCGAGAGGGCCAGGACGGCGAAAGAAGTACGCATGTTGGCGAGTGGTGATGCGGCACAGAGATAGTAGAATGTGCGGTTGTTGTTGTTGTGTTGACGGAGATAGACAAGGAGGTGTCTAACGATCAATCAAGTAATATTAAGTCCCAAAGTATCGTAGACGGCAGCGTGAGGATGTTGTGTCTGATCTGCTTCCTGGTGATGTTCGACGGACGGTGGGCGGGAAAAGAGAAGAAGGGCAGTCAAAACATACGGGCGACGCGGGCAACGATGTGGTTTTATTGTAAGGCAAGCATGCAGCAACGGCAACGGGCAGGTGTGGTTCCCACGTCTCTGTGTCTCCGTCCGCACTTGCCTTGAATGCGGTAAGCGCAATGGGGAGAGAGAGAGAGGGGGGGGGGGGAAGGAGTGTGAGGGTGTAGTTTAAAGCGCAGGTGCCAGTGGACAATTGCAAGGGTGGCTGGTGGAACAACAGAAACCGCACCTTGCCTCTTGTGAACAACAGAAAGACAGGCAAGGCATGGTTTGATTGCGGCATCTGTCCGGCCGGCCGCGGTGTTTTCGCTCCTTCCCTCGCTTTTCTTCCCTTCCCACGATGCCCGCCGTCCAATATGTGTGCGCGCGCGTGTGTGTCTCTCTGAGGCAGTTGCAGGTTGCCGGTCTTGGCTCCTTCCCACACAAACTGTGCATGTGGCTGGGATCCACATTGTACCGGGGCATGGCGGAGGAGAGGATAGGAAAACGACCAGGAAGGTCTCCTCCTAGCGTCGTATTGGCGCGTCTTCTCCAGTGTGCCGTTGTGCCTATCTCCGTCGAGAATTTCCATCAGTGTTGTTGACTTCCCTCGCCTCGCTATGAAAACGACCCCAACACCGAGGCGCCAGCCCAAACCGCACAGACGGTCCACGATTTTCTGCTATCGGCAGGGGGCCGTCGACCGACTCGGCTGGCTAGGGCGGTACGTACCCGATAGCCTCACGCGAGATAGGAACGCTGCTTGGGCAAATAACGTGAAGCCACGGCTTGACATGGCGTCCTCTCGTCCCAAGCTTCCCAAGAAAAAGCTAAGACGGCGCCATCCCGCGAGTTTGATGTGGCTAGATTTCGATCGCAAATTTTGCAGAGCAATCTCTCACACTCACACACTGTAATCAATGTCATAACGCCGTCAATTGCTGAGGGGGACCCTGTGGTGGATGCCCGCTGATGAGCAGGCATTGGCCGCCCTGGTCATTATACCCGGCCCCGGTCGCTTCAGACCTGGGAGACTGAAACTTTCGTCAGTCCCTCGTGATGGCCTCATCCGCGTCGTCGCATCTCTTCCGTCTTCTTCCAAAATTACTCCAGACATGGCCCGGCAGTCGCACACCGATGCCAGCGCCGCCAGGTCTAATCATGCCAGACTGAACAGCCCCCCCACTCCCCTTTGTTGTTGTTGATTTTTCTTCCATTATGACGGTCAATGCCTATACAAGGCTCCCGAACCGGATTGCTTCTCTTATCCTGCTCTTCATCCGTTCCCAAGAAGCACTAACGAAAACAGCTGCTGCCAATCGCAATGAGATGGGACGGTGACGGCACGCCATGTGTCGATTGACCTGAGCGGGCGATGGTCGCAGCTCCAGGTGCCATTACAGTTCCATTCCTCGCGGCTCCTGTCTCATACCCGAGAGAAAGAACGAAGAGAAAACCTCGCGTTCCCGGCGTCTCCTTCGGTTTTGCAGGCCCGGGCTTTCATCTCGGACTAGGTAACGCTACCCAACACAGCTCCACCTTCTGCAATTCTTTCTTTCTGACTCCTCGAGTTCCTCCGCTCCTCGGTCTACAGCGAGAGTGCGCCATGCCTATCTGGGACTAGCCTCTTAGGAACATCAGCCACAGATATGCACCTTGGCTGTTGCCGTGGTCCGTGGAGACTTGCAGTTAGCGTAGGTAATACCCAGGTACCCGCAGGTTCTGTGGGGACATGGATATCTATTGCCAATCAATTGGACGCAGTCGATTTCGCTCCAGCAGCGTTTGCGTCCTCCTCTCCCATCAATCCTGCAGGTGGCTTGGGTTCTCGGGTTCTCAATGATTCCTAACGTGTCCAACGGGCTGCGACCATCTCACGGCATCTTCTCCGCAGTCTCTATTCGCAGGGCTGCGCTGTTCATGTCCTGCACGAGTCCGGTCAAGCGGTGTTCATCCTCAACGCCAACCTCCACCACCACCTCCCCCTCCTCTGGTACCTCGGTGGATTGCTCATTTATGTCTCTGACGACGTCTCATCTTCCGAAACGAACATGACCTCTCCTGCCCCTTCTCACATCGCATCGCGTCGCCCTCTTCTTGGCGTCTCTGAATTACTGGCCATGCTGACTGGCTCCCTGCCGCAGTCTTGGTACCATGGCCTGTTTCTGTTGGCGAACCCCCTTGCGTTCAAAACGTCCTTTTCCAGCGGAGACGTACCCAGCATTCGATCATCGCATGGCACATGCCGCTTGCCTTAACAAGCCGCCAGATGGACATCTAATGGCTTTCGGTCGAATCCGGCTCCAACTCAAAGCCCTGTCCCGCTGGCCTTACAAATATATCCACCTTATCTGGAGCAAGCCCGGCGTGAGCGGATCTTTATGCCCAAAGCTCCAACACCGTTGGACGCCAATGAACAATTGCGGCGCAAAGAGGCCGCCCTGCAGAGTGACGAGTCCTTGCTCGGCAAAGCTGGGGGCTGGCACCAATACCACAGGTATCTCTCAAATCGGCAAAGCGGCCAGTCCAAGCGTGTTGTGGCAGTAGTATCCGTACCGACCTCAAGTACCACCTGGATCGGTGGCACCCAACAGTGAGCTTCTACGGTTTTGGGCGCCGAGCTAGCCACAAGCCTGCTGTCCAATCAACATGATCAATTGCATGCCCAGCTTTTTGGTGATCGTCATCAGCAGCTGCTCGCTCTCAGGGCCGCAGCCGGGAGGGGCTGATCCTTTGCATTCGTCCGAGACTGGACTCATCGCCGACTCCCCAGCCTGGTTTCTCACGACAAGCGTCACTGGCGTTTCTGTGCCTGAGAGACCGTTGGCAATCAAGCATCTCTTTGTTCAATTTCCACTGGCCTGCTCCTCCAACGTCAATCCAAGCAATTGGCCAAGTCGCCCTAGAGGTTACTGAGCCGACATCACATCGGACCATCCGCGGCGTCTATTGGACCACGCAGATTCTCCGCATCTTCCAGCTGCATCCGTCCCATCACACCCTCCATCACCAACCACCCCGAGCCATGCGTGTGCATACCTCTGCAGGTAGGCAGTACCTATTGCCTTATGCTGCACGCAGAACTAGCCGAGAGCAACATCTAGCTGCCGATACGAACTGCTTTTCTGCACCGCCGGTAAACCCCACCACCGAGCTTACGAACTCATCACTTAGCACCTTGCCACCACCTTTTGGTGGCTTCGGATCCTATCGGGTGGCTCGGCTCGACGGGCTCGACGGGCTCGATGGGCTTTCTCAGCCAATCCCTCTTTTCTTTCCCTGGACAAGTCAATGAACCGAGGCGGCGACCTTTGCAGGTACTTTCGGAGGCGCAACAATTTTCGACCGCCAATGCACAAACTCGTCTTGATATGGGATTTTGGAGATTTCCATCGCCCATGGAACAAGAAAGGATCTTCGGAACACAAAAAACCCGCCCCCAACGCCGCCAACTTGGCACGCCGGGTTGTGGGGGCCGGACGAGGATCCAGGTTCTGCATCTCCGTGCCCGCACCGAAACGTCCTCTGTGATCGTGGTAACGGCACATCGCATGCCAGCAGTAAACTTAATGCCTCTGATGACCCCCTTTCGCACACTTATCGTGAATGGGAACAACATGGTTGGATTGGCTGTGATTTGCTCTACAATGCCTTCTACTTCTATCAACCAAGACCCCGATCAGTATGAAACGTCAGCCCAATGGCTGTCGTCGCCAGTTGTAGAAAGTGCCGCAATACGCAAGACACTCCAATTGTCTCCAGCAGCTGCCTGACTGCTAGACTCTGTTCTCAGAAGTTTGGGCCTTTCTACGCTCTCCTTGCAACAGGCTCTGCTCCGACTTCGAGCACGTCTTTCACCACGCCCTTTTCGCTCCTCACTTTCTCGCCTCCGCTCCTCACCCATCGGTTCCACGCACCCAACTGCATACACAACCCTTCCATGGTTGTACACTTGGCCTGGTATCCCAACCCGCCATCTTCTACCCGTCTGCGTGCGTCAGAGTCATTGATTATGGCGTTAATGGAGCCAGCTATGCTGGCTGGTTGCAGCATGGATAACGGCATTTGAGGTTCCGGAAATACTTTTTGCAATACTGGCACCCGCCAAAGCAACAGACAATAAGCTTCTATGCAGTGTGCTACCAGCAGCAGAAGCAGCGGCGGCGGATACTGCACATGGAAGGGCGTCACGCTGAGTGATTGTACGAGCGTGTAGAAGTCCTTGAAGACTGGAGGCGGGCCCCCATCCGTGACCAAGAACGGCCGAGCGGCCACCTTGTGAGCGTGTGGCCCGAGGAGGGCCGCCTCGTATTGCAGATGTGCCAAAGCCACGTTGCCTCCATGCACCCAGTTCTGCATGAAGGGTGCGGTGAAGGTTGGGAAGCTGGCCATACGCACCGTTGCGCCGACGAGGTAGTCGTCCTTGTGCCCGTAGATGGCGTTTCCTGGTCTGATGGCTCCGGTGCGGAAGCCGCCTGCCTGCAAGGGATCCTGCGGTATGACATTCGCGCTGCAGACAAGACGCTCCGCCTCGGCTTTCGATTTCGCATAGTTGGCGAAGAACTCTTCGTGGGCTCGCAGCGGCTTCTGGAAGTCCCTCTCGTCCAGGACCTGGAAAAAGTCTGTTGGCCACTGCTTCCAGAGGGCATTGAAGAATTTCACGGGTTTCAAGGCCACGCTGCAAGATGAAGTGAAGACGAGAACATCGGCACCGGCGGTTTTGGCAGCAGCAACAACGTGAGCTGTTCCGGTGGTGTTGACGCTGGAGCAGCGGTCGTAGACCAACGGGCTGCGCTCAGACGGGCGTATGACGGCGGCGGTATGAAACACTGTCAACGGAAGATGGCGGACAGACTCGGCCCACGGCTTTGCGAATGCGGCAGAGGTTGCTGACTCTGAGGAAATGTCGGCCTGCGCAAAATCGACCCTCGACACCGGACCCTCGCTCATGTCATCGCGTCCAGGCTTACGGAAGTCAATGATACGAACGGCTTCTGGTGGGTGGCCACGCGCGATGAGCTGAATAACCAGCTGCCCTCCGACCAAACCTACACGATATCAAGGGTTAACTGGGTGCTGCATTACCACCAGCATGAGCAAAGAGATGCCTACCAGAGCCGCCGACAACGATGTAACGCCTGTCCAGTTTGGGCGGCAGAGACGGCGTCCAGTCGATGGGCTGTTTCTCTATTCGCTCAAAAGTTCGCTTGACCTGCTCTGGCGTCCATCGATCCGGCGAAATCCGCAAAGCCTCGGGGTAAGAGGTTGACATTGCGCGGTTGATCTTCCAGAGGTACACCAGCAAAGTTGTCAGCAAGCCGAGGGCGATCCTGACGGTCCACGAATCCAGCGCCATGTTGGTCAATATCGTCCACTACGGCCTCGCTCGTTTGATGCTCCCGGCGTCAACTACCCTCGTGGAATCCGCTGAATCTGGCGCTATTGACAACAGAGGCGGAGCGGGGGGTACAATTGGAGAAGAAGCTTGTTTTCCATGACGCAACGCGAAGGAGGGGAGGGGGCGACCGGGTCGTTTTTATGCCGCGCAAGACGAGCTTGAGCAACTCGCGGGTCGCATTTTGAATTTGGACTGATCAATGCGCTAGAACACATTTTTGGGGGGAGTCTTAGAGCAACCCCACTTCTCCGGTCATTGCGCCGAGTGCCATTTAGAGCGTCAGGCTCATCAATCTCCAAGCTGAACTCGCCAGCGGTGAGGCAAGCGGGTAGCCGAGGCCCACACGGCCGCCGGGCTCCAAAGAAGAGAGAGTTCCAATAGCCCCAAATATCCAAAATGTAACGTCAGATTGCCAACCGGGCCTCATTAACTCTCCGGGTATCTCTTATTCGTATTCTGAGCAAGCAGCGTTTCCAACTCGCGTGAGACAAGCATCAGGGTGGTGGCATTAAGAGTCCCCATTGCCGCAATCTTATATCCCGAACAAGAACAACGGCATGGAGAAAGGGAAAGCATTCAAGAGAATTCATTATGCTCTTTCGGCGCGTAGACTTTCGGCCGGTGCGACCCGAAACTAACACCAGCGCGCGGTCCACGAAGCCGCCAGCGGTTCATGTTGCTTGTGTGGAGAGCTCTCCTCCAAATCCGCATTCGGACACTAGGACATTGATTGGCTGGGATGGCTCGTTTCCCCTGAGAGCTTCCCCGCACATGCAATCGGTGCCATACGAGACGTGCAGCATGAGGGGGCACCACGGAGGGGCTACTGCCCGCCGCTCTGTCAGAACCTTATTGTGTCCTTTTCCAAGGCGACTTAGATCGGACTGTCATGAGATTGTAGCCTGATTGGCAGGTTGGGCAGCCCTGATTCTGTTCATGCGGGTTAGAGGAAGGTTGCCCAGACGAAGGCTGCATATGAGGCTCTGTTAAACAACGACTGGCGGATTGGACGTCAATTCTTGGCCGAATCAGAGAAGCCGGGGCGTAGACTTGGCAATCAGGCGTCTCAGTATTTGTCCTTAGTCTCTGACTGAACGACTGCTCTTACCTCATTGACTTTCACGGCGAGGAAATCTTGAACTCTTTTCTTGCTGATGTTCCATGCTTTAAGCGAGCTCGAAGTTGGCTCTGTTGTTAACGTCTTAGACAGAAGAGGCAGAAGTCTAATTTGTAATTGAGAAAATGCCTTGACGGTCACTCGGCCGAGACAAAAGGGGATATTGCTGTCTAAACGTCAGCCAATACTGGCCTTTGTTTGTCATGTCAAATCGACACTACGCCCATGATTCGCCAACACTCATTGGTTAACGCCAGTCCTGGAGATACCGGTCTACACAACAAGAGCGCATGGAAGAAAATGTCAAGGGAGGTAGTTTTATGATGGGCTGCGAGTTTTCCAAGATGACAACTGCCGCGAGCCCAGGACAGCTTGACTGGCCCTTGTGCCACTCGTATTCGTGGCGCAGTTGCGTAGACATCGACGGTATTTCTGAATGATACACAATCAGGGTAGAAGGGTCGCCTACACCAAGCGACCTGAAACTGTATTGCTGTTTTGGGGATCAGCTGGTTAATTCATGAAGCTCTATGGACTTGATCCACAGCGCCAGCCGCGAATTGTATGATAGCAGCAACTGGTCACATTTGGCTCGAGTTGGGTTAGACTAGCTAGGGTGACTGTGTGTTGGGTAGGCTGTCTGAGATGTTTGGACTGCTGCAAAATCTCAGTGTAGTCAAAAGGCTGAAGGAGAAATGAACAGTTCGGTGGTTTTTTTACGCCATAAACCCTGTCCAGGGCAGAACACAGAATGACAAGATTATAGGTAACGAAGACACTTGCTTTTTTAGCCCTCTGGACCTATGGGTAATGTTTACCATATTCATGTGTGTGACACTATGGGTACCTGATCGATTGAGTCCGTCCATATAACAATCAAACCTTCGTCTCGGGACGACCCCCAAGACATCATTTTCCAAATCAACTGATGAATCTTGCAGGAGTAATTAAATGCATCGGGGCAGCAAAAGCCATGTAGAACAGTTTTGCTGCTGCGCTAATAGTGCGCTCGTCGGCCGCTTTGTTGCTCCCGCTCTTGAGGCCGATAGTCCTCTTTGCATTTCGGCAGCTCGGACAGGGAAAGAAACTGCTCGATACAAAAGAGGATGTGGAACACCTTCTACCCATCGACGAAAGGCAATACTATTAGGACGATGGTTATGGACATTTTACTTGTTTAACTTGAGTATGCAACACGACTGCTCTCTGCTGGGTCCTAAAGCTTGTTTCAATAATAAATGATTACTCCTGCATTTCCCTTTCGGTTTCCGGTTGCATCCCTTGCAGATGGAGATCAACCGACCGACTGCCTGACTTGATGTCATGGGCCAACACAGAGAGCTTCCAAAGGGGTTGGGTTTGAGCGTCAGCTGGTTCGGCTTTCGAACGACATAGCTCGCTGGGTTGCTGTTTTCTACATGAATATGGATATACATACTGAATACAAGTGTTAGACTTAAATCTTGAAGCTGTTTGACATAACTGGTGAGTACGGCATTTAAATTTGGTTCTTAAGCCGTTCATTTTTTGAAGCCTTATCGAATCTAACACTAGAGACTTTTTTGTGATTCGATTAGCCCTGGTCTCGAACTGAAGCCCAGTCTGAGGACTGCGCAGGGTAAGGAATGTGCGAGGAACATGTTTGTGCGAATACTTACTCTCTCCATTCTGAGATTGCTCTGCTTGACTCTATGGTACTCCTAGGCATAAAGGTCTCGAGGGCTTTATGGTTCCGAGTTCAAGGGTAATTCGTGTACTCGTCGTTGTTCAATTGTTGAACCCTTCGGTTACAGTATTTGACTACTGGACTTGCCATTCAGCTCGAGTTAAGCACGTGTTTTACGTCTAAAGTATGGTCTCGACAGCCTACTACTTCTGGGACTAGTACTATTGCTCGGATTGCTGGCTTGTGCCGTGGTATTCCAGAAAAAGATATTAGCCACAGCAAATTCTTTGAGGGCGCAACCATTTGTACAATTACACCGAGGCAGGAAAGTAGTTTGAAGGTATGACAAGGTGTCTAAGCGTAATATCTACTAAGTGAGTCATGTTTGCCTAAGCAACCTCCAGACTTGCGTCCAACATATATACTTTTCTATTTTAAATCGGAATGAAACCTTAATCTAAAAACAAGGTATCATAGAATCCAGATATGCTTCATACAATCATCATTCGAGCACAAGTCAAAGGCCTTCGGGTGCCTGAGCATACTTCCTCCACAACGGATCACTCAAAAGAGCCTCCATGGCGTCATTCTCAACACCAACAAACACTTCAATACCGCCTCTCTGAGGGTCCGGCAGGACAATCTGCATCGTGTGGCACACACCCACAGACGGGGGCCGGAGTGCCAACATCCGCCCACCAAGCGCCGTACCCCATTCGATATCGTAATAGGGGAACTCGCGCCATGAAGACTGCAACATGTGGTTGCCCGGCATGTCAAGGAACATGGTGGGCGCCAACCGTGAGACATCCTCAAGTCTCTCGACCAACGCCGTCAAGTCATCGAGGTAGGTGCCCTCCGTCTTAGCGATGGCGCGTCTCACGCAAACAGCCAGATCAGCAAGCGAGCCTTCAGAGACAACCTCGCGAATGTCCAGCACCGCAGCGGCGAAACCAAGAATGTTTCCGATTGTGTGCTTGTGAACGGGAACGCCGGCCCGACGGCGAGCGTCGAGGGAAACACCCATCACAGAGGGGGAGGGTTCCGGGTTTCCTTCGGCGGCACGGAGCTTCGACCCGTGCTGGGCGGACATGGTTGCGCGCCAGATGAGAGCAGTAAGTGCGTCGTTGGTGGAGACGAAAGAAGGTATACCCTCCCTTCCCTTGAAAAGCTTTGTGTTTGCGGGCGAGGCCTCTTCTTTCAGGGCAGCAAGGCTCTCTGGAGAGAAGTAGAAGACGTGGCCATGGTGAATGGGAGAGGCCAGCTTCGGCGGCGGGCCAGGCGGCGAGAAGGGGAGCTCAACATACTCGGGGTGGTCCTCGGGGCGGCCAGCATTGAAGCCTGTGGACTTCATCATCTTCGCTCTGTCCTCAAACGGAACCTCAGCGGGGTTTTCGATGGGCAGACCTTGGGTGCGGCGAAGTTCTTCCGCGAGGAGCTCAGTGAACTTGTACGCCGTTGTGCCGTCGGCATAAGCGTGAAGGAATAGCATGTTGAGAAGCAGACCGCCCTTGATGAAGTTCGCCTGCATCCAAGTGACATTGAGACGGTCCCCCGCCTTGGGCCACTCGCCACCGAGACCGCGCCGGCAGACGACGGCAGGGTCAAGGGCAGAGGCTGGGAATCCACGGGCCTTGAGCTCGGAGAAGGAGGGGAATGTCTCGTCAGCGCGGAGGTCCTTCGCGAGGAAGTCCTCAATCTCATCGCCGTATTGACGAAGTTGCAGAAGGCCGCCCTGCTTACCCTCCAAAGGAGCGACTTCGCAGCCTGCGATGGGGGTGCGCGCCTTCATCGCATTGTAGGCGGTCTTGAGCAGCCTGGTAAGGTGGTCGACATCATAATTGTCGGGCAGCTCAAAGTGATAAATAGCGCGAATCCATCCCTTGGGGCCAATCTGCTCGACGGGAAGGAGAGGAGGGGTCAGGTCTGACTGCGCGATGATAGGAGCAGACAGAGCTTGGGATTGTGAGACGACGGGAAGCTCTCTGACGGCAGTCGTCGAGACTGCCTTGTCAAGAGAGCTTTGAGCATCGCCGACTATGGCGACTTCTGCGATTGTTGATGGCATCTTTCTGGTGGTATTGCGGCTCTTGTTGTGAGGACGCACGGGAAGGACTGAAGAAGTATGCAAGCAATTTGTAGGACAAACGCGATGCGGGTATCGTATGGTTACTTAGAGTGTTCTTGAAGGATTCAGCTGTTGAAGAACCTGGGCCTTTGTTTGCCCCTCTACCGACCCGAACCCGCCGGCTCTCGTATTACCCGTTGGCTGGACCTGTTCGACATTCCAGAATTCCGCATGACGCGGCATGTACGATCCAGGAGAGCGGTCTACGTCGGCTGTCAAATCGAACCGTTGCAATCGGTATGGAGTGTCCAGGGGTAACGGGGAAATGATAAAGACATGAGGCTTTTGGCAGTTTTGTGATAGCCATCCATGGCCAAACAAGGCCATTGCCTGGTGATCCCAAGGGTGCATTCGATCTAGTGTACAACCTGTAATTTCGTTTCGTGCGGATCAAATCTTCTTTATCCTCACGTGGTAATCCAAGAGAGACCCAGAGTACAATCCAAGATTTGGTATTCTCTTCCAAAATGCAGATGCTATGCAGTGTATATCCGAACCCAACAACCTTGTGTGGAGTTGTCGTTGGTTCATTCAACCCAAGCCCCGGTCCATCAGGTTTCAACGGTTCTCAAGGGGACTTCGTTAGACAAGGTTCTGACAGGCAAGCAGCTGCGGGACTCATAGGGATCCACACGCTCGCCGGTCCCATAAATGGGATGAAGAGGGCCATCCCGGCGATACGTCTGCAAGAGGAAAGGTGGTTGCTCCACGACTGCATGATTGAATGCATCCTGCAGGCCAATCAAGCCGTTTGTGGATACAAAACACCCTACTACTATCAGAGTTCCGTCTACACCGTGTCGCTGAACGGCCTACCTACTGGTCCTCCATATTGTCTATCGGTTGTAGATCAGTTGGGGTGAACTGATGCAATTAGTGAGTTGTTCAAGGGGTGATCTAAATACTTGGGTGGAAAAAGATCGGCGAATGCTGCTATAGTACTCTATTAAAATGCACCTATGTACAAGAATGGCAACAGCAAATCCGTAATCATACATTGTTTTCATTCACAGAGGTCACATCAGTAAAGTGCCAAAGCAAATGGTCTATAATATCAACTTTCAATTGACTGGCAGGAATTGTGGCCATCCTCCTTTTTGACGTAATTACAATATTTGCCGGTACCGACCAGGTCGGTCCACACATCGGTTTCATTCATTCATGATATATAGATGGCACGGAACTGGGTGTTGACGTGCCATCCTGTGCTGGCCAATGAAGGATTTCCCTTGTTGTAACAGGTCTTGGTGACGAAATTATACACTATCTTCGTGCATCCTCGCCTCGATTGGCAGAGGGAGATGCAGGCGGCATCGCTAGCTACGCCATACCAGATATCTGTAGCTGGGTTGTTCGTGAAATCGCTGCTTGGGCAGACTTGATAGACAGTGTTGCCGGATATGACTGGATAGGTGGCTGCCAAGCACTTGGTGAGAGAAGTGCCGTCAGGTACCTTCACAAGGGTCTGGAAACCTTTGTTAACAGCCCAATTTGAAGCGGGTACACTAGGGCTGCCTTTCAGATAACAAGTCCGAGTGGACGGTTTGAACACAGCCTTAGTGCAGCCCACGGTGGCCTCGCACTTTGAGACACAGTCCTGGTTAGACTGATAGCCATAATAGATCTGTGGGCTAGGAACTTGAAAGTCGGTGTTTAGACAGACAGCATACAAGCCACCCTGGGAGCCAACGATATAGCTCACTGGGCTTGGGCAGCTTGTCAGAGGCGACCCACTCGGTCCATCTGTATTGCTAGCCGTAGGTTTCACGGAGGACGTAGACGATGTAGTAGGCTTGCCATCCATGGTGGTTGTGGTGCCCGGAAGTGAGGTGGACGTTGTGATCGGTGCTGTAGAAGTGGTTGCGACAGAGGCAGTTGTGGAAGGGTTGGTTATGGAACCACCTTGGGGACAATCGAAATTGCCAATGTCAGAGGAAAAGGTATAGGAGTAGCCATATTGAATGGTGTAGACGTCCAAGCCTGACGAGTATCCTGTATTGGTTGCGCAGCTTTGGTCCCAGGTGCGCGAGTATAGAGCACAAATTTGAGCCTGAACGACACCGTTCTTCACTAGTGAGTAGCTGGTGAAGAAGCGGCATCTAAGGCCGTTGAATGGATTGGTTTCTTGCCTCTGGGCAGCGCAATCATCAGCGCATAGGGCAGGATCGTATGGTTGATTGGTATGGGCCTTGTATGTGATGTAACTATTGCAACTATTGGGGGCGTTGATGGTGGCCGCATTGGTAAAAGTAGAATTATAGCCGGAAATGTTGTAGGTAGGCGCTGAAAGCTGATACCCGTTTGAGCCAGCCATCACAACGTGAAAGCCATTACTATATTGGCCATTGTTCGTAGCAGTGGACGGACCGATTGCGACACCCCAGAAGCTACACTTGATGACAGTTGTGCTTGGCGGGTTGGAGCAGGTCGAGCCGGGACTTAAAGTCGGGTCTCTCTCGAAGAAGATGTTGAAAGACGAGCACCCAGAAATCTGGGCACAATCCGCTGCGCACCGCGCAGGATCGTAGCCTGAATAGGTCTTGTATCCCTGATAAGCTGAAGCTGAAGTGGCAGATTGAAGGTTCTGGAAGGTCTGGTACCATCCGGATGGAGTCTTGGCGTTCAATGCAGCGTCAGACAGGTCAGAGTAGGCCAGAAAAGCTTCGTCTGTGTCGACTGAAGGCACCGGACCACTCCCTAAAGGCAGAGGGTTGCAATCGCGAGCAGCCAGCTTTCTGAGAGCACGCTTCAAATTTGTAGCTGGGACTGTCTGATTACCAACACCGAGTGGAATAGTCTGCAAGTTTGGGGCGGGAACTTGGGCCAGATCAGAAGACGTCATTAATTGAGCTGCGCCGGATACCGCCAAGGCGGCTAGGACGGTAAATATGTGCATCCTCGGAAGCGTTCGAGACAAAGATGACGACGGCAAGAGGAATCAATGTGAGGAGGGAATGTGTGAACGATGCGAATAAAAGAGTTGATTTGGCTGATTATCTGTAAAATTTATAGAACAACAATACCCGGTCAGATGCACTGCAGCAGTCTAGCGAGACTACATACCGGACTACCCAAGCCTACTCTTGAGCCACGACGAGAACTAACATCATCGGCCAAATTATGGAAGTCGGCGAGACAAAACGGATTCTATCGCCGAAGAAAGCGTGTCTCGAAATTGCTTGGAATCAAAGATTCGGCCAGAAAATTTGTGAGATTCGACCATCCGTTGACTACTGAAGCTTCTCATAGCAGAGCAGGACAAAGATGGATGGAGCGTGTCATCATATGGCGTGGTAATAAGATAAAGACAATCTCTTTCTTTGTCTTCACAGAAAGATATGTGCCGAGTAAACAACAAACCGAACAAAGGAGTTTGCTAAAGCAATATCTTCAGCGTTGCTTTCTCGGACATCGTTTGACGTTCAAAGTTCGCAAGCTACTCGTCTTTACTAGGTAGTCCATAGCGCCACAGCTCGTATTGTTGTGCTTATTAGCCTCTACTGCCTCCACCTCCACCAACATCAACAACGATCGTAGTAGGAAATGGAATTTTCGTAGCCCAGACTACTCCATCGTCTTTAATTGCAATCAAAAGTAGTTCCTACTTTCTAATCGTTTGCATATCAGCAAATTCCGATATCAACGCTGTATCCGTATACACAATCCGTGGAGCAATTGTTCCCTGATCCTGGGGGTTGTGGGACCTGCATGTGGAAACTTTTAAAGCGAGTACCTCGTAACACATGCCCAAGCTAATGGTTGAGAGTGGAGTTGCCGTTGGTTCCCTTTGGTCCGGATATCCGTTGACGGCTGGCATGCACGAGTCTCATGTTGACTCGTTCTTCAGCAAAGTGCTGCCGCGGAAAGCGGAAGGATCCGCACAGTCACTGATGTTGCCCAGGGGTCACAGAAGATCATCCCGTCAATGCACTGAAATCGTAGAGATCTCCACAGTCACGTCGGTTGAACGTACTCTTCAGGACTGTCGTGCCATGGATACCAATATGCATCGGGAGCCTGTTCGAGCTCATTCCAATTCGTCGGTTGCGTTTCATTGTCAGTTGACAGTAAATCAGGGGACTGATACATCTGGTCGAATTGTCCAGGGGCCCTTGAAGAAATCAAGAGGCTAAGATCAAATGGAGAGATCCACTTGCGGGCCGCCGGGTTACCTGATTTGATCCCATTTGTGGTACGGACAACGCCTCGCCTTCCTGTTCACCGGAGCTACAGTTTTTTTGGGCTCCATAGATTCACCCCTTCTCGGTGATGATTTGGCCAGTGCTTTATTAACAGGTATTGATGTGAGCTCTCAGTCTGTTTCGTCGATGATTTCCTTTTAGAAGTCAGAGTAAGTATAAGCATCACTTGTGTCTTTCGCATGCCCTCAAGAAAACACCGCCGGTGTTGCTCCGTCTATACCCTCCGAAACCGGTGGTATGCTCTTAAGAGTGTGCGGTTGCTCACTGAAGAAACTTAGTTTACAACAGGATATTGTACACTACTGTGTAACGGTAAAGTCGTGGCAATAGAGGAGCCGCACTCCTTTGCATTGTATTGGCCAGGGGTCTTCTGTAATTATAGTATTCTCCTAACTACGTATGAAAAGATCTTCGGGGCGGCGCAGCAGAACAACCCCCTGCTCCCGAGAACAAAAGGAACTATCCTCGGGTGTTCTCCGCTCATCTCATTTGCAGTCGAACTTTTGCAACAAGCACCCTTGCCGATGGGGTTGAAGAATTCGTCGTCATGTTTTGGAACGGCATGGTGTTGCAATTCTGCGTGCGATTTGGAACGGAGTGCCGATCAAGACTCGATGCTGCTTGGCGTGGATGAACGCAAAGGAGTCGCAAGCGCTTTGATCCATGCTATCGATTCCGCAGCTTGGTCGAGACGCGTGGTTTTATCGGCAATTTTGAGGTTGAAAAGGCAAGTCCATAGAATAGTATTTCTTCAAAGGTCGGTCCTTTCCTTAAGCTTGCCCTAATGTAGCTGGGCTGGCTTTACTTCTGTTTTCTCCATTCCCCCATACCCTCTTTTCCCGCCCGCTCACTGGCAATTGATCGGCTCGCACGGCCCACGACAGCAGTTATGGCAACAGATCCAAACATCGTCGCCATCTTCGGAGAGGCCCCGATAGGAATGAACCTCGACGAACAGCTTGTTGTGTCGTATAATGCTGCCTCTTGTATCTTTCTTGGCCTGGCTGCCGCTTCAGTAGCTCTTCGTTTCTATGTACGCATTACAAAGGGCGCAAAGCTCTGGTACGATGACTACGCTATCCTTCTCAGTGTTGTAAGTTTCTAGTCCACGAGAAAAGAAAGAATATAAGAAGGTCAGGAACACACAGCTATCGAGAATTCTTTGCTTACCATCCAATTCAGTTTTTGACCGGCTCGACTGTATTCATGACGATTTTTGGTAGGTAGACGATACGTTATGCTGCCTTCACAAATTCTTACCCCCTTTCTCCTTCCGGTTTGGCCTTTTTGTGTCTAGATCCTTGTGAAACTCCGCCATCTCTGGCTCCTCTCTAACGGGTTTTCAGCGGGAAGCCACGGTGCTGGTGAACATGTTTGGGCGACCAACATTAATAGATTCGTTACACTTTTGAAGGTATGTACCAATTCCCGAATCCTTTAGCAGGGCTTCCTTCCCTCCTCACACATCATATTGGTACAATTGGTTGATGAATCTCGTTGCTACAGATCGTCTATGCGGAGCCGTTCGTGTACGCTACAGCCGTAACCTCGACCAAAGCCAGCATTCTTCTATTATATCGTCGCCTATTTCACTCCAAAGGTGGCTCCAACCGTTTATATTCGATCATGTTCTGGACAGCTGCCTGCTTGACTAGCGTATACCCTTTTATTCTCTGGATCACTATGGCTTGCGCCTGTCAGCCTGTTTCCTTCTACTGGAACCAGTACCTGGGTGCCAAGGGCAGCTGCATCAATGTCAGCTTGTTCTTCCTGCTTCTCGGTATTGTCAACATGTTCAATGATATTGTCATTCTTTTCGTACCTGTACCCCGTATCTGGGAGTTGCAGATGAACAAGAGAACAAAAACCTCGATTATCGGCATTATGCTGCTTGGTAGCTTGTGGGTTGTTTCCCTTCAGCTCCCTTTTATCTTAACTACATTGGCTGACCTGATCCCTATACCACAGCGTATGCGTTGCAAGTATAGTACGAATCTACTATCTCAACGGCCTCTTCAAGAACGTCGATGTGACGTGGTGGATGGGCCCTTCCTTTGCCTGGTCTAGTCTCGAGCCCTCCGTCGCAATCATCTCCGCTTGTCTGCCTACATTCGCACCGATATTCCGCACATGTATGGGCCGTGTCAAGTCGTCGCGAAACAGCCCTTATCCCTACCCTAGCGAACGAAGTGGTGGCCCATCAGGGACCGGTGGGCTCCGAAGTCAACAGAACAATGGCAAACACGCACGCAATGGCGTAAACGGATTCGCACTTGGTCGCAGCGGTGCAGGACACTCGAAGCTTGAGGACGACGAGGTCGAACTCACCTATAAGACGACATGTGGGGACACGACCTCGAGCCGTGGAGAGGAGAGAAAGGATAGTTTAGATTATGAGCCGGAAATTAACGTCAAGACACAGGTCTCCGTGGTCTCTTACAGTAAAGAAAACAACTCTTAGAGTAGTTACGGATGTAGTGAGAATGCTATCCGTCAAGAGGTTCGCCCATTTATCCTATAGCACGCTCGAATAGAACAGAAATCCCTTGCTATCCAGTCGTGTGATATTCTGACAGACTTCTAACATGCTACCGTAATAGTGGGTTGGTATTTCAATACCGTCCGGATCAATCTCTTCGGATTCTGGTACAGGACACTTCCTGCTGGGCCTTCTAAGGATGGGTCGAGCCGCCACACACCATAAGGCCTTGCCATCATGTAACACGGACAGGCAACTCGCACGCTTGAAAACTTTCCAATAATTACTCTGTAACTTGAATTCCGGCTTTGAATGAACGAAAACATTGTATACTTTGACAGTTCATACTGGCGAAATGAGAGGAGCTTGTCGTAAGTGGGTGATAACAAACAAAGCCAAGAAAAGTAAAAGAAATTAAGCGAGGTAATACAATACCTATTCATAACTGGTATTCGTATCTCGAAAAACATTATAAAGCTCACTCCCATAAAATTTCTCTTATCCCAGCCCGTAGAGCCCGGACCCAGTATGAGACTCACACCTTTGGATGCGATGGCAATGGCGTCATGGGATTCGTAGCGCAGAACATAGTGTTGTAGCTGACCTTTGGGGTCTTCAAGATCGCTAGAGTCAGTATGGTAGGCATCCCTTGGGCTGATCCTAGCGGTATGAACCGCAGTGATGTTGGAAAGTTGGACAAACCCAAGCCACATTTTCAACAAGCTGACGGCTCTATGTTGACCATGGAATCTTCCACCACAGATGCAGGTACGAAGTGATTCCCAACGAATCCTTCTCCTTTCGACTCATAGCTTCAGCAGTCCGCAGGCGGTTAACGTTAATCTCGCTTATATCGCGAGCGACCATACGATGCTCGCCTTTTAAGTCCCTGTTGCGCCACTCGAACCAGCTTCTTTCAGAAGATAGTGGAGAGGTGAATGGCCTGGATAGCGTGTCAGGAGGACCATTATTCCAACCAGTCCTTCAGACTATCGTTATGTTATGTCATAGGTGGTTCCTCCAAATCAATTCGAGTTTAAGGTGAGCCTCCAAGATTTCACTAACGTTGAAACAACATATACGTTTGACGTGTGGTTGCCCTAGGTTTGAAGTGCCCACGTGAGACAGCTTGGTGACCACCTCTAAATATTTACCACCAGTATAGTGTCTTACAAAAACCACCCTCCCAGACTGGGTATTCTCATATTATGTTGTTATATTCGCAACCAGAATGGAGTAAATAACTTGATGTTGTTATGTTTGGCATTCCACATATGCGTTTGATCAAGGAGAAGTATTTGCTGATGAATCCTTAGTTCCACGCAACCGTTGACCAGACTTTAAGAAAATATTGGTCCTAAGTGATCATGATCAGAAAATAGAATATTTCCCTCTGATTTTGGTGGAGTTGCATCCCAACCACACTACTTTTGAACTATCAATATGAACCTTAGGCAATACTGTCAACTCGTTTTGGGAAAGATAAAGTCTGGTGCATTTTTCATTATTGCCTTTGGTGCCTAGCTTCTATCGACGATCCCATGACATAGCCTTACATGATTTCTCCCGCCACTACCTTCACCCACATATTTTCTTCGACGAAGATGTTGTAACTGTAAGAGTCCCACGGTCTGACTGGATCTGCAAGCTCAAAATCGAAGTTGCGCATCAACTGGACTGGCATTAGCATCAAATTCTGTGAGCTGGATGACCTTTCTAGCTCACCTCGAAGAAAGCCTTGTAAAGCTCCATGAACGCCACCGGTTTTCCAGCACACATGTACCGACCGTAACCGAATGCCATTTCTACTTCACGCTCTAGACTGGTTCTGGTTGTGTTGTCCTCCTCCAAGAAACGTTCGGGTCGGAATAGATCCGCATCTGGGCCGAATATAGCCCGCGACTTGAGCATCCCTGGTGCGTTCATGCCAATGGCGGTGCCGCCAGGAATGAACTTACCGTCGATGATGTCCCCTTGCGGGGGAACTGCTTTGGGATATAGTCCTGTTGCAGGCGCACGGATTCGAATTCCTTCGTAAATCAGAGCCTACAGATGTTAGCATTTGCATTACCCTTGGTACTAATCCAGGTCACAAGTGGATACTCACGCGTAGGAATGGGATCTTGCCACCCTGCTCCGCCGTAATGGGTGTCGATACGCCGGACTTGATGGCTTCCCGAATAACATCCTTGAACTTGTGGTACACCCTGGGGTTGCACATGAGGTGTAGCATGGTGATACGAATCACAGAGGCGGTAGTATCCGAGCCAGCGATCAGGGCAAAGAGGCCTTCAGCTTCGCATTCCTCCTTAGTCATGCCGTTCTTGATCCAAGATCCCTATTAAAATACATAAGCAAGTGGTTTAGCGGGAGCATTCGGATATAAGACTAACCAGCATGTCTCTTTTTGGTTCCGAGGTGGACTTGAACCTCTCACCAACTTGTCTCTCGGCAACACTGGGTTTCACAATATTAGGATTCACTCGGACTAGAGCACAACAACTATAAACTCACCCCATCATCTGCCCGATGCCATGCTTGTCAGTGGGCCTCGGGCCCAGCAACCTTAAAAACAACTTCGAGAATCGAACAGCGCGGATCAGCGGGGCATCCAAAGTGAGGGCCACAACTGGCCAGTTGTCCCTCATTTGTGCAATGAAGCCAAAAACATCCGCATCTGCCTCTAGATGCCCAAAAGGCTTACCAAATGCCGCCGTAGTAATGACATCCATGGTCAAGTACGAGGACAGTGACCCCATGTCAACCAGCCGGCCCGGTTCTGCATAGCTGTTCCGCAGGAGTTTGATCATTTTGACAACCTGCTCGTTGACGCTCGGCTCCAGCAAATCGACCTCACGCCCCGCGTACCCGGCCGCCGTTTTGGCCTTCATCTTGTCGTGCAAATTCTTGTCAATTGTCGTGATCATGGTCTCTTGATACGGGTTGAAGCGACTGGACCAGTACCACGGGTCCTTACCGTAGTCGCTGCGCACAGCGTTTATGCGTCGCAACACTTCCGGGTCATCGGTCAGTAGCTCATTCGGCCCGACGCGGACGAGGCGGTTGTTGTAGCGGTCGTTGATGGTTCGGTAGATGTCCTCCTGACGGGCGCTGCCAGCGATGCGCAAGAGCCAGAGGTAGGAGAACGATCCCAGAGTGGGACCGGGAATATGACAAAGGCGATACCATGACAGAATGGCGGTAGTGACGTACCAGATTGCCAGGATGAATGTGCCCATCAAGATCCATTGGAGGGGCGATGTCTCGAAAGATGCGAAAGTGATGTTCATCATGAATAAAGGCTGTCAGGAACACCTGATCATGTGACTATTTTTTCTTGGTTTTCAGCCTTTGATTAATGGAAAAACCTGTACACTTATAGGCACGGAGGGTTCAAACACTATCGACAGTGATCTGCTCTAAGCAGGCTGGAGTTATAAATACCTCTAGAGAGGTCAGCATTGCGTCGTACCGCAGTCTCCTATAGCGGTTATTATGTTGCCGATCGTCAGGTGGGAATTTGTAAATCAGTAGGAGATCGTCGACATCATTCGTTCAGTGCATGAGGTGTCAGCAATAAATGGCACCCGTATGCAGCTTGGCGCTAGTTTTCATGTAGCAGTTTGCTGCAAGCCTTGCATATATTCCTGAGAACTGGAGCATACTATCAATTGAGGGGTTAAGGAACTTATGACTTTTGAATCTCGCATGATGCAATGATGCTCTATAGAAAGGGGGCTGTGGACGACCATCATGTTCAGCTTCTTAAAGGTTTTGGATGAAAACGTTCCCAAGCACAGGTGCTTAAACATCTGAACCCAATCAAGACAGTCCAAAGGAGATATCGTTGCACTTTTATCTGCTCCGCAATGCCAAACCTTGTCAATGATGTAACAAGCGCCGACATGAATTCGTAAGAGTTCTAGACAACTCGTTACCAGAACTCTGTGTAGTCTTAGCCATCAAAGTTCAAGCCTAGCTCTGTTTTTCTTGTACTTAAATGAACCTTGGTATTCTATTTAAATTCAGACTGCCCATAGTAGTATTTTGCGAAGACTTTGGAAGATAGTTGGCGGGGCCCAAAATCTATGTGGTACAACGCAAAATCTTTTCCGGCGGATATTGCTTAAAGTTGGCCGAACTCAGGGTGATAAAGCTACTGACTCTTAATTTGTGTCGTTTTGTATGTCAAGACGAATGCTTACCTTTGCCTTTCGTTCTAGTTTTCCTCGGGTACTACCCTGAATATACAATGTATGGTACTGCAAAGTCGGAGACTAAGCCGCTGTAACATTTTCAACAGCCTCGACGACCAATTTCCTCCATACATCTGCCTTCATCATACAAGTTGACAATACCACGGAAAAAATGAGAGATAACTCCTTTCGTTGTCCTCCAGACATAATCGAAGATTCCACACCACCATTCTTCTTCAGACCGGTCAGAAACTTCCAGCTCTTTGCCTTCTGCGCAAAAGAGACGCACATGTCTTCTTGTCCTACCAAACGAAATCCTTGATATGATTGTCTCGTACCTTTGCAAACACTGCACAAGACCAGATTTGGATAGGGCAAAGTATTGCGACAAGAAAGACCTACTTGATCTCAGCCTCGTCAACTTGAGGTTGCGAGCCATCGCCCAGGTCTACTTCTGCCACTCTTACAAAACCTGCCGCAAAGTGCTGCTCTTCCTCGACACCCTGATCCGCCGGCCCGACTTGACCCAGCACGTCCGCGCGGTGTATATGTCGTCCTTCCAGTTCACGTTGAAAAAAAATCAAAGGCTCTGTGCCTACGGTGAGCAGGGCCGGCAAGAAGTTGGGCTTGCGCTTCGTGCAGAACAAAGGGTGGTGGGCCGGTTCATCTTCGTCTGGTTTCAAGGAACTACTACGCTTCTTGAAAGAGTTGGTTCTTCTACATACTCCCAATATCAGATTTCTGATCGTAGAGAGGACACCACCGTCGACGGAAAATCTCTTTGAATACTTGACGATGGTCTCCAGAGGTCAAGGTTGGGTTGGGTTGACACAACTTCATCGGGCGGTCGTCCGCAATGGAGTCACTTATCGAGACGATTGGGCACCAAATTTCAGGATGTACCACGTCGAGATCCTGCCACTGATCGCCCCAAACCTGAGAGTTCTCATTGCTGATGTTGCGCGGGCAGGGATGGACCTGATGCGATCCAGCACACACAACTATGTGCATGGGACGACGGCTCAGTTTCTTGCCCATTTGACATCTTTGTCCCTATGTAGCAAGCGACACTGGTCTCTTTCAACCGATGAATTCAAGTTGTTAGTAGATCATTGTATCGGACTGCAAGATATTCAATACGTTGCGGCTCAAGGAGCGAGTCTTCATGATGTCTTGAACGCTTTGAAGGGCCTCGCACCCACCCTCAGGCGTATACGTATGAGTTTTGTTCCCCCGGTTAACGTTGGAGATGACGGGAGCGGAGTGTACGCATAGAATGTTTAAAGTCTCTCGAGGTGTTGAGGTAGAGCTAGAAACATGCCAAGGAACGGGACAGGAGCGACTCACGACGCTCATCGGCTCTCTACCGTCAAGAATTCATACTCTATCTATTTCTTCATGCTGCTGGGATGCAGTACGGCGGGGCGCGTCTCTAATCTGGGACAGAAGACACAGAAACGAGCTTCGATCTTTGAGCAGGTTGCACTTCACATGCCGCTTAGGCGTGGATTCTTCATACATCGACGTTTTTGCGATGTAGATGTTGAGGTCTTCTCTTCTTTTTATGTTGGCAATCAACTGACAGCATGTCTGTTCGGTTTAAATATGTCCCTCTTGAACTTGCGAAAGAAGATCTAAATCCGAGATGAGGGATGCACCTAATCGTCTAGGTAGAAATAAATCGTCGAGGTCAGGCTGCGCAGAGAAGCGAAAGGTGGGGCCGAGACCGGCCCGGCCCCTTTAAAGATCACCTCGAATCCCGCTGGCTGCGAGGATGTACCTTCGGGTTGAGTGTGACGCTATCATACCGAGTTGCTTGTATTCAGCTGGTTGAGATGCGCATGGAGGCTCCAGACTTCGACGTATTACTGATATAGCAAGCTGCAGATGGTCCTGCTCGCCATGCCTGTCCGCAACTAAGGCTCAAGGAGGGAGATCTGTCAAATTCTCGGCCCTTGTGTTCCTGAAAGTCAATGCCTTGGACCCCGGATTTGCCGCACAGACCAGCCTTTGTTGAGGATCCGAGTGACAGCCAAATTATCTAGTTTAACAGTGAGCGGTGACGGTGGCGACAAAGATGAATCCTAGCTTGTTCATCTGGCACTCCTTCTGCCTCGACGGCCAGGTCAACACGGGCAGGATGCGCCTTCCGTTGTCTGATGTGCTTACGTTTTGCACCTGCCGAAAAGCGAGAGATTGTTGATGGCAGGTGGCAGTGAGCGGGTATCTTCATGCACCCCTGAACTTGGCCCAATAGACCAAAAGGATTAACGCTTGGACCATGTAGCGGTGAGAGTGTCACTGGTGTATGATTGGCTGACAGCACCCCCCGCAATCACTTTGGTGCTGGAGACACAGCCAAACACCACCAAAGCTAGCAGTGGCAGACAGGCGCTAAACCCAGCGAAGAAGGGGGGGAATACCCTTTGCCTCCAAGCCTATCGTGCCACTGGTCGGCCTTGTTGACTGTGCCCCGCCTTGCCCACAACAAGTGACCCTCCAAACCTCTGAAAACCATCACCAACACCGTCCCTTCCCCCCTAGCTCTTCCGAACCTCAACTCTGCGCTGCGCGCGTGAAAATATTCCCCTTCTCCATTCCACCTTGCGTCGCAGCATTCTCCAAGATCCGTTGAGCCACGATACACAATGAAGGGCGAGGTAAGCTGAACGCCGGAACGCTGTTTTGTTTTATTCCTCCTGTCTTCCTACCCTCCACTATCGCAGCGCCGGTGGCATCGTGGGCTGGCCATATCTCCCGGCGCTGCTACTGCTGCTGAGGCGACCCCTGAAACCCGTCCCAGCTGTCCCAACTTACCTTTACCTCGGTGTGCGGCTCTAGTATTAACGGCAATGTCCCCAGATTCTTCACCTTCATCTCGGTCAGGCCGGTACCCAGCTGGGTAACTCTGCTTGGGAGCTGTACGTTCATCCCCATCCCATACCTTCATGCTGCCGAGAAGAGGGATAGGAAATCCAATGGAGCTGACTGCCCAATTCAACGCACAGTTACCTCCTCGAGCATGGCCTCGGCTCCGATGGTCGTCCTGACCCCAACGCCAAGGACATCGTCGATGGTGGTTCTTACGAGACGTTCTTTACCGAGACTAGCAATGGCAAATACGTTCCTCGTTCCCTCTTTGTCGATCTCGACCCCTCCCCATCGACGAAATCCGAACTGGCGGCTACCGCCAGCTTTTCCACCCCGAACTGTTGATCAGCGGCAAGGAGGATGCTGCCAACAACTACGCTCGTGGCCACTACACCATTGGCAAGGAGATGGTCGACAATGTCATTGACCGCGTTCGCCGCGTCGCTGGTACGTCTCCACTTGCCGCACCCTTACCCCTCGGCCCGCGCCTAGACTGACCGTCAACTTTATAGACAACTGCCACTCCCTCCAGGGCTTCCTGATCTTCCACTCCTTCGGTGGTGGTACCGGCTCCGGCTTCGGTGCCCTCCTGCTCGAGCGTCTCTCCACTGAGTACGGCAAGAAGTCGAAGCTCGAGTTCGCCGTCTACCCTGCCCCCCGTGTCTCGACCGCCGTTGTTGAGCCCTACAACGCCGTCCTGTCCACCCACAGCACCATCGAGAACTCGGACTGCACCTTCCTTGTTGACAACGAGGCTGTCTACGACATCTGCCGTCGCAACCTTGACATTCCCCGTCCCGGTTACGAGCACCTGAACCGCCTGATCGCTCAGGTCGTCAGCTCCATCACCTCGTCCCTCCGCTTCGACGGTGCCCTCAACGTCGACTTGAACGAGTTCCAGACCAACTTGGTCCCCTACCCCCGTATCCACTACCCTCTGATCAGCTATGCTCCCGTCATTTCGGCCAACAAGAGCTCCCACGAGAGCTTCAAGGTTCAGGAGCTCACCTTCCAGTGTATGCCATGCATTTCCCCAATCACCAAGCGCTAAGACACTAATGAACTGCAGGCTTCGAGCCCAACAACCAGATGGTCGTTTGCGATCCCCGCAACGGCAAGTACATGGCCGTCGCCCTCCTCTACCGCGGAGACGTCGTCCCTCGCGACTGCAATGCTGCCATTGCCGCCCTCAAGGCCAAGTCCTCCTTCAATCTCGTCGAGTGGTGCCCCACTGGTTTCAAGCTCGGCATCAACTACCAGAAGCCCATGGCCGTCCCCGCTGCCGCCGGTGACGGTGGTCTCGCCTCCGTCGACCGCTCCGTCTCCATGCTGTCCAACACCACCGCCATCGCCGAGGCCTGGTCGAGACTGGACCACAAGTTCGATCTCATGTACAGCAAGCGCGCCTTCGTCCACTGGTACGTTGGTGAGGGTATGGAGGAGGGTGAGTTCAGCGAGGCCCGTGAGGATCTCGCTGCGCTTGAGAAGGATTACGAGGAGGTTGCCGCCGACTCGTTCGAGGCCGAAGAGGACGAAGCCGAGTACTAAGTCGGCATCGGAGACTGTCCCGTATTTTTCGTTTCGCGGTAAACCGGTTGCTGCGACGAACAAATCACGAACCCGGTGGCAGCCGTGAGCGAAACGAATTTCATGAAAAAGCTTGTTTCTTTGGCGGTCGTTGGACGGTCGGTTCGGTAGATTTCTCTATTGTCGTTCTCGCTGAACGAACATAGACGCGCGGAAAGGCACTGGATTACCCCATAACCCATGAATGGATATTTCGGAGTCAAGCTCGAGTTGATAATAGATGAGACCCAAGTCACTTTTTCTTCACACAAGTATATACGTGGTACCCTCCTGACTTGTCTGACGAGAGCCTCGTGGGATTCAAAGTAGTCACTTGTAAATGCATCTATTTCCCCCATATATTTCAACATGAAGTGACGTTCAAAATTTCTGAGTGACATTGCACCATGTTGGAATTTAACCAGTGCATGTTCCTATCAGGACGTGGTGAACAAAATGGATACTCTGAAAGCAGTTATTATTTTTGGACGCCTTTTCCCGACGCTTATCTATGCCCACTTTTGGTATTCCATGAGACTTGTACATGCGATACATCTCCCTCCTGATACACCCCCCTGTCCACTTCAACCCTGTTTCTTCTTCCACTCCGCCGCTCTCTTTGCGCCGCGACCGGTAGGCTTCGACTTCTTGACGCCGCCCCCCTTGGGCTTGCTCCGCTTGTTGAACTTGAGATCCTTCGGTCTGCCGTCCTTGGCGCTGGCGCGACGACCCTCGAAAATGAAGTCCTCGGGCGCCTTCATGTCGTCTTTGGGGACGGCTCCGGAGCCGTTGCCCGTGGCGCGAGGCTTCCCCCTGTCGCCTCTGTTGCCGAGGCGCTCGCGGTTGGCGCCGGAGCGGCCCAATAGGCGCGCCGCGCGGCCGGCCTTGGACTGCTGCTCGGGGGTGATCTTGGCGCGGTACTTTGTGTTACCGGGAGCGCCGGGGCCGCTCGATTGGGCGGCCCTGGCCTTGTTGGTTCGCTCCATGGCGAGGGCCGTCTTGTGAGGGGCCTTCGCGCGGGTCACGCGCATGATGCGGGGGAGCATCGGGGGGTATTTCTTGCCGTCCAAGAGGAGGGCGGCTTCCACGTGGATTCCGTCCTGCTTTTTGTCAATTTCTGCTTGTGTAAGAAGAATTATTGGGGAAGATGGATGCTTACGTAGAATTGAACGTAGGCGAACCCCTTGCCTACTCTCGTCTTGGGATCGCGCACGACGCGTACGTTCTCGACCTTGCCGGCGTGCTTGCCAAACGTCCTCCAGAGCCCCTCCTCAACGTCGGCCGGGACCTTTGTGCGCTTCTTCTGAACCGTCTCGCCCTCGTCGTTGGTGGTGAGGATGGTCTCATCGTCAATGAAGCCTAGGTTGCCGACGAAGACGCAGCGGCGGTGGTCTGTAGGCGCCGGGTGGGCGACGCTGTCGACGCGTAGGTGGCGGTCAAGGACGACGGTGCCGTTGAGCTCGGCGCAGACCTTGCGCGCGGCGGCGGGCGTGGAGAAGACGACGTAGGCGTTGGCCGACTTTGTCGTCTCCTTCATGAGTGACTTCGTGATGTAGGCCGCGCGTTTGGGGAGGGCGCCGCCAGAGAAAGCGATGGAGCGGAAGCGGATCGACTCGATCCTCTGCTGCGGGGTCGCGTCCTTGTCGAGAACACTGGAGAGGTGAGCCTCGAGGGTGCGCTTGGCCGATTTGTCGTCAATGGCGTCGGAGGCCACGTTGGAGAGGAAAACAGTGCGGTTCGCCTTCTCCATTTCGCTGTCCTTCGCCCTGGTCTTAGCGTCGGCGGCGAGGGACTCGTGGACGAGAGGTGTCTCCTCGTCCGACTCCTCACCCTCAGACGATGTTTCCGAGGTCGCCTCCCCGCCGTCTTCTTCGTCCTTGGCCTCCTTCTTGGTGCGCTTTTCAGCCGGCTTTTCCTTCTCTTCTGCCTCCGCAAGCTTGCTTAAGTACTTGCCCTCGATATCGTCCTCCTCCCGCTTGCGCTTCCGTTCCTTCTTCGCCTTCGGGGCTGGCTCGGGGGCTTCCTCTTCTTGGTCTGACTCCTCGGCGTCTTCGTCTTCTTCAAGAGAAGACTCATCTTCGACGATGTCGTCGAGATCAACGTCCTCGTCGCTACCAAGCTCGGACAGCTCTTCATCGTCTCCCTCGTCAGCGTCCGGGAGCTCCTCGTCAGAGTCGGCGGTTTCGGGAATGGGGTTTGACTTCGGTACAGGCAGTTCCGAGTACCTCGTCTTCTCAGGGGCTTTCACGGGTCCAGCCTAATTTTGTTAGAATTTTCTTGGGGCAATCAACTAATTTGTAGTCAAGGACTTACACTGGATGCGAAGAGGGCATCAAGGGTGGGGTCAATGGCCTTGCCCGAGGCGGCGAGTTTTGTGCTTCTGTGCCAAATATTAGTGGTTGGGACTTTTTCATGACCAAAGAAACTAAGCATACCCCTTCGCCATTGTTGCGACGGTTTTTTTCACTCCGATTGTTGAATCCCAATGTGCTGCAATGGGCCTTCTGTAGATGCACCGATTCTCCAATGCGCTCCCGCATCAAGAAAAAATATCAAGCTCTCTACCGCTGGTCTCTGCGCGCACCGATAAGAAATCTCGGAGGGTCGGGGCACCCCGATAAGAGGCGGAACAACCGTCAATTGGTGCAAAACGTCAGAAGGCCGCTATTTGCCGATAATAGGTGCCCGTGCCCACTGTTGTGCCAGCTCTCACCGCTTTCGCTGTCAGGGCGAAGACTTTCTGCCGACCGATCCTGGTTCCGCACTGGGCTTGGGGGGGGGGGGGGGGGTGTGGACGGGAAAGGCACAGAGGGAGCAGAGCAGGTGAGCGCATCTCTCTCCATGGAGCGGCAGGTCACTAACGCTTCTCTTCCTTCTCCGAAAACCCACCACAACACCACCACCTGCGCTCGCCCACGTCTGCTTTTCGGGACCAGACAATCATACGCGTTGATGCTGCTCTCGAACAGCTCTCATTCGCCCTCTCAATTTACGAGACATTTGCTTCCCTCCCCACAGCAACCAGCCCATTGCTTCAACCTGCCGCTGTCGCTGCTGCTCGTCCCTCTGCGCCCCGTCTTCGTTCCCACGAAAACTCGTCTACCCGAATTGCACCTCTTCACGACGCATCCCTCCTCCAAACCACCCGATTTTGAAATCGAACAGAACGGTTTCGACCTCTGTTCCTAATGGCAGCTACGGCATCAGCGCCGCCTGCCCTCTCCCCGGGGCAGGCGACGCTTGATCATGACGATAGCAACATCTCCAGCCCTTTGAGCGACGTCGAGGACAAAGACGGCGAGGGCGAATCGCTAGATGGCATGCAGCTGGACCATCCTCGGGAAGATGCTGACGAGGCGCTCGACTCTGACAGCAACCTGTCTGAGGCGAACGATACTGAGGCGGAGACTGAGCGTCTCTACGACACCCCGCAGGCCCAGCGCCACAAGGACGTGGTTGTCAATCAGTTCAACGACGGCCAGGTCTTTGATCGCACACCAAGCAAGCTTCAAAAGACATTTTCCGTTGACGCCACCGACGATGGTGACGACGACAGCCTTTCCGACCGCGACGACGTGTCGATGACCTCCAGCCACGCCGACGAGGCCTCGCCCAGCAAGCCCAAGAAGTCGGCCACGCTCCCATCTACCGAGGACGATGATGAGAACACTGATTCGAAAAAGAGAAAGCGATCGCCGGTCGCGGAATCTTCTGAGCCAGGCCAGCCCGCTAGGAAGCGCACCGGGTCGGTCGTGCCCCAGGACCAGGACCAGCACAAGGATAACGTGGAGATGCAGGAGGACGAGGTCCCCTCCACAAATTCCCACACTGGCGATCACTCTGCGACCGAGGACAATGCCCCCGAACTCCCGCCTACTAAGCGTGGCCTCTCGCGCGACGGCCATAGCCCGATGAAGGACTCGCAAATAACAAAAAAGATAACCCGCAACGGCAGTAGGCGGAAGGGCCACGCCCCGGAGACCCACGAACATGAGGGTCACGATGGCGACGGTCGCGACGATGGTCGCGGTGACGATGACTCGGGACCTCACGCTGACGACCCTGCCGAACAGGAGGGCGACGATGATGCTGAAGCGTCAAAGAACGACGAAGAGAGTAAGCGACCCGTCAATGGAGTGATCATTTCTTTGCTGACACCATTGTTACAGTGGAGAGAAAGCGTGCAGCTGTTGAGGAATGGACTGATCTTGAGGAGAAGTTTGTGGTCTTCCGTGAGCGGTGAGTCTTTCATGCGTAGTAGATGGGACTGAACACGCGCTGATGGACATACTGCAGATTGTACAAAGATCGACTAGAGCGCCTCGAGCAAGAAGAGCAATCTTTGCAAGCCGAGCCGCCGAGCCACCCCGAATACCTAAACATGAAGCAATGTTTGGACGAGAGGCTAGAAAAGAAACTCCGCAATATCGAAAAAGAGTACGAGCTGTCGGTTGAAGCCTTGGAGCGGCTGGCTGTGGCGCGTCGGGCGCAGATCTGGAATCAGTTCTACCAAGGAGCTCGAGAGTCACGATCAAAGATGCTCGAACACCTCAATAAGGAATGGTATGAGACGCAGAATGCCAGACGCAGCGCACACAGCGTTCCGGACTACGGGCTTCTATTTCCCACCAACCCAACACAGCGTACGAGGAACGCTGTTGCCTACAATTCAGAAGTTTCCTTCTTGGCCGGACTTGCCAAACACGAGGGATTTCCCGCAGTGCCACCCATGCGAGGCGCGAACGGGTCGGAGATTGAAGATGATCTGGAGGCCATGAAGGTTAGTCAATAGCCGGGCTCTGCATTTGAACAGTCATTGACCTTACGCAGCGCAATTCGAAGCCACGTCAGCGATCAATCATGCAGCCGATTGAGGATTACCAGGCGGTCGCCTTCGGGGGAAATCTTGGACCTGCCGGTGAGCAGTTCATCAAAGATACGCCATGGGCCAATCCGAACCACATTGCGCACAAGATCACCACGGGGCTTGTAGTGCCTGGTCCTGCCGCAAAAAGCCCAGCAACGCAAGGAGGTAAAACAGTAGCAGGCCCGTCTCACAACCAGTCAATGCCAGCCATCACGAACGGCCACGCCGCCGCGCACACGTCGCCGCAAATGAACCGGTTCACCTCAGCGTCTCCCGAGATGGTACGAACAGCCAATGTTCTGACTCAGAGCGCCCAGATGAAGCGTGCGGGGAGCCGCACATCAAAAGCTGCGAAGGATACAGCTCCCAAACAAGAACCAGTATCGGCGATGGCAAGTTAAGGCGGCATCACCGGACGGCCGACGGCGTTTTCGAGGCTTACTGTACTGTTATGATACCCCACGACGGCTTGGGCGATCCGCCCCTTTTTCCCTTGTTACTAGCTATTTTGGCGTGCCGATGTGACACCACAGCGGCCTTTTCTGTTTGGACTCTCATAGAGTCGAGGAAGACCCCTGATTAATCCAAGATGGGATGTCTGCAGTGGAATAGGGAGCTACTTTTGCATTGGGATGAACAGGTCAACTCCTGTAATGAGACATGTACAGAATTGTGATTGAGGATTTGGTATTTTACATTGATGTAAACGGCGTAGGAAGCGAGTTGGATCTCGCTGATATATATTACACAATGCAAATGCGCATTCGCATGACGAGTTGTTCCAGCACTTGTGTCATTGGAAGATTCCTCGTGCGATGGGCTGTTTACATGACTTCCCTCGTCCGCTCGGCTCTTACTGTTTAGTTGGACTTGGCCTGTTGCCTCGGGGCATCGGGGACCTTAACGTCTTCGAAGTCGTCCTGGCCGACCGCTTTGATCGTGTACCAGTCTGCAATCATACCAGTCAGTCGGATATTCTCTCCATGAGTCGCAAACCAGGGAAGCCTGCGGGGTGACTGATCACGTACATACTGCGCCGACGAAGCACCAGAGTCCGGCGCCGACGGCGAGATTCTTTGCGAGGTAAGGCTTACGGGCTCGAATTAGGGCGGGACCTTGGCGGAGGTTGCGATCGTAGTACGAGGACTTCTGGGGGCTGTATTTCTCTGCTTGTCAGACCACTCATCCGGCGCGGACGGGGGAGGGAACGGGGTGGCGTACATGGCCATTGCGACTAGGTACTAGTGAGTCCTACGAAAGGATTGAATGTAAGTGTATAGGCTGCGAGGGTTTGGGAGTTCGTGGAATTCGTGATTCGGGGCCCTTTGGGGCGATTCGTGATGTTGCGCCGTAAGGATTGGAGAAATTCAATATTCAATGCTCAGCCTGTCGCAAAGGGCCGGGGACGGGTCGAACCAGAGGAAATTCACAGGCCGAATCATCCTCAATGCCGATTCGGTATCGATAAGTCGGAGAAAGTACGGCTGATTTGATAGTGACGTAGAGCAGTCCGATAAGCTCTAGCAGGGGTCTTGCCTCTGCGGACGGGTTGTTTTTCAGTGATGGTCGGAAACTGTGTCGCTCGCTGCCTTTGCATCAGAGGAATCTGCAAAGTACCTTTCTCACCTGCGAGGAGTAACAACTACAATCCCCAAACCCCATGTCTGTTGATTCCTTAAGTAACGAATTTCTTTTCAGTGTATCATAGATGCATTCATTTACTTTCGATAAAAACTCCCTCAGTTCTGCTTCAGTACACATAGGCCGCTTCTCTCCCACAATTAGAGTGACCTCCAGGTACAAACAGCTCAGGCTCCAGGGCGGCCGGTGCGCTAACCGAAAATAGCCAACAGCGGTCGACACGCCCCGTCATAGTTTACCCGCGTCGCTGTCGCTTGTCACGCAGTCCGTCAACGTCGACCAAGGTTGCTTGCTGCCTCTCTGCAAAGCGTACGGCAGGAAACCCGTCAAAACTTTGGAGTTGGAAAAACGAGGCAATCGCATCGACAGGTAGCTGCCATCAATCACCACAGAGTCGCCTCATCGCCCTTTCGATCCCCCCCTTATCCACCTCGACGAATCACACGACTCTACCCGATTGCAACTTGGTTGTTTTCTGCGCGTTGGAGGATGGTGATCTGGAAAAGCTTGAGCTCTCCATATTTCGACAAGTCGCGACAGCTCCTGCACTTGTGATCTCCATTTCCCTTTCGCCTTGCCAACACCCAGCCTCGACAGCCACACGCAATCGTATCTTGACCCTATTGTTCCTCTTCTATTCGTGGATCAATCTAGATTCGTAGCATCCTTGTGCCTCGAGCTTGCCCGCGATTATGGCAGCTCCGTCCCCGCAGGCGTCCGTGAGCGACCAGATTCGCCAGCTCAATGACGCAAGGAAGCTCGTCTTAGGCGACGTCAAGTATTACCCGACTGTCGTCAAGAGCATCCTTCCCATAGTCGGGCCCACGGCGCGCGTCGAACTCCGGAGATGGGGCGCTGACTTCCTGGCCGAGGCCTTCTCGACGCCAGCGCTCCCCGGGAGCGAAAAGGAGACGATGCAGCTCTTCGTGCTGGACACACTGCAAACCATGGTCGAGACCCCGAACGAGGACCCCCACGTCCTGCGGAGCGCCATCCAGACGGCCGCCAGCATTTATCCCTTTGCGCTGCGATGGATGTACGTGCGCATCTTTTGCTTCTGAATGACACCTCTTGCTGCGCATACCGGGAGGCTGACTAGATCGACAGCATCAACAACTCGTACGATACCCTTACATGGGAACGAATGGTCGCGATAAAGACACGGATTCTTCAGATATGGGACGAGGCCGACTCTACGGTGCGCATTTGCTGCATCAAGTTTGCGCAACGCGTTGTCCTCGCACAATCGGTTGCCAACCCCAACGAACCAAGAGTAGGACGAGCCTTGGGAATTTTCTCTTTTGGAGTTACTGACATTTTGTGCAGCGTGGTGACTCCCTCGATATCTCACTAGACAAGATCCCGACAAACCATCAGACATTAGATGCTAGGACTCTCGACGCCGAAGGAGCTGGATTGCTGGACAGAATGCTGAGTGTGTTGCAGGAGAACAGCAGGTAAGGACTGCGATAGGAGGGCCTGTTTGATCACAGCTAACCACAGCACCCTGGTGATAGTGATGTTCTTCTTGTTGATGCAACCTTGAACTGCCTGTCCATCTTGATCCGCAGTCGGCCAGGTACGGCCAACAGGATCCTGAATGCTGTGCTCAACTTCAACCCCATGAAGCTTGCAAACTCGCCCATGACTCCTAGAATCCGCGTGATAGTCAAGTCAATGGAGAAGACTACTCGTATGCTCCTGATACATCTGTCCAAACGGTACAACCCAGAGCCTCCCCGTGCTTTTCGCCTCTCATGCTAACTTCGTAATACAGCGACCCTCACAACCCGATGGCGCCTCGAATCCAGCAGCATGTGGAGAGAATGATGCGCATGAGGCACGAAATCTTCGACGAGTCCGGACGCAAGCGGGCTTTCGAAGCCCAACAGCACGCGGAGATGGATGCCAAGCGCCAGCGGATTGCGCCCCAAGTCGCAACGACGCCTCAAATCCAAGTCACACCACTACCTCCGGGGCCTCACAGCTTGGGCGATGTTTTCACTCTCACTGGAAGTGAAGGACTGAAGGCCTTCGACGTGGGCACACTCCCGACAGCTATGGCTGCGAAAATCAGCATCACCACGCTCATCCGCACAGACGCGCAACTTCTCGCGAAAGCCATCGAGGTAAGGATCTGCGTGACATGTGCAAGAGGTTATTCTGACGTTTTGTAGGGCATTCGGGGACGACTCAACACGTTGGCTGCACAGCCCGTACCTCACATCAACCCCGAGACTGCTCCTCTAGGCGTCGACGAAGATGACGATTACGAGCCAGATTTCGCCGCCGCCGAGGACAACGAGCAGATCCTCAATAAGCTTGACAGTGATCCTGTGACCAGACCAGATGATAACGATCTTGGACTGAGGACGTTCAAGTTGCCGCCTCCGCCTGCGCTTACGCCAGAACTGGCGCTAAGCGCGGGACAGGGTTCTGTGATGTCCCTGTTCCAGTTCGTAAAGACTTTGGAAGACCCTGGCAAGAAATCTAAGTCGGGTATCAATCGGTTAGCGGCCAGTACTAATGACCGAGAATCCTGGATTGCCATCATCACCCGTCTGGCCAGCCGCTCGTCGGCCGGCTTGGAGGAGGTCAGCCCTAAGGACGAGGCCAGTGGCTCTGTACCAGGGTCGTCACTCGGTAACAGCATAAGAGACACCCTGTACACTTACGTACTCGAGGACTTCCGACGGCGTATTGATGTTGCCATTACCTGGTTGCATGAAGAGTGGTACAACGACCAGCTACAGAAGAAGCAGGATGGAAACCATCCTTTGTACTATGAAAAATGGGCGCTCAAGCTGATCGATGGCTTCTCACAATACCTCAACGCCCAAGACAAGGTCCTCACCCGGTTCCTGGGTGAGATCCCCGAGCTCAGCCCCGCTATCCTCTCGCGCGTTAAGCTCATGTGTCGCGATCCCCTGGTGGTGCCGCTGGCTCTGACGAGCCTGTTATACCTGGTCATGATGCGGCCGCCGGCCAAGGAGCTTGCTCTGGACACGGTCCAGGATATCTGGACAGAGTGTAGGTGTCTCATTGCTCAAGTGCTTTATGAGCTCATGCTGACGTGTTGTTGTAGACGAAGACGCAAGACCACTGGCGGCCAAGTACTTGGTCAAATTCCGGCCGGCTTGGTTGGAATCGGCCAAAGCAGCCGCAGAAGGAGGAGGTACACCGGCAACGAACAGTACGACAGCGATCACAACATGATAGAGGCCGTGGCCCGGGTCGCGTGTATGCGGCCCCCGGACGATGTGACACGAACGATTCCGACGCATTTGCTCGGTGTCGCATGTTTGATTACCGAGAGAACCACCAGGAGCATACGGCATGGGAGAGCCACGCCACGGCAGCTTCGTTTCGAAGCGGCGGGGTTGATGAAGATGTTTTGATGGTCACCGAATCCGACAAGTATACCCAAACAAATCGGAGTTGGAGTAAGGAGGCACGCACGAGTATCAACGGACAGCGTCTCAGCGGAACACGAGACAGGTCCAACCAGGAGGGGATAGCACAACGGACGGCACAACCCCCGGCATGGCATAGGCCCTGGCGTTCAGACCATGAAAAATGTAACGGATAAACTATCGTGTAAATATGCACCTCAAGGGGGTGGGCGGCCTCGTTGGGAAACGGACCTGGGAAGGAAAAGTCAGTAAAAAATGAAGTTTTGAGGAAGTGGCAGCGTTTCCAATGCATGCAAACCCTCCTTCTTGCTATCGTCCATCTCTTCTTCAATCGACCTTTACGGCAACGCGGCAATGGCTAGGTATGCTCGGATTCAACATAAACGGGCTTCCGGCGGAGAGAGCCTCAGCCCAACCCGCGGAAAGGTCCGAAGTTTAGCGTCAGTCTCCGCGGTAGCGGCTTCGATTCTCCGGGGTCTTGTCTAGGCAAGCGCTGCTTTCGGGCTAGAAGCTTCACACAGCATGTCACGGGCCTTGTCGGGATGGAATGTGCGCTGTGCTGCTCCCGTTCTCTGGGACATATCGGGCTAGAATGCTAATGGTGCATGAGATTGGCCGGCAATAATCAGCCAGGGGATATACGCTGCGTCGGAAATGTATGTGACGGGCGGAACGGGCTTTGCGGTAGGCCGGGGAGGCTCCTTTCCGGGTTGGTTGGGGACAAGCTGTACGAATCTGAAGCCGGGCCGCAAGCTGCCTGGGCTCTATGAAGTGCTGCAGATGCTCGGGGACATACGAGTTGCGCCTGCAGGCGCCGGGGATAGATGCAGAAGAAAGCCGGAAATCTGATGATATTCCCAACTCTCCCCTCCCCCACTCTTTTGAACAGACAAGCGGCAAGAAGCCGACACTTTGACTGAGCGCTCCGTACTTGAATGTATTTGCCCTTCTTTTCTTCTTCTTTTTTCTTGATCCATTTCCTTGTGGCGTGGGCAGTTTCAGGATGACAAAGGGGCGCAGATTTCTTTGGGGCTTGGTTATTTGCCCCTTCGTGATAATAAGCCTCATGTCAACCTCTGGTTGGTCGACCGCTTGGTCGGTCGAATAACGCTTTGAAATGGAAATGGGAAGGGGGGATCCAGTGGGATGGGATTCGAGAGGCACAAGCCTCCTCTCCAGGTCCCAATGGATGCCGGGATCTTGGAAATACCGGTACTATATCGTGATGTTCGAGCCGGGTTGTCGCTGACGTGACGGCCCCGCCTGCAGGCTATGTACATAGTAAGACAAGAGCAGCCCGGGATCGTGAAGGGAGGATGACTTTGGGATTGGATCTGCGCTGGGGGTTTTGCGGGTAGACATTAGGGACTGGGACTTTGGATGAATTAGATGGGATGAGAGGGGAGAGGCGCATGGGTCGTGATGACCACCGGGTCTGTGAACATGTTACTTTTTCAGCGATGTCCTCCAGCTGGGAAGAGTGCGAGAAAAGGAACCGGGTTTATGCGAGGCGCTCCTGATGGGTGATGGCGGAACAGGACACGTACCCGTTGGTTAATGCATCATCTAGGGTTGGTGGCCTTGTAGTCAAGGACCTGGAGGGAAAAGGGGCATATTCCATTTCAAACATGAAGGAAATTCGACATTATGCGCAACTGTATCAAAGAAATGCCATTTCGCTTTCGCGCCCTTTCCCCTCGGCTAGCGACTCCTCACCCAGCGTGCATTAGGTAAGATGTCAAGACACAGGGCCACAGAGAGAGATCTCTGAGAGATGGAGGGGGATGGCCTGTGCATTGCTTCCTTTTTGGAGCCGAAAGAGTGACGCTGCAGCAGCACCAGCAGCGATCTTCGTTGCTGGGGAACAAGGCAGCCTCCTGGTTTTTGAGTGGGGAAGAGTCAACCAAGGTTGTTCTGTCTGCAGTAGCCCGTCCCACTGTGCCGCCGTGAATTGCCTGCTGCAGCGTTGGCAGATGGGAGGGGGGGGGGAGGGGGTGGTGTGTGCTGTCCCGATGCGGCTTGATGCTGTATGGTTGCCTTGCAAGATGCAATGGTGTTGATATTGATGTTGATATTGATGTTGACGTTGTTTTGCCCTCGTATCTGTGCCCGGCCAAAGATGGCATGGCTGATAAACGAAAGGCAGAGCGCAGACGTGTGGGAAAGCAACCGAATTCCGCCCGTGCAAGACATCTGACTGAGAGAGTCCCATACAATCCACTCCGGAAAAAAATCTGGGGGAACCATCGGCAAGAAAAACAACCACTTTGACTGGGTCCAGGCAAGAACTAGAGCGCGTTCTGATCCGCTGTGCTTGATGCTTGTCTCGGGCCGCCGTTTTCTTCGCCTGTCTGATTTATCTAGGTAGCTAGACCGTCCCCTTCTTCGCTTGACCCTCCATTATTTTTCCATCGCCCATTAGAGGAACAAGACTGACTTTCGACTGACGTAGCTCGGCACGGCCCTGCAATTCACACTGTCCAGGCTTGTCCTCTTTTTCTTCTTTTTTTCTTGCTTCCTTGCTTAGCCAGAGAGAAAAGAACAACCGAGATCCCAGACTCCCGTCCCTTTTCGTTGCATTGAGTGCCGGGATTCCCACTTTGGCCCTTCCTGTACCGGGACGTCCGCCCATTCCAATCGCATTTCCTCACGCTTCTCCCTACAATCCACCTAAGCCGCATCCCGCATCAGCCTCCCGCGAACGTCAGACGGGCCAGCCGCATTTGACCACCCGCGAAAAGGCACGTCCAATCCACAATTCCAAAGACGACGCGCCCCCCCCCTCAAGCTTTCCTTTGCTGCTACCACCACCACACCGCGCCAAACACAAACACCACGCACCACTAAAACCCTAATCGGCTCTGCCTTTCCACGACGAACTACCGACGTCCCGACCGGCCTACCTGGACTAGCAGCAAGCTACACCCCATACCGTCAAGTACACTGCAAAGACAATGACAGAGAGACATGCCTAGTCGACTGCAAAAACCCAACAAGATAGACAAACAGCGACTTCCATCCGACCCTCCCCAAGTGCCCGACGTCGACATCCAACAAGCCTTTGTTCTCGGTAAGGGTCCCCGTCCTTTCCACCCTCTGCTTGAAACCGCGCACCGATCCACCGCCCAGCCCACCTACCTCTAGCCGCTCCCGACGACTTGTCCACCACCGCCGTCTTGGGAATCCTCCTGAGAACATCCGACTCAGCTAACCTCCAACCCTGCAAAGATCTCGACACCTCGACGACGGGTCCCGCCAAAGCTTCTTCCTCGACGACGACACCCTCATTAAATGGTCCCTCGAGCAGTCGTACCCTCGCACCGCCCTCCACCACCTCCTCCCACGCCCTCCGCAAGAGTAGCGTGAACACTCGCCTCGACGGAAGATACCGGTCGACGACGAGCTGCCCTTCCCCGTCTCCCAGAGGCGCCCCGAAGATGGTCCAGACCATCCGAACAGTATCCAGCTTCGAAGCCGCGAGCGACACGAGCTCCGACGCCCACTCTCACAACTCTGCCTTTTCCAGCTCTGTCAACAGCAACGCCAGCGCCGTCAGTATGGCATCGAATCACCAGGACAGGACGCCCGGCGTTAAACTAAAACACGACTGGAACGGCGGTGACTCGACCACCATGAAGGTCCGAGAAGAGACACCGCCCATCGTGGATGACGACGAAACCCCCGTCAGCGTCGCGCCCGACGCTCAGGGCCCTGGATGGGACTCGACCATTGGCAAGGCGGGGTTGGGCAAGACGGGCCGGGTCATCAACAAGCTCGTCAGCGACAATGAGTCCCTCAAGCGCGACATCCAGATTGAGCGACTACGTGCCGAGGAGGCCAAGCAGGCGGCCAAGCTCGTAGAGGACAAGATGGAGCGTCTCATCAGCGACTACGAGAGCCGCCTCCTCGAGGCGAGCGTCACCAAGACCCTCCTCAGCCGCAAGGAGCGCCAGGTCGAGACCCTCCACGCCAACGTCGAGCTCGAGAAGAAACGCACCGCCGACGCACAGGAGCGGGAGCGCTCGTGGCGGGACGAGATGGAGAAGATGCGCGCCAGCTCGACCAAGCAGGTCGAGGACGCAAATACCCACGCCGCCCTCATGGAGGGCCGCTACAACGCCATCAGCTCGCACTGGAAGGACCAGGGCGACGAGGTGAAGCGCGCGCACCTGAAACTGCGGTCCGAGATCGCCGCGCTCGTCGAGGAGCGCCGCCGTGACGATGAAAAGATTGCCGCGCTGCGGGACCTGTGCGACCAGCAGGACGGCAACATCAAGGAGCTTCGGCGGCAGAAGGAGGAGATTGGGAAGAAGTTTGAGGATTACAAGGCGCACCAGGAATTCGTGCTCAAGGACATCAAGACGGGTGCCGCCGAGAGGGACGCTGAGCAAGAGAGGTTGCTCGAGGAGACGAGGTCGACGTTGGCGAAGCTGAAGTGGGCGTTGAACGTCAAGGAGAACGTCAAGGATCTGTTGCAATGATCGCTTCCGATGTTTTGCATCTGGGAGATTATTCCGAGTGCTTGGGATACTCACGCCCGCCCGCCAGCTCTGCGCTGACTTCGCGATTTTGCTTGTCCGCCGAACCATACCCGAGCAATGCCACGCTCGCAAAACCGCAACTATAACCATAACCCAGCACACCACCCACCATGCAGAAGACATCTCCTGCTCCTTCTCTCATATCTGCAATCTATTCCGCCCCAGCGCAACGGGGCAAACAACGAGAAACCGCTCAAGACGCATAGCGAAGAAAGCTGCGTATGCATAGCAAGACCATTGGCCACGTCAGGTTCGTTCACAGAAAACGAAGCTCCCGGGGCCACACTTAGATTGTCTTCACTCTTTTTCTCCTCTTCATTTCTCTCGGCCAATGACACCCAAACAACACGGTACATTTGCAGCAACAAAGAACCACAGATAGACCCGGCAGAAGCAGGGAAGGTTTCTGGATACAGGGGGACTTTGACTTTTTCTTTTCTTTTCCAACTTTTGTTCCTCTTCCCGCAATACGGAGGGGTCGGCATCGGGGACATTTGAATGGTCCGGAGTAGGTCAAACTAGACCGAACCTGTTTCGATCTCACATCCAAAAAGATTCTAGGGACTGGAGTTACGGCGTAAACATTGGGTTGGGTTTTGGTTGTGGGACAGGGAGAGGCTCCTTTTTTTTTCTTCCTCAGGTTGATGTCTACTGTCTACAAACCGAGGCTCCTTAGAAGCGTGTGCCTCCGAGTCAATACCTCGGACTAGAGTAAATGTAGACTTTTTTTGTCTTTGGTCACACTTTCCTCAGTGAACCACGCGGCTGGGACTTGCAATGACTTGTGTGGACACTTTCGGCGAGATGACAATCCCTCCGGTCAAGCCTGGGGATGATGAAAGCTGCCAGAGTAAGCAATGCCCACTCGGAGCCTGCCGGGGTGACCAATTGCTGCTACTGCTAACGGCGGGCTGCCCTGGTGCTCAGATTGGCTGTTCCTTGAAGAGGGACAGTAGGAGTTGATTCACTTCTTCCGGTGGCTGCTTCGTGGGTTCTTCGGAAACCTTTAGAATAACGACTCCCGACTATGCGTGCGGCGGACTCGAATGTTAGCTATTCTTTGGGTTTGAACAACGCTGCCCTTGAAGACACAGGACAGGCGGGGGGGGCGATACTTCTTCCGACGCCCGCGGCACTGTTCAGACTCGTCCAATGTCCACCGCTACAAGTACTGGTTCGCAATACTTCTGCTCAAGCTTTTATGGGCTGGCTTGCTCTAAGACCCGTTGGCTGGTCTGTTTGGTGGTATCAGGTTGGCTCTCATAGTTGAAGCTTGCTCTGACACCAGGAGAGGAGACATGAAATGATTCAGGAGTACCCTCACTTCCTTCCACGCTAACGTCGCCCTACTCAATGAAACGTGGGTAACGGTTATCTATAACTTTTGGGTTGTTCTTCATGAAGAGGTCATGCCGGATGTTCTTTCCATCATTCACCAATAGCCCGGCAATCTTTTGGCGCGAATAGTGATGCCTCTGGGTCTGCACAACGATTAGCCACTCAGCCCAAAGACTCTTTTCTGGTCAGACGAAACTAGATGCCTACTTTTACCGCCACTCTTACCGCTGTTTGATTGTCCGCTGCCACCGCTGCTACTACTGCGACCGGCACCATGTGCACTAGCACTTCTACCGCCATTGCTGCCGCTTTTTCCAGCCTTCTCGCCATGGTCTCCGTAACTTGGTGTGCCGTGGCCGCGCGGCTGGACTTCTACCAGGTAGGGTTCGTGGGGTCGTGGTAATAGATGGGGGTCTTCTTGCCTGTCATGTTTCCACTGTAGTCAGCGAACTCATAGTGAGTTGCCCTTTGCGGGGCTTGGGAGGGGTGTTCTACTTGTGTTCGTTAAGCTGGGATGCGGAGAACTTACTAGTCTGGTTTTGATCGCTCAAGGGTTTGAAAATCGAAGATGTGTTTGGGAATATGGGAAGAGCTGCTTGTTTGGTTGATATACGAGGCGGCAAAGCCCTCCAGGCATGCCTCATTTCAAGCAAGCACCGCTTTCCCTGATCTCTGAGATCGGCTGGATACAACGAGAGAACAATTTAGGTTCTTGGCTCTTTCCCTTCTTTGTGTTTACAATTTGTCACAAACATTGCTTCGCAATGTGCTTGCTTGATCTTTGCGAGGAGCAAAGGGGCTGCGAGCCAGAAAGCCATAGCTGAAGCTCGGTTTGTGAACATATTTGTTCAAAGATAGCTTAGCACCAACAATTTCTCCTTGGTTATCCTCAGGGCTTTTTGTACTTGACTCTGAGATAGTTTTTTGTCGTGGTTTTGAGGCGATTGAAAGAGCGTCCTGGTTGTGTGTGCCGGTTTGAAGCGTTCCCTTATTGATTCTGTGACACGCGCCGGGAGAATGCGATTGTTGGAGACTCGGGGCGTGGGATGTTACACATGGTCCGGTTATACCAAACTTTCCCATGCGTAGATCCTTGAGAACCTCTTCAAGTTTACTTGTATCCGAAATCTGTCCCATTTATAGAACAATCTTGCCGCTCAATCTCGAGGATTTACGCCCGAATTGCGTGAGGAGCTCCAAACAAATGGCGTTCCATGATTAAGAGTTGGGCGTGTTGATACGCCAGAATGCTTCTTACTAGAGCACGGAAAGAAGACAGCGCGGCAACTTGAATTCCTGGTATAGAAACTGGGAATCATTCTGTACTCTCGGAAGATAGCACATTCAGGGCAGTATAGGAGATACTGAACGCCCAGAACTTGTAGTCTGAGAAGTGCGTCCTCTGATTTGACATGTAGAATTGACGACCAACAAAGATTGGAAACGTAGGGTAACAGACAAGGTAGAGCGAGTGGCAGGACTGACTCAGGCTGTAAGTATCGGAGAGCCAGAAATACGATGTCTGGGCGGCAGCCTTGGGGCAGATTTTTGTCCCATAAGACGCTGCCAGATCGCAGTTGAAGATCGCATAGCTCGGGATCCGCGCATAGCAACTGAAGGATAGGATGATGGGGCAGACATGAAGATATCAAAGACTGCAACAAAAGGATGTCGGTACGGCGTTGCGCGCTCACCAGACACTGGTCTGTAAGCAGGCGCCCTCGAATTCAAGACCAGCATTGGGACCTGCAAATATCACCATGGACAACCCCTTCAGTTGAGAAGGCAAAACTGGTACATCGGCTGTTCGATATTGGTCTTCGAGTATACTTCATGAATCATTCATCAGGCACAATGTTCTTGGCCTGCCGTTAAGAAGCCCTCCTCCTGACTGACAGTGTGCACTTGCTTGGTTTCCAGTGCGCTGAACTGTAAAAAGTGTAAAATAAATGCCCTCCGATCCGATGACAGTCCCGAGAAAATTTCCCATTGATCTCTTTCGTCAATACAACTCCATAGCCTGCTCTTGCTGGCCTAGCAGAGCCAGCGTTTTAGAAGGGCTGCCGAGATCCGGTACCTTGCAAACAATCTGGTTCGAGGTGTGTTATCATACTTGACTTCCGTCATCCACATATGAATCCCGATTACGCCGTAGTCGTCCCATAAAGCCGTATGAAGTGGAACAAACCCTGCAGCCCAATAGCTTTCCCTGGCACGCGTTATAACACCCCCCCCCCCCCCCCCCTAATTTTGGGCACGTAGACATCCTCCTGCAATCGCTTCCAAGGCCTGGCAGGATCGTTGCCTCTCGGTTGTCTCACGAACGAGACTGGATAGATATGGTTCATGTCAACCTCGATGTTGACCGAATGAGGTTCAAGTGAGCGAAGTGAGCGAATATGGGTCGGCTGGTCCCTGGGTCGGCGATCGGACAGAGATCCGTCTGACTAGTCTTGGTATCATGTCAGAGTGTGTGAGAGAGATGGACCGCAGGCCCATGAACCGTCGTCATGATGCCTCATCATCATCCGTCTCAAACCTCTAGCATGAAATGCTTCATCTCTTCAACGCCAACGTTCCTACCATCGCGCCCTCATTAGAAATCATTCCCAACAGAGCAACAGGCAGCCCCAACAACAAGAACAACAACAGACACAATGAAAACTTACATAGTGAGGAACATCCTCGCAAAGTCATCCACGTCCGCCGGCCTCGCCATCTTCGCGACCCGCTGCACAAAGAAGCTGTTGACCAGGAACATCGGCTTCTCGCGCCACGCTGAGTAGAACGCCGGCGACGACTGGGCGTCCCAGAGATGCCTGGAGAACGTCCACCGGTGCGGCATCAGCCAGTGCGTGGGGTCCGGATCTATTGTGGACGTCAATATACTGCTAAAGCCGCGGGGTGAAGGTGCAGAGCGGGACTAAGGATGATGAAGAGAGTATAGTCAGGAGACGGAAAGAAGGCAGCTCACCTTGTTCACCAGCAAACTTGAGCATCTCATACATGCTCGTAAACATATACCCCATCAACACCGTCCTCCTCACACACTCATTAAACACCCACACCTCCCACGACCGCGGCGGCCTCGCCCTCACCGCCCCCTCGTCCAACAAATGCACCTCGTCAAAGTTGTCCCTCATCACAGTAAGCTCCTTCAACCACCCCTCCAGGACGCCCATGTCCCGCTCCGCCTGCGCCCTTAGCGCTATGTCGCCGTCGAAGCACCTTATCGTCTGCAGGAGCCACAGCGCCTGCGTCCTGGCGAGCTTCTCGTGCCCCGTCAGGTTCGACGACGTCGTATCCTTGGCTCCCTTGAGGACCTCGGCGGCACCGTCGCACAAGGCGCGGATGGCCCAGTCTTTGTTTGCCTCAGTGCGCCCCGCGTATGCCGAGATGGCGGTATAGGCAGCCATCAGGGGCCGTGGCGTCTCGCGCAGGCCGCGGTAGAGGTGGCGGTGAATGAAAGGGGTCTGCTTCGTCTGGGCGAAGGTGACGTGCATGTTCTTGATAAGGCCAACGGCGTAACCGATCCGCGAGGAGGGCTCGTGGATCTGCCACGGCTTGAAGCCGCCCTCTTGCTGTATTCCATGAGTTTTCATCCTTGACCAATAGGGTGGGAGAGCGGGGGAGATGGGAGAGGGAATTGGGGCGAAGGAGTAAGAGGGGATAACGATGTGAAGTCAAGAAGGACGGAAAGGGACGATGGGTGAGCCGGAACACGCGGACAAGTGGACTTTGATATGTCCGGAGAGGCAAAGACAGAAGAAACAAGGCCGACACTTACACACATATTCGACATATCCTCCTCCCACATGTCACATTGCATCTGGTTCAGCTCGGGTGTCATGGTCTTCTGCACAACGGGCGTCAACGGCGTCTCCCAGAGCCGTATCTCACCGCCTGTCGCCGGGTCCGCGTTGATGAAATCCATGACCGAATTGAAGTCGAAGGGCGCGTTCGCGACGTCTATACTGAAATTCAGCGACGACGTCGACGGCACCGGCGTGCTGCTGCTATTGTTATTACCGTTACCGTTCATGTCCTCCGTCATCACCAGGGTTGGGAGCCCGCCGTCGAGGTACGATGACGATGCCGGCGTGGGTTGCTGCTGTTGTTGTTGGAGGTCTTGGTGCTCGTGTTGATGTTGAAGATGGTGGTCGTCGAGTGTGTTGAAGTTGAAAGATGAGATAGTGTTACCACAGTCCTCGATGTCCATGGCTTGAAGGGGGTCATCTTGGCTGCTAGAAGCAAAGCCCGCAGAGGAGGAAGAGGAGGAGGAGGTGCCTCGGTCGAGGCTGTTGTTGGTGGCCACACCAGCCCCGGCTCGAGCACCCCCGGCGGGAGGATCGGGAGCGGGCGGCAGGTTCTGGTACACGCACGAGAAGTTCTTCTCAGCGCATCGGGTGCACCGCGGGGTCCGCTTATCGCAGCGCCTCTTGCTCCGTACGCAGGCGTTGCAACTCTTCTGCCGGGACTTGTCCGCGGCATCCGCCAAATCACTCATCATCTTCTGGCCCTCGGCGGTGGACATTTCTAGTTTGCCCTGCTGTTGCTGGGGGATTGTGCTGGGCACTGAGCTTTGTTGCTCTGCACAGGGCTGGACTGTAGTGGAGGGGAAGGAGCGAGTAACAGATGGGTCGGTACGAGCAGTTGGGCCGATCGTCCATGCGTGAGAGAGTGTAAGAGTGGGAAAAGGTTTACAAGAGTGCCACGATCCCTCAGTCAAAAAATGATGGTCTCCCTCTATCCCGTGCCGCGTGATGGACAAGGCAATCTGAGCTTACGCGGTCTATTTTCGCGAATCCTAAGCAGCCTTGGTCAGCCGTTTGGGGAGTTTGCAGTATGCGACTGCTGTAACCAATTGTCGAGGTTGGAGGGGCCGGGGAGGATGTCGTTGCGGAAGTTCAAACTCCGCCCCGCGCGTAAGCCCAAAGTCCGCACGCTGCGGCCCCACCCGGTTCTCGTTGCCCCCCTCCCGTTGCAAACTCCGCAACGATGCTGACCGAAACTCCGCAATCCCCGGCCCGACTTCCCCCCGTACCCGGTGCACCCCGACACCTCTCCTACCTTTGCTCAAGAATGCAATGCCACGTGAGAGCATCAACCGCTATCGTCACTACCACCCGCGAGGCACATTGTCGCCACGTCCCAGCAATCTGGTCTCGACCCGTCTCACCCACATGTTCAAGCATCCGTTTGCGGAAAGAGAATGATCCCATGGCGTCGTCTAAGAAATCATTTGATGATGCTAAGCTGTCGGCATCCGGCGACATCGAAGGGGGCGAGGCCCTCCCAGCAGGTGGCCAACGTCACGCGGTTCCAAAAGAAAAAAGACGTGCCCATCGTCCCGCCTCCTTGCCTTTCGCGTTGCCATCAAGTCCTTACACCCCTCACGCTTCACTTTCCGTTATCGTCAATACCCTATCCTCATCGCGTCGTAGCTGTTTGCGGCAGAATTTCCCCCTCCAATGCACGCCCCCCTTCTTTGACACGTCCATGCTTCCACACCAAGTCACGAAACCGCAGTTAGATCAACAGCCCAGCGTGGGCAATCTCCCCCTCTTCCCCACGGCCCGAGGCCGCAGAGCTTTCTCGATGATCCGAACCTGAAGCCGTTTTCGGCCGTACGCTTGAACCTCAGCTGCTGAAGCCTGGATCACCCTTTCCCACATGCCACGAAGCCGGTCCCTGGGAGATTCGCGATCGCCCGCACCACAGAAGCCACAGGACGGTCTCTATGCCCGATCCGACCCAAGGCTGCCGTTGAGAAGGAGCCTCGCCACGGGCTTCCCGGGGACTATCCTCGCTAAACCGTACCGCTGGGGTAGTTTGCCTCTACCTGGTCAGTCTCGCCCACTCGCTGTTCTCTTCACAGGATCTAGGCCACCTGGGCTTTGGACCGGACTGCGTGTAACACACTTCGCCAGCCCAGTGTTCCTAAAGATGGCAACCGCAGACGTCCACGCCCCCCGCCTCTAGATCCATTGTTAGCAACACTCTGCTTCGCATCGGTACGATCGAGCTCAGATTCGTAAACACTTGTTCAGTTGCAGCCACACCTCATTCAATCCTTCGTCGAAGGAATAGTAACATGCAGCCTCGACAGCCTCGCTCGAGGCAACAACATCGTGTTCAGCGCAGGAGAGAGAGCAAGGCCTAGGCCGGCCACTGCCATTGCGGTTGTTACACCTCCACGCTTTTTCATGCCGCCACATGTACCTGGTACAAACAGGTACCTGAACGAGAAGAAAGAGATCGAGAGCCCGCTGCCGTGTGCAGCATATCGGGGGTTAAGGCACGATCTGGGCCCACTGGCAAAGGTCCGTTACTTTGGTTCTAAACGGAGGCCAAACTCGAAGAGCTGGGAGGGAATATGTGAACATCACCTTGGGTTACCGCCATGGCACACTACCTTTCTAAAGCCGGACATGCGTTCATTCACGTCACAGGGGTAGAGAAAGGGGGATCCGGCAAACATGGTACGAGGACAACATAGATGCAGTCCTTCCTGATGTTCGGGAAACAAGACGAATGGGGATTGCGCATCGTTGTGCAACACGGCGGAAAAGGGGGCATATGAGGTAACGGGAATCCAAACGGTCTAACGCAGTTCCTCTCTCCTGGGCCGGGCAAGCCAAATCAAGCCACGAGGTCGATGGCCGACCCAGACGTTCCGATGGTAGCGGCTATCATAACCATGGGCGGGACGCCTTCCCTTGCCCTCATACTGACCACATCGTGGTGAAGCCTTGTCCGGCAGCCCCTAAGACTTCCAGCGCGATCTTCGTCCACGGCAAGCTTCAGTTAGTTTGATGAAGACCACTGATTAGAACTGCCCCCTTGCAGGCCCGGACCAAAAGCCCGGCAGCGGCAGCGGCAGCGGCAGCGGGCAGCGGGCAGAGCGGGTAAGGTCGAGAACGGACCTTGGACAGGGGCCATCTCCTGTTCTTTGTGGCTGCCGCCGCATCGGTGCGCAGACCGATGCCCAGATTGTGATGATATTGTCCCATGTTGGTATTACTGATCACAATCTCCCCCTTTGCCAGCCTACTGGTCGCCCACGGTCGCACGCTGCAGCCGAAAAAGCAAATGAGAACCCCGTTACGATCTCTTGTCCTAGGGAGAGTCTTTGAAACCCCACTACTGGCCAGCGACAGCTATTGGGGAGAGAGAGGAACGGCAGGTCTTGGGATTGGTTCCCGTACCCGAGGCACCCGAAGCAAAAGCCTCCTGGTAGCCCATGATTTCCGTAAAAGCAAACCGAGTCTCGGAAGCATCGCCTCTTTGCCTGGCTACCAATAGCTTGGAAGGTAAAAGATATCTGCATCTGGTCCCTCCCTCGTCGCTAGTGGGAGGGGTGGGTGCGAGGCAAACCCGACTTCTTGGCTGCGGGCAGCCGGAAAGGCACGACGCCACAAGGCGATGGACGAAAGGCGTAGGCAGGTTTTCGTCGTACAGATTGAGTGTCTCAGACGTCCCCTCCCCCCTCCCCCCCTCTAATATATGAGTTGTGGCGGTCCGGTGCATATTGAGATGTGCACACACGTTTTTCCTTATGCCCAAAACTGCAGCCACAGCCTCATTCGTGGTTCGTCGTCATTGACGGACCACACACCGCCTTGTTCCAGCCTCTCCGCTAGAGGTCAAGCCAACCACCCGGCGCTTGTTGACAGGTCGGAAAATAAAAAAGAGTAGGCCCTCGGTCAATGCGCAGAGACCATCTGTTGTCAAAGCAGGAAGGAAGAATACCGGATCCGCCTTGGACCAATGCAGAAGCAATCCGCCTCCGATGAGCAGATCTTGTACCCGCCCCTATTACGAAGAGTAGCCCCGTGGGCAAGCCTCTCGAGAAGCCAAGGGCCGATTGGGCGCCGCACATTGACAACGAGCGCGAGTTACAGTACCCTGATGACAGATGCGCTTCTGCCCAGCTATGGGGACATTGTGGGCAGATCCCGAGGGATTGCGCGGGGATGAAGCTCTTGGCCCGCCGCGTGTTTCTTCCCAAACACGAGCCTCGGGTCAATTCAAGGGCCATCTGCAGCCACTCGAAAGGGGTGAAGTGCTCAAATTTGGATCTCTTCACCTACTCATCGGTGGCTTGTCTCCTTTGGGAATATGAGTCGCGGGTCGTAATAGACTTGTTTCGTTGTCCTGACTGTCCCGGCTTGCGCAGTTTCGTCACCACGGGAATACTGACACTACAAGACGCGGTCAGCCTCGAGACCCATATCGGCGGGACGCCCGGTTCATCGACTGTCCTGTGCCAAACTGCAAGGGCTGTACGCTTCCCTGGCGTAGATCATCGGTCCAGGCAACTACCGCCCAAAGCCTGTTTGCCCGTTTGGCAACGCACGACGGGACTGATTGCTGGGTAACTATTGCGTGGCATTCATCGGCTCGAATCAGGGGGCAAGGTGACGAGATACATTATCCCAAACGAGGGCGCCGAGTCCCGCACGCCTGGTTCGCGTGGGAACAGGGACTAAGCATCACGCTATGGTTTGACCGTTTGACCATCGTTGCTCTTTTGGACGGTGCGTGAGACATCGTCCAAAGGCCGCGAGAGCCAAAAGCCGTTGACGGCGTGTTTGACTCCCAACCTCTGAATGTTCACCCAGACGTATACTTTTTTTTCTGCCAGGGTCCGGGTTTTAACGGTTGCCAGCCAGCAAGTAAGTTGTCGGCGGCTGATGTGGCTCCCCGAACAAAACCCAAAAAAGGCACAACCACCCTTCAAACCAACTTTGAGCATGCTGGCCACCATGCAGGTGCCGTCTGAGAATCGCTTAGGCGTGGCTTGTTGTAATGCATGGGGTGAAAGAATGACGCCTAGATGCCGAGCCCGAATCCAAGTATCGGTACCTGGGTCATTCGTCTGAACTTTCGCAGTACGGCCGTGCCTGGGCTCAATTACTGTTCCGTAGGTCGAATAAAGGCCCGAACCTCGAGTCTCGCACACGTTTATCCTGTCCGGCATGACAGAGTTTGACTAACTTGACAGGCAACCGCTCACAAACCCAGTGGTGGGCGTGATGCCTCACTCTGATCCACGACGCCTGAGAGCAAGCAGGGTCAAGTCGTTGAAATGGGTTTGACCCTTGACCTGTGCTGTTGCGGACGCATGTCCGTCCATCAAATGCATGGCGCTCCTTAGCAATGCCGGCCGTTTGCGCGGTTGATCCGAGCATCTCACTCTTCAATCAAACGCGAGTTCCGCCACACTGGCTTTTGCAGTGGGCATTAATCAGATGCTGTCGAGGGAATGGCTCGGACTCTGGTTGACGGGAGCCAATGCTGTCCAGAGAACGAACAGGTGAGCACTGCGTCTGATGCCTCCGATGCCTCAAAGCCTGTCGCCCTGAATAGTACTCACAGGGCGGGGGTGCGTGTCGAATGCATCCCAAGAGTATATAATAGCCCCCATAGTCAAGGTCAGTACGATGGCCAGCCTGCGATTGCAGGCCGTGGCATGTGAATGTTTGTCCTTTCAATGGCACAACAATTCCAGTGTCCAAACATCGGTTGCTG